GGAGGGTCTCAATAACTGCTGCTCTCCCACACAAATGACCTCCCACTTCAGGGGAAGATATTGCAAAAGCACTGGACACACACACACACGCATATATATGTACAGAGAGAGAAAGAAATGTCGCAAAACTAACTGATCCTGATCAATTTCCTCTTCCTGTGCTCAGTGTAAAGATGCTCGACCACTAGAGCAGATGGAGAGATAAATGGAAGAAAAAACTGACAGATAGAAAACGAGCATAAACAGCTCTGAGAGATTAAGGGGAAAAACAAACTATATATAAAAAATATATTCTAGGTCTGCAGGAGCAGAGAGAAGGAAAAAGATAATTAGAGGACATGAGTGAAAGATGCGTCACCTTTCTGACAGATCAGCTTAATGGTGTAGTAGCGTTACAAGGAGGGGAGTTTGTTTTTACTGTGACTACAGTCCATGAATTATATCAGAACTTCAGAATAACTTCATGGCAGGACTTGACTTGTGATCCAGCTGACTGTTGCACAACTACATCACCCTCAGCTGTGGTGAAAAACACGAGGTTGAACTGCTAACTTCTTGTCCTGATGGACGTCTCGTAACGATGATTTTCTCTGTCACCGTCCTGATGATGGATGTTTGATGTAGAAGGTTAAAGCAATAAAATAAATGTGAGTTTTATTAAAGGAGTTTGTTCCAAAAGTAATATATTCAAAATATAAACAATCTATTGTGTCAATTTCCCCTTCTGCAACAATAATGATGATCATTTTTTAAATAATAAAAAACAAAAGTCACTTCACTTTTCCAAAAGGGATGGTATGCAAGCTTTTGGAATAAAAGCCTCCATTTGTGGCTGGAGTTCCCCTTTGAACATCACACATGAAAGGGGTCAGTTTCAACAACCAAGAACTCCCTTCGCCTGCTCATGTTTGGGTGTTTATTCTCACTTTCCCTGAAGTGTTGTCTCACTGTACCTATTTATGATAACCGCCCGCTCAATGTGTACAGAAACAATTGCACTGTTACTAGAAGAGCTGAATCATGATCACTCCTTCAGCCTGTAGCTTTTTTCTCAAGACAGTTTTTTTTTTCTTTCTCTGACTCTTTACAAGAAGAAGAAGAGTCACGGCCACCTGCCAATTGGTTAACTCTGGGTGGCGTGGGCTGCGGGGCTGGTGGTCGAGAGCGAGGGAGGGCTGTCAAATGCTACAGAAACTCATGACTGAAAAGAGGAAATGGCAGATACATAACTTCCTCTATTGACACAGATCGAGTGGGGGCAAGACTTAACTGTAGTAGCAGCAGAGTGGATTACGGACACTATGCAGTCACCCCCTGTGCCATTATTGCCTCAATGAGGAGAGATAAATGGTGAAAATGTCATAGGGATATGGTCATGGCTTAAAGGGGACTTCCAATCATAAAACAAATACGTTACAGCGATAAAATAATTAGCGTGACTTCATGAAAATGAACCATCGGCCGAAATATATTTTTCTTAACAACTGAAGCCCCACTTCTTGCATTGGGTGACACACTGGTCTGACAGCAGACGTGTAATTTCTCCTTGTCTCAAAATAAAAATAAGGAATCGAGACATTTTCTCAGAATAAAGGTTGTTGCAGAGGGGCGAAGTTGACAAAACACCTGAGAAAAAAGGTGAGACACCTTCAAATATTAGGGGCAGAGAGAAAAACCTTTACTTCTGTCATCTCCCATTCTCCCTCCCCCTTTCTGTTTCTCTCTCCCCACCTTCCTCCCACTCAGTCGGTTTGCATGAAACTGAAAGACCCATGTCTGAAAAGGGGGAATTTATATGGGCTCACATGCCCTAATTAAAGCATTTCCTGGAACTGTGTGCATGCATGTATGTGTGTCTATATGCATGTGTTGGAGTGTGTGTGTGTGTGTGTGTGTGTGTGTGTGTGTGTGTGTGTGTTCCTCGCCTGACAGACCACTCAATGTCACTTCCCCCTACCTACCACTTCACGGAGACATGGTTGTCACCAGTCATACTCCAGCAAAGCCAAGGTCACATGATTTGTAACACCAACATGCCCACCAACACACATAAACACACCCACACCAAAGTCACAGAAACATTCAAACTCGACTCAAATGAAATACAAGCTTCAATTAATATATTTAACACATAATCCTTATAATACTATAATTGTGTATTTTAAAATGTAGTTGGGCAGAAAGACATTTCCATGGTGCCTCTAACAATGATGAGCAGTAATCACAAAGGGTGCAAACACAGGTTTGTGGTTGTACAGCTGAATTCAGCAATGTTTGAATTAATTTTTCATTATTTAAGTTAATCAGTATGCTGGAGTGTGCAGTACGCTCTTTATACTACTGTACATAAATGTTGTTTGGATTTTTCCAGTCTGGTTGACATCGGCAATGAAACCTAACTTCATCACAGTAAATAATATATACACATCCACATTAAAGACTTGTGTGGTCTACACACACACACACACACGCATGTGTATATATATACACACTGAGCCATTAGTTTCCTCAATAGAACAGTCATTTGAATTTGTATGCTATTAAAAGCCAGGAAAAAGTCTGTGCATGAGAAGTGCTACAATAATATTCTTTATTAATATGTGAGATAAAACAAACGTTTGGTATTTGTTATATTTTAGGCAGTTTTGTTCCCTAACAAAGTACATTCTTAGTCACAGGAATCAGAAATGGAATATCCACTGTAGTCCCACTTGTATTTTAATTGCAGATTTCTAATTTAGCACTGTGTAATGTTGCCTGCATTAGAGAAATGTGTCCTCTGCTGTACAGTGTGTTTAACTTAGTATTACTGTTATACAAACATCAATAAATCTTTAAAGCTTCTGAAAAGCAGTTCTGTTTTGTTGTGATTGCATCACATATCAAAAACCTATAAATATCATAAGCCTGTTTTAAACACAAGAGTTTATTTTTGGCATTGTTTGTGATCTTTAAAAGCCTATGGCAGTTATTTTGCAGAGTGTCTGCAGCCAACAAACCACAGAGGAGTTCATTTCCAGGTTGCCGATTAAATATTTAACTGCTTGACCACTTCATTCAGCTCATATTTTTTTCCATGGACAGTGATGTTTTCAAGAAGCCCCTCCCATCCTATGAAAACAAAGTTTACCCTTGACAACAATGTGTTTGTGGTGTAAACTGAGGGAGAGGAGCAAAAAAATACGCAACAGGACGAATAAAACGGATTCAGATGGGTGTTCTGGATGATTCGTATCAGGGAAATTAGTCATGCCAGTTTACTAAGTACATCCAGGAGCTTATTTGTGTTACTCAGACACCGGGTGGGCTGAGCTTGATGAATTCAAATGATCTCAGTCCATTTTTAATCATTTTGGAATTTATTTAAGTGATTTTCATCTGTGACAACACGTGTGTGCAGCTCAGTGAGAGGGGATGAAGGCAGATTTGCTGTTGTTTTAAAGGTGAAATTTGTAATGTTTTCAATGTTTTTTAAATTCATCTGTATGGTGGAGAAAAACACTAAATTCGGTGGATTTAGTGCGGTTAGAAAGGCGCTTTATACTGTATAAATGTATTATAAATGTTTGTTTGATCTGGTTGACAGACACCATCTAACTTTATTACGTCAGTAAAATTATATTCACTTTCACATTACCTGGTTGATGATTTTTACTGCACACCAACAGCAACAAGAGGAAACAACTTCACAAATGTGACACTTGATATCTTCTAGTTTGAATGTGCAGAAAGTTATGGTTCCTTTTGCAAAGATTCTCAGATTATCATTGGTCCAATCCACACTACTCCGGGGTCGGAAGCGTTTTCAAACTTTTCAGTTTTAGATCTTCACTTTTGCCATTTTAGTCTGGACAGGAAGTGCAAACATAGCAAAAGGTCTCTGTTTTGAAACGAAAACGCAGTAATGTGGATGGGGCTGGGCAGGGGTTGTTAATTAACATAAATGGAACACACACCTTTAAAATGACAAATGTATATGATGACTATCAAGAATCTTTGAAGATTTAAGAAAGTCCAGTAGAATAACATCACACCCCAACACTATCCCCCCACATTTGTTCTAAGCTTCACTCGTCAGGCAGTGACAGGCTTGATTGCAGAGGGGACAATAGGCAGGACTTCATGCAATTACTTTCGTCACTTTTCTTGAGTTAAACCAAGTGCAATGATTTTAATAAGAAACAGAAAGTCAAAAAGTGTGTCCTACAGTGTACACCATTATCTCCACTTGTACAATTAATTACATCTCGGTCTTCTCCTTTTTGCCCCACCTTCAAGTGTAGCTATTTGGACTGGGTGTTAAAGCAACATTATGACTATTAGAACTATTTTACCTTAAAATACACTGACTTGTAATAGGGACAATGGAACCTCTTTCATTCCCATTCTGTGCCCCGAATTATGCCTGTTCTTGCACTATGTAACTTGGGCAAGCTTGGGCGAGCAAGACCCTTCGTTGGAGATGGGTCTAGTTCGGTATTCTCACTACGTACATTACAGCAGATGCAAAGAGACCGAAGAGGACTTTAAGTCGTTGGCGAGAGCTTCGCGGAATAAAAAGGCTGCAAGACAGACACAGAGCTGGCCTTGTTGCTGTGTCTCGTGTGGTTGTACTTGCTTGATGTTTGGCTATGTTAGCAAAGTCGTCAACACACTAGTTTTTGATCATAAGCCAAGTCAGCAAATCAAATCCAATTCCTTCAGCTTGTCAACAAATGCACTGGTATAGCTGTCCATGAGGGTGAATTGCATAATATTTCTTTTTTTAGAACACCTTTTCCTTTAGATGTGTTTGGACGACACTTTTTGTATCATTTGCTTTGTTTGATGAATACTGAAACTGTTAGATAATCTTTGTCCCATTGTACATCTATGGGCTTGAATCTTTTGGAAGAACAGAGCTTTTACGAAAATGGGTGACATCATAAATAAAAGCATGTTGTAAAGACAGAGGTTCTGTTGGGACTTAATACATAGGCGATATCTGGTGTGACTCCTACCTCCAGTCCATAAACCCAGGAGAAGATGGGTGCCTGCTTCCTTCTTGCCTCTCGCCCGTCCCCCTCCGCTTTTGAATGGTTGCTCAGAGGTCAGCAAAGGTCATGCACCTGAGGGAAAAGGCACCGAAGTGTGAAAAAATTAACCTGATTTAATTTGAGCATTATTCATCCCAAAGGGGGGCTATGAGTCAGGCATTCGCCAAGTATGTGAACAAAGATGGGGTACGTGATTAACAGATATCAAGAAAATACAAACGTGCTGACTAATTGAGCCACATGTTTTCTTTTCTTCTGTAAAATAAGTTGGACTTAGCTACAGTGCATGTGGTCAAACACACATGCAATTAATCACATGATGCATCAGATGTAATATGGTGTGGTATGGGGGGGGGGGGGGTTCTTGTAAAAAAGACAGACAGAAACCGACTGCTTCCTACTTTGACTTCTTTAGAAAAGATGTTCTCCAACAGTCAGTAGGGTTGGGAAAGCCCATGCACGCACACCCACACACACACACACGCACACCCACACACACACACTTCTTTGAGATTAAATACATACTGTACAGAAGTGATGTGTGTGCATGCATTTTTATAGTTTCCACAGCTCTCTAAGAAATATTCAATAAATGCAGGCGGTGGCAGTGGAGAGTGCGTCTGAACTGCAGATTCAGGCTAAAACACACTGTGATGAAGGAAACTGGTATCAGCTACGAGAAGCGGGCCTGTAGAAAGCAGAGCAGGATGCAGGTCATGTCAGGACGGCGGGAACGAGGGATGAAGCACAGATGTCTAATTACATTGCAGACAAAGTTAGGGCAAACAGAGGTGGCATTAAGAATTTATTTCAAAACCCTGATGGCTCTTCCATATGTGGGAAAAGATCCCAGCACGAGAGAGAGCATTAGAATTGTCCACTCATGTGATGGACCCTGGCACACAGAAGAAGAAAACAGTGAGTAAAAGCAAAGGCTTCTTTTCTCTTAACTTCTCTAAAGGCCCATAGACGGTGTGTCAGCCTCCCACTCGAGCCCCTCAGAGACCGAGAGGTGAGCCAAAACAGCTGCAACAATACCTGAGCCTATGAGGGCATGCTGTAAGACATTAACTACCTGCATGGACGGCTAAAGATTTAACAAAACAGGCTGTGCCCAAGACAGGGAAACCAAACCAGTAGAGCTTGTTGGGCCGGTCTGTCAGAGGGGCGAGTCAGCAGCACATCTACCTCTGTTAATGACACACAAAAGCCCACTGGCATGAAAGCCCTCCCCACCCATGAGTTAGGCAGAAGCCTTAACCTAACATTACAGACTGAGCACATCCTACTGAAACACAGGATAGTGACAGGATTAAAATAAAACACTGGGTGCGCCATGGGGAGGATGATGATGATGATAATGATGATTAACAGACCACTGAAGGGAGATCATTAGGTGCAAGAGGCTAAATCCAATAGATCTACTGCTCTGCGTGCCCACCAGCAGCACAGAGGCAGGTGATGTGCGTGAGAGCAGGTTAGGTTTTGGATGTCAGCCGGTGTTCTCGGCTATAATTAGCAGCCGAGTCTCCAGAAATGTACCCGCCGACCCCGCTCCCTCGCTCGCTCTCTCACCTGGCCGCCGCGCACAGACGCACATACCATACCGCGGCTGCCGCACCTGCTCCGAAAAAAAATAAATACTAATACAAATGTCGTGAAAAAGCGAATGCGAAACGCGCACTGGCTGTAGGCCTATTACAAAAGGGGGAATAAATGTCGACGGGAGTTACCGAATACCCGTGACGTGGATTGTCCTCCCGTGACCCCGATCAGAACAGGGAAGGAGGGAGGAGGGAGACTATAGGTTGAGGCAAGCCGGTGCTGTCATGGCAAACAGACATGTCACTTACATCGCATTTAGCGTAAAGGTGCGTTATAGTTTTCAGTCAAACCCACAGCAGCCAGGTGAAGCAGTTACCTGAGTTGTGAGAGCCAGAGTGTCACCTGTTTAGACTCGTCGCCTCCCACCTGACCGGCCTCCACACTTCCTGGATTATAACGTCCCACCCTGCTTACTTCTTCTACTTCTTATTCTTCTTTTTTTATCCTCTCAGCTCGTCTTTTCTTCTCCGCCGGGGGGGTCACCACTCGTGCCGTCCTCAGCTCGACACCCGGGAGGTTTTATGATTCGCCAAATCGTGCGTCGTTCTTGTTGGTCCTCTCTCTGCAGACCGCCGGCTCTCTGGGCTGCTCTGACCCCCCTGTGTGCTGCCTCCGCTGGCCCACTCCGACTCCCTGCTCCTTCTTTCTGAGAACCAGGAAGCGGCTTGCCCTACTTACACCCAGTCGCGGATTGGCTCTGGCAGGGCTGGAGTAGAGACCGCCGGGGTGGGCAGGGCACATGGGGAGGGAGGCAGGGAGGGAGGGGGTCCAGCTCTGGTGCGATAGGCCAGCAGCGGTGTCTGTCGCGGTGCCGGTGGCGCAGGGAGGAGAGAGGTGGGCAGGTTTGGAGACCCCGCTCCTCCTTCTCTCTCCTTTGGGCATCACCGCGCATAGGTGGGTAGACTACAGCGGGCGAGCGAAAGCGGATTGAAGGATAGGCCTATCTGTTTATTGTTTAGTCCTAGCTGTCCGACTCAAAAGCATTTTCAATCGAAACAGAAGTGCCCCCCTCTTCATGACTCAGCAATATTCCCTCCGAAACCACCTGGACTTGGATGAAGAAGCAGCACAGATAGGGCCTGCCAACTTTAACAAGTGCCCGGACTGAAGCTGATATATGGAAGCTAGATTGTGATAAATGAAACTGTTACAGAGGATGTGTCACATCCAGTGTGAAGGCAGCAAAGGGCAACACCAGGGACTTTCTAAAATTACTAGTAGTGAATCAGTCACTAAGCTATGCTATTATCTGCTGAAATGGTAGCCTATTTATGATTTTTTTCCAGAGAGAAAAGTGACAGACGCTAAACAACAGCCTCATTCCACTGCAAAAAAAAACGAAAGTCTGAACTCTCGAACACTTACGTTTATGCCTCCTGTTTGAAGTGGTTATGGGTATGGGAATCACCTCGCCTTTTTTAAAGTTTGAATCTCATCCTCATCTGCCGAAGCTCCAGGGGTGTGTGTTGGTGGGTTTTGAAGTGAGGGTGCAGGAAGTATATATATAATTTTGCGGTGAGCTCAGACAGCCCACCCATTACCACCCCCTAACCTTAAATCTGTGCTTGTTCTGCGGTTGTGCTACCAGAAAAGGGCGTGTAAAGTATGCTACATAGCATTTGTTCCATAAATGCAACTTATTTCCAGTTAGTTTGTGTTAAAGCACTGTTTTCCAACCAAGGGGTCGCAAGATACATATAAGGGGCCCTGAGATAATTAACAAGATAGTAAATGGGGGTGGGGGGTTCTGCTGCGACACAAATTATGTTTATTTTTTTATTGTGAAACTGGATACTTCAATCTCCCCAGGCCCCTAAAAACTATTAAAAAAGGCAACAACTGATACTGATATGCAATATGCAACCTGTGACCAGTGGAACGTAACTAAGTACTAACTAAGTACTGCATTTGAGTATAATTTTGAGGTACTTGTAATTCACTGGAGTATTTACATTTTATGCTACATCTACAATACTACATTTCAGAGGCAAGACATAGTTGCTTGTTACTTTACACATTACATTTATTAATACAAAAAATACCTACTATTAATTTATGATGTATTTTTATTGATTAAGAGACCCAGCAGTATCTAAAGTTAGCCCCAATTTTACCAGCTGCAACATTAAAGTACTCAATGCGTCAATAATTATACTCCTGGAATATAATATATATTATTCTGAAATGGGCCATGCTGCAGAATGAGCACTTTTACTTTTGGTACTTTAAATATATTTTGATGCTAATACTTTTGCTTAAGTAACGTTGTGAATTCAGAACGTTTACCTGTAACAGAGCATTTCTACACTGTGGTAATGCTACTTTTACTCTAGTGAAATATCTGTGTTCTTTACTGCCTGTGACAAAGGGCCTTGACTACACATTGCACTACTTTAAAGGCTGGGAACCACTTTTTTAAAGCACAATAACTTGCAGAGAGAACCCTTCATTCTGTTTGTGGATGAAGGAATTGAGGATTATGTCAATGCAGAGATTAAACTTGCGGCATAAATACACACAGACTGTTGCTATTACAATGTAATGCAACAATGTAGTATGATAAGGAGTAAAATACTCATAATTGTAAGTTTTCAGCCCCTGAAACGTCCTGCCATTCTAATTTGTTTCCAGTGCAGCCTCAGAGTAAAGACTTCTCTCTGAGTCTATTTCAGAATGACAGGCAGCAATTACAGACCTGTTTATCCCCCCACCTCTATGGCTATAGTAATCCAGGCTGCTCTGCCATCATTAACCTCTGTCTCCTTGCTCCACAGTGGCTTCTCCTCTTCACAAAGTTCCCATAATTTAAATGGCCTTCCTGTTCGCTCACAGATACATACTTAAGCAATATAAATGGAGCTATTGTGCAAGATGCTCCTTCTTCCTGCTGTGTTGATCTGATAATTAAAGTGTCATCACCATCTAGTGGTCACTGTACAGCCAGCAGGCTGCTCAACTGAGGCCTCCACTACAAAAATGCTCTATTTCTGCACAGTGGAAATGTAGAAGCATAGTTACAAAAACAACCTCTTTTCACTCCCTTAATTAAAAATGTCAGTGCAATTTCCAAACAGCGAAACAAAAAAAAACCTATAACATTTACAGCTACAAGGCAATCACCCTCTTATTGTCAAATTTATGGTGATTTGTGATACTCAGCAGGGACTATTCAAACAGTGTGCAAATAGTAACAAGTGTAAATCCAATATGTTAATGCCTCTTAACTCGCAGAGGTGAAAAATAATTCTCTCATCGCCGCCTGCATGGCTGAAGGGCTGTTAAAAACCCCTTGGACATTAATGAAAGAGGAGAGGTAAAATAAATGTGTGTGAGGGAGGGAGGTAGGGGAGGTTTCAGGAAGGGAAGGGGAGGCAGGTGTATCAGTGAGACTGTAATCTGCCCTCACGAATGCGGATATTCATTTTGTTCTGGTCAAGAGCGAGAGAGATTTAAGTGTCCCCACATTCAAAAGCTTAACCTTGGATGTGAGTGTGTCTGCCCTCTGCTGAGAGGTACAGGATTAGGGTTGGGGATCCAGAAGCAGCAGCAGAGCCGGGACTGCAGAAGCTGAATCAAAGCGAACAGTTCTTACGTATATTCGACTGGTCGCTCACACAAGAAGTTATTTTACCACACACTGATGATTTTTGATTCTGAAGATTTTCCTAATATGAACTTATTTTCTAAGGATAGTGGGTGTTGTATTATGTGCAGATTCTAAAGCTCCTCCAGGGAAATTTGTGATTTGTGATATTGGGCTTTCAGATTTTAAATTTGCTTGACTTGACCTGATCAAACTGCTCGAGTCCCAAATCCTCAGAAATCACGATGAGTGATGAATCAAGTCGAGTCTCAAGTGGTGCTCTGTATCTTGATAATCCATCTAAAGTGAAATGAAATATACAAATTAAAGGATTAGTTCACTTAGATTACAGAAACAACAAATCCTTACCCACAGTGGCAGTATGGAAAGTAAACAATTTTTCAAGTACTGTATTTAAAACAAGGGAAGGCAACATTGGAGAACTAGCAAGAGAAATCTAGACTTAGAATGTATCCAACCGAAAAAATCCTACCCCCTCCCTTCAGCCCTCCCTCCAAAGCCACCCCCCCAAAACAACATTTTCATGCACAGTGAGCACACGGGCAGAGTGTGCGCAGGTAGGTAGGTAGACTGGCAGGTAAGCCACTAATAAGCATGGCCAATCATTGAATTTGGTCCGAATTAAATGATTGGCCGTGCTTATTACAGTCCTGCAACAGCCACAGATGTGTTTGAGTGTGTCAGAGAAAAGATTTTACATTAAGAACATATGTTAAGCTTGTAAAAAAAGCGACATATTTTTACAGATTAAGGGTATTTGGAACTGTTCATAATTCCCTGGAATTCCCCAACATTTTTGGCTACAATTGTATTTAAATGTCTTTTTTGAAATATTTCCCTACGTTGCCTTTATGTTTTATGTAAAGCACTTTGAATTACCTTCTTACTGAAATGTGCTATGCAAATAATCTTGCCTTGCTTTACAATAAAGTGTAGAGTGTTGGGGCCCTTGTCACATTTAAGATAGCAGTTCCACTAAACATTTCTCCTGCAAACTTCTCAGAATATAAAAAAAAAATGGTCAAGGTCCAAAGAAGTAATATTATGTAGTATTTCACAAAATAATTAGATTAGACAAAGGTATTAAAAGTAGTTATTTTGTTTCTGGTACTCACAGACAGGGCCATAACTGCCGCTGAGGACAGTGAGGTCATATGCTCAGGATATCTTTTCTGTGAATTTGAGGGGTTTTGCTGCCTGCATTGAGTTTACAATCTACAATTAAAAAGTTGGTGGTTATTTTATAAGCTGAAGTTCTCTCCAAAATGTTCTTTCTGACGTTGTGGTTTGAAATAATATTTAGACCTTTATGTTGGCAAATAACATTTACAGAAACTATAACTGAATAAATTTAGTACAAACATTTTTAATAGTAATAAAATGTAGTGGTTGTAATGGTTTGGAATGGTTAGTTATGGATGTCAGTTTCAGCTCTAGTTAAATGTTAGTGACATGTTAAAGCCCTCTGAAATTAAAGTGTTTCAAACTAAACCAAAAGCAACCACTTTTAAAAATCAAGTGTCTCAAATCAGCTCTGCAAAAGTCATCAACATTCATGTCTGGGTTGAATTAAAAAGCAATATTTGCTACATGGTCAGTACTTTTATACATCCTGTCTGTTGTTAATGTAACTGCATTTTAAATATACCTGTCCACAGGACAGAAACACACATGGGAACACACATGATCTCATGCCTCAACACACCTCACCAAGATGATATCTAAATCCACTTTATTCTTACATCCAGATATACACAATCATCATCATCATCATCACCATCATGGTTGTCAAGAATATCATCATCTTCATCATAGTCATAATCATCACCACGCTCAAGATCATCATTGTGACAGCATTATTAGCAATTTTATCTGTTCAATAAGCTAAAGCTGTGATAAATAAAAAATAAAACATTTGGTCCTTTAATATATAGTCTAGGCATCATGGTATCAGGGGTTAAGACAGAAATGCCTTGTTGCTACCCACACAAAACATCAAACATCACTGGAAATGGCACTGAAACTGCATCGCAGGAAACAGAAGGATGGGCAAATTGAACATGAGGCTGATGGCAGCAGAGAGCAAAGTGTTGGACAAACCGAGAGAGAGGGAGAGACTCTGTGAGCGGCCGTCAAAGAAACAGTTAGCAACCAGAGCTGTGAAATCAGATGAAAGGCTGTGAGACAGACACGGGATGAAAGACTAAGGAGCGAGGAAGCTTACAATAGACCCACAGAGAGGCACGTATTTACAGTACACGGAGCTGGGTGGAACAAAATCAAGTGAGCCACAGTACACAGCAGAGCAGTATTGTGTGTCACACAAAAAACACAATTTACAGAAATCGTCAGAGTGAACATGTAGGTTTAAAAGTCTTGTCTTTGTTTAAAAACTAAACACCACACACCTGGGACAACTAAACTACCAGTGGACTGCTCCTAATTATTAAAATTCATACGAGTATCCACTTAACAGTGATTTTTAAAGTCTATATCCTTATAATGATTATTATTATTCTGATGAGAAAATATTACACTTTGGTGCAGAATGGGAGGCAAGAGGGAGTTAGAGCTGGAAACCAGGAAGTGTCTGCTCTGTTGCCTGCATTTGAACCTGACATCATAATAGTTTTCTTCCCAACAGCAGCAAGATTGTAGGTAATTTCCTGTCATATTATGAGTGTCTCAAAGGTTTCATATGTATTGCTGTTTCCATCAAGAAAATAGAGACTTTTCACATATTTTTTTTTTCTGACACTCTATTGCTTCCAGCTCATTTTACTGTGTACGCTGTTTCCACTTCAGCTCCCCTGCTTGCTCCAACAATCACTAACACAGATATGTATGTATACATTTGGATGTTTATTCAGACTCCACCCTTGCCTGTACTAACCACTCGACAGTCCCATAAAGTCTTTTTCCTCGATCAATGGCATGATTGAGAGTCACATGAACACCTGATGTTCTAAAACAATCACATCCTAGAGTGAATGCAAACAAGATGTACCTGTCCACATGTCTGGTGCAAACTCTGACACAAGTCTCTATACCCATGGCTCTGTTAATGAGCAGTGAACACAACACCAGTCCAACATCCTTTGAGATTTTATTCCTCTTCTTTCTTACATATTGGCGGGCAGTTTGTGTCTAAGTCCCTCTGAGTCTTTTCTGGTGATTGGCAGCTGAGGGTCCTTTTTCCCACCCTTAGGGGAGGTGGTGTTGGCAGGGGCGGCTGCATGTGCTGATTGGGTAGGGGCAGCTGTGGTGGTTGGCATTTGTTTTGGGGGGTGAGCACAGGCAGATTGGATACTAGGAGAGGGGGTGGTGGAGGAAGGTGTGGTAGTAAGAGATGAGGGGTTAAAGGAGCTCAGGTTTGGGCATAAAGTTGTTGAAGATGGGGTTGCTGTCACTGGGGTTGGTTTGATAGAATGACCAGAGCCTGAAATGGGGCTTTGGGTAGGGACAGGAGAGGTTTGCTTTACAGGATGAACAGAGAAAGTTACTTTAGTTAGAGAGCTGGTGGTAGCTGGTGTTGGAGGAGATGTAGTTTGGGTTGGGGTTAGAGACAGGGCCTGTTTTGAAATCTGGCTCAAAGTGGGGCCTCTGGCTGAGCTAGAGACAGAAGGCTGGAGACAAGCAGTTGGACTCTGGGATTTACTTATGGAGGGGACAGATGTAATAGGGATGGGCGAGGGCGAAGGTGTAGGGGTAAGGGTCTGGGTGGGAGTAACAGGTGTGACTGTTTGTGTGGGTGTTTGAGAGGGGGTAGAAGTGCGGGTGCGGGTAGTCTGAGTGGGAGTGAGTATTGGAGAAGGGATTGGGGTTGGGGCAGGACTGGGACCAGACAATGGAGAGGCAGAAGGAGGTGTGTTAGATGCTTTGGCTCGCGGGCTCTGGAGATGCGGTGGGGAAGAGGGGACCAAAGAGGAAGGGGGAGAAGAGGAGGTAAGAGATGACCTGGGCCCGTAAGTTTGAGGTAGTGGAACAGGGGTAGAAACAGAAGATGGAGGCGGTGTGGATGAGGGAGAGGGAGAAGAAGACCGAGGAGAGGGTGTAGGGATCGGTTTGGGACGAGGAGTTGATGAGAGCGACAGCGGTTGTGTTCCTGAAGGAGGAGTGCAGCAGGGAGGAGGAGAGGCAGAGCGAGAGGGGGTCATTGGGATAAGTTTAGGACGAGGTGTCTGGGAGAGTATAGGTGTGGGAGAAGAGGGGGTGGGTGCAGGTGAAGGGGTGGCAGAGGAGAGAGGGGTGTGCTTTGGAGGGGAGGAAGATGGCAAAGAAGCTGCAGAAGGCATGTGTGCAGCTGTAGGTGTGGGTACAGAGGCAGCGTGAGGGGCAGATTGTGTGAATGTGGTTGTGTTTGCAGAGACAGAATGTGCTGAAATGGGCTGAAAAGGAACTGTGGACTGTGTTTGTGCATTAAAAGGTATATGTGCCACCAACTGAACTGGAGCATTAGAGGTCAGCATCCCCGCACTGCCTCCCCTGGCTAACTGCCCTGCCAGGAATGGAGCCGCCAGCAAATTACCACCAGAGGCCTTCCGGTGGAGAGGCGGCTGAGGCTGCAGTCCAGCCCAGGAGCGGTGAGGCAGAGTGGGCTGTGAGGCCGACAACAGCCTGGCTTCTTGGGTGAGTCGGCCCAGTGCTGGCAGACCTTGAGAGCTGTTTCCTCCATGGCGCAACAGAGCTTCTTTTGCTCCCTTCTGGCCCGACACAGAAGTGTTGCCATCTGTTGCACCAGAAGCAGCAGGTAAGTTGGTGGTAGGGGCCTTGTGGAGGGGTGGAGTTGGTGGCCCTCCACCTGTCGGGGCTCCAAGTGATCCAGCAATCACAGCAGGATGATCAGCCTGGAGGCGGAGGCTGTAATGAAGAGTCCTTCCTTGTTGGACAGAGGTCGGGACAGAGGAGGCAATAGGGGGCGATATCACCCCACCAGGAGGGCCCATGGTTGAGGGAGAGGCAGGAAATCCTCCTCTTGGGGACAAACCACTCATCCCTCCCATCGTCATCATCCCGATGAGAGAGCTCACAGAAGGGCGGAGGGGCTGTAACACAGGAGCACGAGGAGGAGACAGAGGGAAAGAGGAGGAGGGAGAGGGAGAGACAAGAGGGGAGGGCAAGAAGAAAGCACCTCCAAGCGCATGCTGCTGCTGCAACTGCTGTAGCTGCTGCTGTTGTTGCTGCTGCTGGTGCATGAGGGCGATGGCTACATTACTGGTGGCAGCCGCAGTCTGCAGGGGGGCGTGAACCAGCGGTGCCCAGATGACCGGCCGTGGGCGAGGAGACACTGTGCCACTTCCTCCCATGACTCCACCTCTTCCTGCAGCAGCAGCCGCAATAGCATCCTGCATGGCAGGCATGCTGTCGTGTTTGACAATCTGCTGCACCAGCATGCTGTCACAGGAACCCAGGCCGCCCCCTGCCAGGCCGCCTCCGGCTCCTGGACCCCCTCCACCCCGGCCTCCACCACGACCCATACTGCCCCCCAGGGAACCAACCTGGGATGACTTCCGCAGAAGCATGGAGTTCTTCCTACCTGTAGAGGAGAAAGAGCAGAGACAATATGACAAAATAATTCCTTTTTTCATTTTCTGAGCTATTAAGTTCCCAAAAAGGAAGGCGTCAGAGAGTGAAAACTTTTATTTTGTTGAAGGCTAGGTTGTTTACTGAACATACAGCAGACATCTGAGGTTTTAGCCTCAAGGTTTTTCTGTTCTGCACCGGGAACACTGCTCATCCTTTCATGATTTAAGCTTTTATTTATTCAGGTAGTTTTCAAAGATGAGTTCTGACCTTCCAGCTGAGAACAAAGCGTCAGAGAAATTTAGCAGAATTGGATGGATAACTGTGAATATTTGGCAAGTTTACTGTCGAATTAAGAGCTGAATGGATAAAAGCAAGTCACCGCACAGACAAGATGGTGAGAGAAATGTATGAGCCAATCAGAAATCAACACTTTACCAATACGGTCCAATCGGTCAACAGCAACAGTTTCGAAGGCACGCCGCATCATCGGGTGTTCCTCAAGCACCTCGTTAAAGCTGTCCACACTGAGAGAGTATAGACGACAATATGTATCTGCACGAACGCTGGCTGTCCTCCGTCCACGAGTCAACAAACAGATCTCTGAATGTGGAGGGACAATGGAAGGAGGAGAAAAGTAGAAGATGAGAATAGGCAGTGAAATGCTGTGAGATAAATTAACCCTACAGAATACAGGCCTACTTGTGCACAAACATGAACTAGAATCACCTTTATCTTCTACCTTCCAAGCAAGTACCTTCCTACACAACTTAAACGTATCTAGATAACTCTGCATATTCTCACCGCCAAAGTAAGACCCATCGCTCAGCTTGGTTTCTTTGTTGCCACGGGTCAGCACACTGACTCGTCCATGTTGGATGAAGTACATCTTCCGCCCGACTGTGCCCTCGCGGATAATGAAGTCTGAAGGCTGAAACACTTCAAAGCGGAGCTTGGTCAGCACAGCAGTCACAAAGTTGGGATCAGCGTTGGCGAACAACGGCATGTTAGCCACCAAGCTGCGGCAGTTAAAGCTGACTATCTCCTAGACAAAGAGGAAGAAGAGATATTTGCTGGAGGACAGAGCATTTGCGATTTGTAGGTGTGTGTGGATGTTTGGGAATGTATTACCTCTTTAAGTGGCTCACTAAGTTCTCCCAGGATGTTCTCCTCATCGAACATTTTCCCCTGAAAACGGTGCTCATAATACTCATGGATCTTTTGCCGAACATCTGCAGGAAGCTTATGGAACGACATGTATTGCTCCACCTGCTTATACTGCAATAACGCACAAACACACATATGTACAGGTCAGGGACCAGCAACTAGACACTGCATATTTGCTTTAAACACAAATAACATAAGAACATTGATCAGTCAACTGGTTCCCAACGTTTTTGACATGTGTCCCCTTGTCACAGTTGACATACTATATGTCTACAAAATAGACACTCAATGAGCTGTAATCTAAATGTTAGGTCATCATTTTAAGTTGTCATAAGACAGGTGTTGTAACAGTGCACCTGTTCCATTGCAGGAAACTACAGCATATATTGATTTTGGATTTTGGACTCAAATTGAAATATGAGGCCTGAAATAGGCAAGAAAAATAAATCAATTGAGAGAAGTCAGGAAAAAATAAATACTTCCAAGTTGAAGAAATATGTTTTTGACTCTAACCTATCCTACTAATCATCTCGAGACCACCCCAGGTAGGCCTATATCTTGTGAGCAGTTTGTTGGACAGTACTAGATTTACCATTTGACAGAAAATGATTAAACTATTATGATAATTAACAGTCATTTAATTAAGTCATTTATCAAGCAAAGAATGCCAAACATTCACTGGTTCCAGTTTTGCAAAACCAATATCCTGATTTCCTCTGTTTTATATCATAAATTGAGCATGTTTGGGTTTTGGACAGAAACAAGTAATATGAAGATGTCGCCTTGAGATCTGGGAAGTTGTGATGGCCATATTTTACTGAGCTTTTATAGACTAAAAGATGAATTGATTAATGGAGAAAACATCCCACAACTTCATTGATAATTAAAATGTTTGTTAGTTGCGGCCATAGACAGAAAATGATTGAATCAGATTTACTGGCTAAACAACAAAAGATTGAGGAAGAGATGGATGCAGGAACAGAAGGATGAGCGTCACATTTCACCTTTTCCTGGTACTGTCGCCGTGAGGAGTCCAGTGACTGGATGAGAGCGGTGGCGTGGCCGATGAACATGGCGTAGCAGGTGGCTCCTACGATCATACTGAGCATGGTGAGCCACACATCAGTCATCCCTTCTGGAGCCTGGGCACCGTACCCGATACACAACATGTGGCTCATGGCTTTGAATAGAGCATACGAGTACTGAATGCCCCATGTGTCATTCTGCGAGTGGGAGACAGAAAGAGAGCGTGGTAAAAGAAGTTTCAAGTCTTAATTAAAAAGCGCACTAATATTGAACCATTCTTATTTTAGTCAGGTTACATGAGCTTTTTCCCCTCAGAGGCACTCAGCCACACCAGCTAAGATCATAACATTTAACAGCAGAGCAATTTAACTGTCAAACCTACTCTGCTTGAGAGTGTATAAAGCCACACACAAAATAAAAGGGCGGTCATCATGCATTATTAAATAAATGTCCTAAAGACAACCAGAAAGAAAGACCAGCCTCTGTTTGTGTGTGTGCCCTTCAGTTTTATGTTGTTTGTGAGTCCAATTATACAAATATGTTAATGGTCCATCGGATGAGCGGACTTTCTCTGGGGAAAATCTCAGCATCAGCCTGCTTAGCAACAGTCACCAAGGCAACAGCTGAGACTTGAGTCAGCTATTCATACAGTTGTGTATCTGTGTGCATTGATCTGTGTCTGTGTCCGTACATCTGCATGCACGTGAAGAAATCCCCAGCAGGTCCCAAGGCCTTCAACTGCTTGCATGCGTTTAAACCTCCACCTGATTTTTTTTTCTTTGTTGAGGTTTTTAATGGGAAAATCTTTAGTATTTGTGTGATTGTGAAAGTCAACCATATTCCAACTGGATATGTCACTGCATGAGCCAACTAACACAGATAAGGAGCAAACAGTGACAAATCTGATAAACACCCTCACTCTGTACACACACAGATAACCCAAAACCGAGCCTTTCTGAATCTGTGATTTGCATTCATCTGAAATAAATATCGTGCACTCTGTTCGAACAAGCTGAGATAGTGCTTTGTGCATTTCATTTAACTAAAACTGAACGTCGTGTCCTTTTTTGTTCTCTGCACAATGAAATCGTTCACTGCAAAATGTTCAAAATAACAGCCGCATAGATGCAGATGGTTGGTTAGAGACTCACCACCATCAGGTTCTTGGAAACCCAGCAGTCAGGAGGGAAGTCCTGCAGCATGGGCACCAGGAACTGGAGACAGCCGTCCCAGTGGCACAGCAGTAGCATCATGCCGATCAGGTTAACTATCCTCACCATGGCACTGGCAAGATCATAGGTCATATGGAATATCTGAGGTTGAGCAGAGGGAAAGAGGAGGAGGAAAATATGGATGCAAGTGGGGTAAATAGAAGAACTGGTGGAGAGGGCAGGTGGGGTTTATGTTTTCGCAAGGATTTTATTGTAAATGCAAATATAAAAAGGCCTTTCCTCCAGCTCATTGGGACAATACTCAAAAAAATGGATTTGATTCTACCCTAAAAACATGAGGCTTGTGATAACTTATATTTTACATTTACATTTTGAGTTTAGAACAGCCTCGTTCCCTTTCGACACTGTTCTCTGTTTCTAGTCTTTGTTTCCTGGTCTCTGTTTCTCACCTCCTCCCACTGGTGGATGTAGCGGATTAGTCTGGACAGGCGGAGCAGTCGAAGCAGGCTCAGGATTTTGGTGAAGCGGACGATGCGCAGTGCCCTGGCCGTCCTGTAGACCTCGGAGTCGAGACTGTCCACCATCAGAAAGATGTAGTCCACGGGAATGGAGGACACAAAGTCCACAGAGAACCAGCTCTTCAGGTAATTCTGGCGGATTGCCCTGAGTTAGAGCAGAATGGAAGACAGGGTGACATTTGTAATTTGGCAATAAAATGGTTGTCATCAATACTCAACAGGAACAGAACTGAAACGTGAACAAAGCTCTGCCACTGGCTGCTTGTCATCTTTTCACATCTCACACATGGATAACACAAATGCAGCAGATAGCCAGAAGAGCAATGTCACACTCTGCCTGTCTGCCATGCTGTGTTTTGAACTTTTGTGTTTAGTTAGCGTTATTTTGGTCTGTTGGGTTTTGTGGGTCTGTCTTGTCTTTCGTCTAGTGTTCGGTAACCCTTGTCATGTCTGTTACCCCTGTGATCCCTCTGCATGTCTGTCTCTGTTTTCCCCTGCTCTCTCTCTCTCTGCCTGTGCCTCGTTAGCCTTGTGTCTTTCACCTGTCTTGCTCCCGCCCTGCTCGTTAGTCCCTGTGTATATATACCTGGTGTTTCTGTCTTGTCCTTGTTGGGTCATTGTATGTTGTTACCCTGTGTTGCAGTGTGTTCTTGTGTTGTCAGCCTCACTCGTTGTGTTTCCCTGCTTGTTATTGGATGTTCTGTTGGACAACCTTTGTTTTTGGACTCTGTCATCTGCCACTCAGTTTGTAAGTGTGCTCGCCTTTGTTTGTTTATTAAAACCCCTTGAACTGTACCTCCTTTGCCTTGCGTCCTGCATTTGGGTCCTCCAACCTGCTTCACCACACATCCGTGACAAGCAAGTTAACATTCATGGCAACAGAGCTGCTGTATTGATATTTTATCTATAACATACGCATAAATAATGCTACCTTGACATGACTAATACTTTCAATACTTTTAATACTTTCACTGACCTGGGGTCCAGCAATATCTCAGTGTTGTCTTCCTTGATGATGCCGGTCCTGAAGTTGAGAACCAAGTCGACCATAAAGAGAGTGTCTGAGACTACGTTGAAGATGATCCACGAGGGAGTGTTCTCGTCTCTAAAGAAAGTGATGCCCACTGGCAGGATGATTAAGTTCCCCATCATCAACATTAACATCAACAGGTCCCAGTAGAATCTAGACAGAAAAAGACAGTGGTCAACTATGTTTTATTGTTTTCTGTTGTGATGTGAATATGTCTATGCTATCTATATGTACTGGAAGTCTAAGAAATATATTCTCACTGTCATCCAGTATGTCCCACATCCGTACATGCACACTAATTCTAAGCAAGTTTTTAGTAGCGTGTAGTATGTTCACACTGTAAAAGTGACAAAATGCCACAATGTAATGCACAAAGGAAATGAGCTGTTCACTGCTACAAAATTTTTTATAAATCGTGGGTGGTGGTGAAACGGCTACAGAAAGATATTAGAAAACAATAAGTATTAAATGGCAGTGACATTCAAAAGTTGCTGTTTGATGTCCAACATCACATATATTGTATGATTTCCTCTTAATATAGAATGGTAAAGTATATTGATTGACTACTTTCTTCTGGAGCCTGACCCATACTGGACTCTATAAGTCTGGATATCTCGGCCCCTGCTGCTTCAATATTGATTGATTCTTTAAAATACAATGCCTTGGCCTACCAAAATGCTTAAAAAAAACAAATGAGTTTTGAGAAATGACTGCTAAATATGACTTTTTGATTGTTAGAAACATTCATTTAAAGTTCAGCATCACTGAGTTGAAAGGTCACAAGGTCAACAGTGAGTTTCTTACACACACACTATACTACTGTCTTTACCAGCTGAATGATATTCTCCATGAAGCGCAAGCTGCCATCTTTGTGTGAAACCAATGGGGTGGCCCTTGAAAGGAGAATTCAGTGAGATTCAAACACTTTTTAGACTTGCTAGTCTTTCTCTTCTCCTGCCACCAGCACCATATTTTCTTTCAGTTAATCCTTTAATATCTCATTTTCATAGACATATTGTAATGTTAAGTTTTTCATATAGTCTCCCCTTTGTTACATCCCCCTGAGCCAAGCCGAGTAAGAACTTGGGATCACCCGGGACCCGAAGAAGTACAAATTCTTCCTTGTAGCCTTTTCCCAGCCTAGTACATGTGAATGTTTCCCTTAAGACAGTTTCATCCTTTGCAAATGCTTTGACAACATAAAGCACATCCTTTTTCTCTAATACCAATAAAGCAGAACTGAACTGAATTGAATAGAGAAAGCTAGACAGAGGGAGGGAAATGATCAGTAACCTTGGGAGGCCTCACCAATCCGTATTTCATGCTGGAGGGTATTTCTGGATGACGTAGCCCTCTCATAAAAATAAGGAGAATCAGTCTTGTCATTGGGATGCAGCAAGTGATTAAGGTATGACAGAAGAGGCGATTCAATCATCCGGAGATGATTCCTGTCATCTTTCTGTCTTCTCCCTCCTAATCCCTTTATCCATCATCTTAACCCATTTGAGTGACTTGCTTCTTCTTGCATCCTCTCTCCTCCTTTCCACACACAGACACACACACACACATAGACACACACTCTCTTTCTATGAGAAAGTACACTCACAGCTCAGTGGTCGATTGCTATTGAGCGCTGATTTAGTAACACAACCTCATGGTGTGACGCTACTGCTAGACTGATGAAGATTAAGTATGAGTCATCTCTCTGCTACACACTTCTCCCTGACTTTGTCACTTATACTGACAGATGTATCACTTCATAATCACTGGCAATAAATACAGGGATTATTTACAGACACAACGATTCTCTAGCTGTTGTGATGAGGCTGTAGATTTATTCTTGACCTTGAGGACATGATATGTTTAGTCTGATTACAGGAAAAATTCTGTAAATCACATTAAACAACACTGATGGTTTATGGCTATCAATTCCATGCATATACAAAATATTAACTCCAGTGCTTTATAGTGGTACTTAATGTTCTGATGGAGGAAATCACATGACAGAGCTTCTTAAGAGGCAAAATATATTTTATAATGATGTACAGACTTTGCTTTTACTACTGTATGTTGTACTAGAGCTGAAACGATTAGTCTATTAAGAAATTAGTCGATCAACGAAAAATGTATCTGAAATTCTCTAAAGCTTCTTGGATTTATCTGGTTTCCTTAGATCTTTATGATCTCAAACTGAATACCTTTGGGTTTTGGATTATTTCTCGGACAAAGCAAGCTACTGGAATATGTAAACTAGGACTTTGTGATGGGCTTTTTTTACTATTTAGTGATATTTTATGGACTAAACAGATTATTCGATTAATCCAGAAAAGAATTGGCAGTTTAAAGTATGTGATTCTGGAGAAAGCCAACAATATGACAAACGCCATGGATTAGAGCGAACAACAACACAGCAAGTATTGTAACTAATGTTAGATAAGTCATGGGTTAGCATACTTAGCACAACATGTAGAGAGGACGAGACGGTCCCAGACCCCACACACCAGCTCCAAACAGTGATACTCACAATTCTCCTGCAACAGTACTGAGGTGCAGAATGCGAGAGCGAAGAAGAAGAGATGGGTTGTGTGGGTATTTATGGAAATGTTGGGAGTGACATGATTGATGTGTGGTCCGACTCCTGAAACTCTGCTGGTAGCGCCACTTAATGTATAATCAAAGTTTTTGTTTGTGGTAGGGTAATGTGGTGCAAAGTTACCGAGTTCATTTACTCAAGTACTGTACTAAAGTATAGTATTGAGGTGCTTTACTTGAGTGTATCCATTGTATGCTACTTTATAATTCTACTCAACATCAACAACATTTCAGAAGGAAATCTCGTATTTTTTACACCGTTATAGAAACTATTTACTTTGGAGTTTAGGATTTTACACAAAACAACATATGACAATTTAAAAAAACTAAAACTTATTGGCTTACAAAAACGCAGTGTAGTTTGGGCGCTTTGTCACATTTCAGAAGAGCTGTTAGCAGTAAGACACATTTCCCTTGTAAACTTTCCAAATGGCTTCATTTTAAATAGCTTACGTCTCTGAGGCCCAAAGAGGTAACATTAGCCACTATTTCAGAAGGGAAAAAAGCAAACATTAGATAAAGCCCATAAAAAAACTTACATAAAATTAAAATACATATGTCCGTTGCCGAACTTTGTTTTTTCTTCTTTCGTGCGCTGAACTCAACGACCAAACTGTATATAAAGGAGAGAAATTGAGCTCCACCTCAACCAGATACACAGACGCAACAGTAAAATGCTGCTTGATGCATGATGCATCAGTATTAACAATCTAATAATGTAATTATATATGATATATTACTGACTGGGGCCATATTTCAGAAGTATTTTTACCTTTATAGTTTTGCTGGTATTACTTCTTTACTTCTAGTAGCTCTTTAAATTAAGCCATTTTACTTGTAATAGAGTATTTTTACACTGTTGTAGTTTTACTTAAGTAAATAATCTGAGTGCTTATCTCCACTATATATTACATTATCCATTAGAGATATGTGTTTCTCCCTGCCTGTCTATGAACACACACACGCAGGCTATAACATACACTGTTGCAATGTTTTTCATCTAACCTCAATAGCATGCAGCAATAATGTTTTATTTTACTGAGTAGCGTAATGGATGACATTGAACATGTCACTGCACATTAATCAGCCTCTGTGTACTAGTTAAAGCTGTAGTCTGAGATGTGGCAGCTGATTTGACCTCAAACAAATGGAAATAACCAAACAGACGAGAGAAGACATTAGATTCAAACTATAAATGATGTGAAGGTTTGTCATGTTAGACTAAATACCTGACAAAGCCTGGTTTCTGATCTCCCAACAGCGGACTGATGCAATACTGGGTCGTGTATTGTGTGTGGTTCATGCAGGTACACACTTACGTGCACTCATGATCTGCACACACACACACACACACACACAGTCTCTCTCATACACACAAAGAGGAATTGCAAATGCAATCAAAGCTGTTCTCCACGGCCTCATCAGTATACGATTTTGAACATGAGCAGGTGCTAGAGGAGAACTGACCTGCATCTACCTGCTCAGCTGTTGTCAAACCAAACACTAATTCTACTGTAATTGAGGCCAAGTGTCTCCTGAGCAGCCTGTGATTGGTTCCCTGTTTGCAGTTGGCCAGATGTCAGTTCTGAGCAAGTTTCCACCCATCATCCTGCCAGACACACAGACAAACAATCACAGCAGCAAGCGGCTATTATATAAGAAATCCCTGCTACTATATGTGTAATGCCACAAACTCTGTTTCAACATAACCCAGCCAGACTGCATGTCTATCATGTTTTCACCCCTCTCTTCCACTTTATATGCCTCTTTACTTAATGAGGTGAAGGACGTGAGAGCTTATCACGAGACTCAATAAAGCCAGACCACACACACATACAAGTATACATATTCGTGCACACACACAGACACACACAGGCTCTTGTGCTCAAGGTCAACACCGGGACAGAAACACATAAAGGGGCTTCAGAAGTAATCTGTCTTTCCTTTCATTCTCTCGCTCCGGCCTAAGAGAGTTGCTCTTCAGTCGTCGCTCCAGACTACAGGTACTTAACTGGAAAGTTAGATGGCTGAATTATGCATAATGCATTACTCAACTCGCATAATTTAAGGATGTCATCCATAATTGCTCAACGTTCAATTGTGATTCTCCAAAGGGTTAATTAGGACTAATAACATCTTGTGATATGTCGAATGAATAATATCAGTAAGTGCAGGGGTGACTGAGATTCAGCGGGGCATCCATCCATCCACACCCCTTCATCCATTCTGCTCTCCATTCCTTGCTGACCTTATTCACAGTATCTTCTGTGAGCAGACTCATAAGCAGCACTTGTGAGTGATCATCAAATTGACAGACAATACGAAATGACTGTGTCTATGTGTGTGTGTGTGGCTGAGACAAAAGTGGGCCAGGAGTCTTGGGAATCAAGTCATCCATTGTTGCTGCAGTCTGTCTGGAGATTATGAATGCTGTCCCTCCCTCTGCTGTCCACCTGCACATATTAGGAGCATACTTGTGCAAAGTCTCTAACAAACCAATAACTGCAGCCAATCCAAGGCTGCTTGTCTGCTGTAAATAATGGTGCCAATTATTCTGGAAGACACAACCTTGTATGAAGTCACAAGCAGGGCATGCGGTGCTGGGTTCATCACTGTTCACATGAAAACATACTTAACATTTTACCTAACTGACTTGGAAGACATCTCTCACTGCTCCCCGATCAGCCAAATGCCTCTTGGCTAAATTTGTCCTCCTAATTTGCATCTCCTCACCTCTATCTCCCGCCAACTGTGAAACTATTTATTCTGGAAACAACAGGCTACAATTAGAGTATTTATGCTCTCACTATGTTACAATTGGAGACCTGACATTCCTGCATGGGGTGTATCCTGAAGGCCTTGTCACCAACACAATGTCCTTTCCATAAACAGCTCTACCTCTGGCTGCTTTGTTCCCCCAAGGACTTTTCATCCACTCCCCCTTTTTTCATTCTGCCTTTTCATGCATCCTCTAACTCTACGCTGTTTCCTTCTGAGACTCACTCTCCCATTGTATCTCCTCTCCTTTAACTCTCAGATCACTTCATATACACTTCAGTTGTGTCCCCAGAAATATTATATTTATCACCTCCTACATGTCTCTTTCTCATCCAAGTTGTCCCCCTCCCTGTTCCCCCACTTAACAGAAGAGGCTGCTGAATGACCTGTTTCTCTTTCCCTGTTCCTCCGACTGCTTAAGTGTCCATCATTATGCTTCAAGTTTGCTTGCTAAAGTGAGTACAATTCTGACTTGCTTTGATCCATTTCACTAAAAGAACATTGTGTTATTATGTGCTACAAGTGGCTTTTATTTTACAAACCAACAGTGACTGCTGTGTGTGTGTGTGTGTGTGTGTGTGTGTGTGTGTGTGTGTGTGTTACTCCATACCTGAAGTCACTGTAGGGGTGTATGATCCATGTCCCTGCTGATTTCAGTCTTTCCTGCTCCAGTGCCACAGCTTTGTGTGATCCAAACATGCGCAGGCTGAACTTGTTGACCCCGGGCTGAAGCATGGCTCCAAACTGCCTCTGGATGAAAGTGCTCTGGTTGGAGGTGCTGTAGTCCTCCCCGTCTAAACCCATGCCAAACAAACCCAGTCCATGCTGACCCATCATCTCAGGGCTCCCCGCGGCGGTGGTGTTACAGGCCGTGGTGGTGGTGGTCTCTAGGCCTGTGGCCACCACCATCACTCCGGTCCCGGTGGAGGAGGTGGAGGCCAGGGCGGCGCGGGACGCAGTAAAGCCCACTGAGCGCGGAGGAGGGTGGGCTGTGACAGACGAGGAGGGCGGAGGAGGCGGCAGGGGTACCGGTGTGGTTGGGGTACCGGCTGGGCGAAAGGGAACGCCGTCCCTGGTGGAGGAGCTCATGATGGAGAGGCGGCGGCCGCGTCCACTCAGGGAGGTGCTGTCTGCCCCGAAGGAGCCCCTTTCCCCTTCCAGTGAGGCCTGGGACAGCCTGTAGCCCGGAGAGGGCAGGCTGCCCTTACTGCGCCGCTTCGAGTCCCCTCCGCTTCGTCTGGGAAGGCTGTCACACCCAGAGCCCCCGGCGCTACTGGGGGTACCCACGCCTCCAGCCACCCCATCCATCCCGGCTCAGGGAGGTGGAGGGTGAAGGGAGGGTGAAATTAACCTGTAACTCCCGCCCCCTCAGGAAAACTACCTTTTGGTCTTAAGTCAACTTGTCTAGATTACATAGGCTAGGTGAGAATGTCAATGTCAATCTGAATGTTAAATTGAAGACACTAAAGTAGAGTGGTCTCTGTATCTCTAGTCATTCTCCCGGAGCCGTCAGCTCACATTTCCACCCTCTCTCCGTCGATGTGGCCATGCTTAGGCTACCTCAGTGCCCTTGGAAAAAGCCCCATCCATTAAATCCTTCCTGCCGGTGTGACGCCAGCAGCTTCACTTTTACTCTTCTCTTAAGGAGTCTCGTTTGTCCTTACAGATGTTTCTGTATAATTCCTCCTTCCTCGTCCTTGAAACGTTGCTCTTCCCCCGAGGCCCTCCCTCTCCTCTTCACAGCCGCCCTCATCGCTCCGACGCCGGTCATATTGGCACCGGATTCCCTGTCTTTTGTAGATAACGGAGCTCGCCCTTCACTGACCGAGTCCTGTCTGTGTAGCCTATATGTCCAGGCTGCTCACCCAATTGTGCTATTTTCTATATATATCATTATGTAGGCTAAGAGATGACTGAGCGTGAAAGTGGCAGAGTGGAGACATTCATCCGCGGGTGAATGACAAGGACACTTGATTCTCTGTCAGGAGGGTTGGATTGTTAATGTACATAAGGGACGCACACAATAGGCACACACGGGCGCTCGTACTCCAAGGCGCACTGATTCATTATGACACCCACCAGAAACACGCACACAGAAAAACAGACGATGGAAATCGTCAACCTCAATTTACCACCAATCTAGCCCGTGTTTTCACGGAATCCGCGGCACGTTGTCATTTTCAGTGTCATCATGATGGAAGGCGCGCCGAAATGTTGCCTGACTGAAGCGCTCTGGCTGCCAGAGGAGCGGCTCTACAACAGGGCTATTTCGTATACCGGTGCCGGAATTAACTTGGTCGGACGCCCGAAATCTTCAGTTCTCTCATCAGCCATCTATTCGCACTTCTGCCGACTTTCAGTGACATTGTGTCCAGACAACAGGCAGTGTCCCTTCGCCCCGTTTGGCACTGAGGACAGACGAATAGGCTCTAAGCAGCTCCACGGTGAAACGGTGCGCTCTGACGAATTCAAAAGCCTCCTTAAAAAATAAAACAACTTGTTGAGCGTTGAAGGTGGCAGCTCATTCAAAGACCGTTCAGAGCCAATGGAGTCCTGTTAAAAGCTGAAATTCACTTCTCACTCTGACTCGGCAGTCAGAGGTCGATCCCGCACGCTCTCAGTGGCGCGCAGCGCATGCAAATGACATATTAAATAAATAAATGTGTATATAAAGGTCTGGATCTAATCGGCCTGTTGCCATGGCATCCGCATCCCCATCATCCATCCCCCAAGGCCGCATGCCCGGCCGGCGCAACACGCACCCATCCCTCGCAGGTACAGGTCGCGCGTCATCCTCTCTCACCAATAAGACGAGGGAGCGCGTGATGGAGAGAGCGATGATGAAACTTTATTTAAATCTCGGAAAACAAGAGCAAGCCTTTTCAACAAAGGTTACAAGTTACAGAAAAACGGAACAAAAAGACACCAGTGGAGAATGAAATACAACAGGATTATGTTGATAACAAAGCGTGAGGTCCAACCAACCTGATGATAAAGCTTAAGTAGCCTATTTTAAAGGCTACTTCTGGTGTAATGAATTATATTTTTATGTTACCCAGAGCTGATATGTAATAGCTGCTAATTTCAGAAGACTTCAAGTTTTCTGTTAATACACAATCAGTAATTTGCTACCCCCAGAAAAAGCTGTATACTTACAAACACAATGAAGTAGCCTATAAGGTAGGCTATTTGTGCTTTATGTGATTTTTAGCTTATAGGCTAGTTAATACTTCTGCTCCACTAAATTTAAGAGGAAAATATTTTAGCTTACTCTTTACTCCACTACATTTATTTGATGGCAATAGTTACAGGTTACTTTGCAGATTACACATGTCTAGCCTACATATGGATCTTATTATAGTATAAAATATGATGCATAGATGTATCCATCCAATAAATCAGCTTCATCTCAGCCACCTACAACATTAAATTGCTACTTACATATTAATGCACCATCAATAATAAAAAACAATACAATTATATGTAGGCCTATGTGTATAAAATAATACTCTGAAAGGGGCAATTCTGCATAATAAGTACTTTTGTGTATATATTTCTTCTACATGATTTTTTTAAAATAACCCGAATTTGGAAGTATATAAGTAAAAATATAATTCTTTAAGTGCTCTAAATGCATTGTCTCCATACATTTTGCTCAATGAGCTCACGTGAATGTGGATATTACAGACAGAATATGTAGAATATAGCCTAGGTAATCTAAGTAAGGGGGAGTCTAGGTGCAATAGAGCTGAAAAGGAAACACCAAAGAAGGATGATAGCTGCAGAAAAAGGCAAGGACGTCACATAAAGGATATTCAGACATGAGAAAGCCCCATCGGGGAACAGATATAATTCGTTTACAAGAGAACAGTAGGCAAATGTCGGCATCTGGGTTATCTCCGTGGACAAAAGGGTGTAGTTCAATACCCGTCATCTCTGCATCGCATTGCTCACAACAGCAGAAAGAATTGCACCATCACAGAGATAAGCTCAGGACTATGGACAGGAATGAAAGCGGTATCTCCAATTCTATAAAGGCTACCAATAAGATATGCTTCAAAAATGGCATGCACAGAGACATTATTTGTTTTTAATTTTTTAATTTTTAAAATTTAAAATTAAAATTTTTAAATAAACACAAATAACAGAGATGAAAAGAAGAGACTGAACAGAGACTGTTCAAGTTAATGATTCAAGTTTTATTTGGAGGGAGTATTTCAGCTTTCAAGGCATGTTCAACACAAATTCAACATTTGTGAGACCAATTACAAGTGTTTCCTTACCATAACCTTGAGTTTAAATAACAATGATGCTGCTGTCAAAAATGCTTTTGTTAATCTATCAGTGACAGTGGTTTTGATTTTATTAAAGGTTCTCAGGTTTTCATCACATTTATACATTATATCTGCGTTAAAGAGGCTTTAACACTGGCTCTCAGTCAAGTAAGGTAGGGTTGTTACGGGACCGTGACTGCCCTCATAATGTTAGTGTGACCCGACCCTGGGATCCAGCCTGTCACAACAATCACCATGTCGCCTGACTTGAAGAATCCTCTTGCTTTTCCTGAGGAGATGGATGGAGAGATACACAGGAGAGGGTGTGTGAGTAAGAGAGTATCATAGCATTCAAATAAGCAGGCTAATGGAGGCATCCAAACAGCTCACATGCACACACACACACACACACACACACACACACACACTGACCTATATCCATGCCAAAGTTGACCCTGTTGTCTACATCATCAGCCCAGACAGGAGCAGGCAGCGGGTGGAAGAGGACAGGAAACACTCCTCTTAACAGCTGAGACTGACGGGCCACCTGAGGGAGACGACAGCGACTGTGAAGGCTCAGCGTTACTTTCGGGGTTTTGTTACATTAGAATGAATCTTTATTGTTATTTGATTTTTAAACTGCTTATTGTTGGGCCTATATGGTGATGAATGTCTGTCAGCCCACAATGACCCAGGGACCTATTTATTGCAGCGGTTTCCAGTATGTGATGATGCTTCAAAGGTTATGAATGGTCAAAACAAACAATGATTTCCCATCTTAGATTGTTTCAAGGATTTTTAGAGACGTAAAGAAATGTAAGTATCCAGTATTTCACAAGAACAGCAAACATTTAAGAAAAATGTAAAGAAAAATCTAAATACCCTAGGTTGGGACCCACTGATCTATGCCACTGAAATTTTGGCCCGTGACAAGATTGTCTCAAAATCTCAAGGCCAGACATATTCAGAATAACAATATTATCTGGTCTGATCCCCTTCCTCAAGCACCACCAGCAGGCCAAAGTTTCCACTTGTATACAATAAATAAATACATTCATGCTTCCCAGAGGACTAACCCACTCCATCCTGAAAGCTTTATGAGCTTTCACTATCAGGCCCAAATGTTACATTTGAATACGCTGTAATGGGCAGAATGCTGTTAAACACATACATATTGCAAAGGGGAAACACCTGTCTGATCTTCATGCCCCCGTGGCCTTTCCTCTAGTTTCACCCTCAGGAAAAGACATACCTTATAACTAAAATTCATGTGTGAGTAGGCTTCTGATTCCCAGCAGTGTTAAAAATGTGTGTATTTATGGAAATATAATGTTTTGGACAAAAGTGGGCCCAAAATGCCTATTTTAATCCTCTTCTATCAAATCTATTACTGAAACACTTTCAGCAGTTGGTGTTACAATTGATAACTTTGTCTCTGTAATTATTTGTCTCTTGTATCCATTATCATTTTTGTTTTATTGTTTTTTCTTTTTTATATTCTTGCTGGAAATGTTTTTATCACATGACTAGTTCAAACATATTATTTGTATATCACTGTCAACAGGACACTCCTGCAAAAGAGAACTTGCTCTAAGAGAGTTTCTACTGTTAAAATAAAGGTTTGGACAGACAACATTCAATCTGACCATCCGCAGTGTCCACCCCAATTCCAGATGTGTTACTCTGAATCTGACCCTGTCCTTTAACCTCTGATAGCAGTGAGAGTAAATACTGACTGTATCACACATTGTGCAGTTTTTAAAAGTGACAAATCAACTAATTAGCTGCATTTCAGACAAGACAAATGTGCTGCTGGTTCAGCAGACTGTACCTGAGGGCTTCTGGTGATGGCAATAATAGGACATCGAGGGCGGTACCTAGACAGGAGATGTGCTGCCCTGAAGAGGCGAGAAGGTACAGTTAGGTGCCAAATTAATGGAAAAAGCAACATAAAGTGTCTTAGTAAAGTGTTGTTTTATTTGACTTTGGTGAAACTCTGACTTTCCTCTAGCGCCACCATGAGTTAGACATTTAACTTTGAGTAAAATGTCTCCACAACTTTTGGATGGATTGCCATGAAATTTGGTACAGGCATTCATGCTTCCCTCAGAATAAATTGCAATCAGCCTCAACTGTGCTTTTTGTGCTAATTAGCAAATATTAGAAAGTGTTGGGGAGTAACTAGTTACATGTAATTTAGTTACGTAATTTAATTACAAAATAAATGTAACTGTAATCTGTTACAGTTACTAGGAAAAAATGTGTAATTAAATTAGAGTTACTTATGATTTTCTATTCTGATCCTTTTGATTGGTTCTCAAGTAATTGATATAGTTACTACTATTACATTATAAATAGGGTAACTTGTAATCGGTGACCTACATTTCCAAAGAATCCTTCCCAACACTCTACGCCAACATGCTGAACTAAGATGTTCAACATGGTAACCTTTGTACCTGTTAAAAATCAGCATGTTAGCTTTGTCATTGTGAGTATATCAGCATGCCTACACTAGCACTTAGCTCAAAGCACTGCTGGCCTCACAGAGCTGATAGCATCGTTGCAGACACTTAGTCTTGTCTCCTTGCCATCTTGATCCAAAATCAAGGTCAACTGTGTCTGTTTGGCCTTTTTCCCCCCTTCAATTTGTCACCCTATGTTATGCCTATGTGTGTATATAGATATGTGCTCATTTAAAATACACATTTACTGTATATATGTGTAGCATATCTCAAGTATGTGTGTGTGTGTGCATTTGTGCAGAGAACAGAAACTGTTATTTTGCCAGGTAGTTAATTTACACAGCAAGCAGTCAGAAAATTCAAAATAGACAAAAACATAACGGGACACACCATAAACATTGTAGTAAAAGGATGCGAAATCAGGGAACAGTATGGCAATATTTAATCTGTAGCTTTGCTCTGGGATAAATAAATAACAACTGTCGCTCCAGCCTTAAAAGAGCTTGTGTGTCTGTCCAGGGAGGAAGAGAAACTCAAGAACCGTGAGTGATTACTCAGGTCTAACAATTCCACAAATGCGTCCAGTATGTGTATGCATCCCAGTGTCCTATTACAAATTATGTTCATATTGGATGACTCTTCATGATTTGTGTCCAATGCCACCATTCAGTGGTAATGCAGGAAGTGGTGTCCCCTATATGTATAGACGTGGAAGGTTAAGGTGTGAATGGGCATGTAGATTGAATTCCGTGCAGGAGACTGGAGTTTGCATCCTGCTGCAGACCTCACATTGACCTTTTTATTTTAAGTAATCACAATCATTTCCTAACCTTAAAGGAATAGTTTGACATTTTATGAGATACGCTTATTCCCAAGAGTTAAATAAGAAGAACGATGTTTGTACGGTAAGTATAAAAGCTACAGCTACAGCCAGCAGCCGGTTAGCTAGCACAATGACTGTAAACAGGTGGAAACGGCTAGCCTGGCTCTGTCCGAAGGTCATTTATACACTTTTTGTACTAATGACAAGATACAATGTGTTAATTACTGAGATTTAGAGATGCTGGTAGGTGGATTTTGTTACCTTTGGACAGACTGTTTTTGCACAGACGGTCTTTGTGCTAAGCTAAGCTTACAGGCTGCTGCTGGCTGTAGCTACATATATAGCCTACTGTACAGATATGAGAGTTGTATTGATCTTCATGTCTAACTCTCAGCAAGAAAGCAAATCTATTCCTTTAACAATACCATATATTTGTTTGTGGTAATAGGTTTGGTGTACACACTTGCCACTGGTGGTGAGGACAATGATGGCTCCAGCACAGCATTTGAAGGAGGACTCTACAGCTCCAATGGCTGTGACCTCTGTGGGGTCAGAGGAGAGAGGAGTGAGGCGACGCAACTCTTCAAACAGCTGTTGGTGGAAAATGGCTGCCTCTGCCTCCCTGCAGATCTGAGCGCCAGAGAGGAGTGAGGGTGTGGGGGAGACAGAGGGGTAGAGGGTTATCAGAGGACTCCAAGTCAGATGTAATAGAGTGGACATCTTGCACACACAGAAACACACACCGAGTGCATCATTGCGACTGCCTCCACAGGAAACAGTCCCTTGGCGGTCTCCCCAGATAACATTACACAATCGGCTCCATCCAGCACAGCGTTGGCGACATCACTGCTCTCCGCTCTGGTTGGCCGTGTGTGGGCCACCATGCTCTCCAGCATCTGCAAACACACATACACACACAATACATTAGCTTCACATTGGTCTTTTAACCACAACCAAAATGTCATAATTAGGGCACTGCAAAGGGATTCGATCAATTAATCCATACAAACAAACCACTGAATACATCCACTTTTGTCCTAGATGAGAAACTAATGTCAGACAAAAGGTTTTAGGGAGAGAATGAAGAGAGGTAGCTAATGGCTTTGTGGATGGATGGACAGCAGTGGGGGGGAAGAAATGAGAGATAATTTAGTCAGCAGGCGAGATCATTATTGGCATGCCTGGGACCCAGTATTATGAGTCAATAAGCGCGCCAGACAGTTGGGAAAGAAGATAGCTCACAGCATTGCCTGAGAGGCTGCATTTTTGTAGCCTAGTAGTTAAGAAGCTGCTGCTTATGCAGATTAGTGAATGTGTGTGGGAGTTGGTTGTGGGCTCGGGTCTCGAGTAGCAAACCTGCTATAACGCTGTCATTCTGAGTCAGGAGCTGTAGCATAAACAAGACATAGCACTGTGACTCAACATGGCTGCAGGAGTGTGCGTGCATGTGTGTGTGTGTGTGTAATGGGAGAGGGGTGTGAAAGAGAGTATGTGTGTGTGTGTGTTTCTGAGAATAAATTTATTGGACAAGAAATTGTGTGTTTGTGCAGTACATTATGTAGGAGTGCGGGGTTAATGTGTTGCTGTTAATGTTAGTTTACTTGGACCCATTTGACATTTGATTGGATAACACTGTGGTTAGCGTCTAAATCTGCATTTTTGATCATTTCTGCATGCTGTGCTGTGTGTGTGTTTGTGTATGTGCTCGTCCCTGACCTGTGTGGCACAGATGACAGGCTTGCCAGCAGAGTTGCAACGTCCAATCATCATCTTCTGGGCGATGAAGACTTTCTCCGCCGGGATCTCAATCCCGAGGTCGCCCCTGGCAACCATCACGCCGTCACTCTCAGCCAGGATCTCCTCAAAACTGACAGAGAGATTAGGGAGTGGGGGGTTCGGAGGCAAAGGATTGAGAGTTTGGGATAAAAAAGAGGGAGTTGGAAAAGAGCACAAGAGGAGGAGTGAGCAGGGACGAGGAAGCAGAGAATTATTCAGGTCTTGACCTGTGAAAACAGGATTTTGCTCACTTGCTTCTGGATCCTGAAAACATATTGAGCAGTAAGAGAAACCGAGAGATAAGTAATGGACACAAGAGAGCTACTACATAAATTCTATCTATTAAGTGTCAGCTCACACAGACAGCCACATGGATCGCTTATTATGTGTAAAATCCAGAGCTGACATATGTCCATCCATCACTGACAGCTGTCTGTCCACAGGAGCGCTGGAAGTCACGTCGCAGCCTCATTAAGAAATCACTGCCTCCAGCTACAGTGAAGCTTATTAAATGTGCCTTAATAGTTTTATTTATAGTATTTTCCTTGACTCACTTCTGAACCCCTTGCCTGCTTTCCACCTTGCTGATCACTTTGATATCTCGTCCGGGTGCCCCCAGAACTCGCCGCACATCTTTGACATCCTGGGCAGAGCGGATGAAGCTGGCGAACACCATGTCCACGCCCTGGGCCACCCCAAACCTCAGGTCAGCCTCGTCTTGCTTGCTGACCGCCTGCAGGCCGATCAGGTCGCAGCCAGGGAGGTTAACGCCTTTACGACTGCACAGCACCCCACCAGCCTCTACCACCGTATCCACCCAGTCGGAGCCTGCCTCAAAGTATAAATGGTTATTATTCCCCACAAACTTCGCTTTTGTGACCAGGTGATATTTAAAATTTACCTATTTCCATTGGGAAAACGGGCAAATTTGTGTCTTTTCGTTCACATAAGGTCAGAAAACATCAACATATGAATCCAAATTAACACGTATTTATATATGTACTTATACACTGGCTTTGATGCTTATGTGGATTTATCTTTTTTTCTTTCTTGTTTCTTTTATTATATATATTGATGCACTTATATTGCAAAATCTATACAATACATATCATAAAACAACACAATAAGAGGCAAAGAAGTAGCACTTCAATGCAGATGTACAGCAGCAGCATTACAGGCATGCTGCCACATAACAACTTTGCAACCAAAAGTGTATTACCTGTTTCTAGTACTTTGAGTCCAATGAGGCCGTCATCTATGTAGATCTTGCCTCCCTTCTTGATGACTTTGGGCAGGCTGGGATAGTCCACCCAGATAATGTTCCCGTCTGTCTTGTCTTTATCACTCTCTGCTGTCACCACTCGGACATGACTGCCCTTTTCCAGCTCCACCTCCTCCTCTACTTTCTATACAAACACACACATGTACAGACACACAAAACGGAAAGAAAGTAATCCTGAGTAAAGCATTAAATAGCATTTTTATGTCTTTTCAAATGCATGGAAGGTGTTGTTGATTACCTACTAGTTGTTTTGAGGAAATCATCTTTGTGTGTGAAACCTGTGGGGCAAGTAGAGAGTTTCTTCCAAGTACTGTTTTGAGCTACTGTGTTTGCAGGAATGTGTCTACACACAGACATGGACATAAAAACTGTCCTGCAGACTGTTTACCATGAGCATGAACCAACAAAGTGAGAAATGCTGTGAGAAATGCTGTGCTATTAATTTTTAATGAAATGTGATAATTACAATGTGGCAACCGTCCAAGTTTTGATGTTATCATCTATAGCATGCTGATATACCACTATCTGTGGAGCGCAAACAAAAAAACAACAAAGATCAAATGTTTGCCTTTCTGGTTCTGAGAGAGAATCTTTCACCGGTTTGCTGTCGCAAAAACACAACCTGCGCGGGGCTGATATCGGCTTGAGCTCCACACGCTGTCTAAACCAGTGAGTGTTTGATTTAATGCAATGCTGAGCTTCAACAAGCCTGTGTGTTTTATGATGCTTGTGGCTTAATAGTTCTGGTAATTCACATCACAGGTTTTAAGAGCCAGTGATGATGATAACATGACAGACAACTGTACAGGTTTATAATTGTCCACTGTTTTCTACCAATAATTTGTTGATGTCTATTTGCTGACGCTTCAGTGTACTTGTTTTTTAGTTGTTGTTTTTTTTGTTTTAGAGTGTGTGTTATCCTTCCTGTTATCAACATACTTCTTGTTAATGTAAAATATCATCTGCTAAAGCATGCAAGAAATTAAATGGCATCAGCAATCATGTTATGTAAAACGTTGGAATTAGTTGGTAAGAATATCATTTATAGATAATATTTAATATAAACAATTTTAGAACAACATTAACACACAATCCTATAACACCCGTGTTTGTTACTGTATTTTATTTTCCAATTAAGCTACTACACAGACTTTCGGGAACACACTACAAGCAAGAATCTGTGTGCAGCTCATCATGCGGAGCATTTTCTAAGCTAATCAAGGCATGAAGAGGTTTCCAGCAGCTTGGAGTTATTTGTTCAGCAAAGCAGATGGCATGCAACAGCAACACAGAGAACAACACAGTAAGGTGATGATAAATAAGTGAAAGAGACACAACAAATTGTTGTTTTGCAAAAAAAAACAAAGCAGGTAACAACCTGTAAAAAGTGATGATGATATAAAGCAGCTGACATATTTCCAACATCTCTTACACCTGACTGAATGTGACTGGTTGATTAGGTTTAGACAGTTTGATAGATGAAGCATAACATGTTTACCCCTTTCACTAATCCGGTGCGGATCTCTGGACCCTTCGTATCCAAGGCGATGGCAACCGGCCGATAATACAAGGGGTCAGAAGTTAACGTCTCCACTGCCTCTCGGATGTTTTTGATGGTTTCACCGTGGTGCTGACAGACAGAAAACCAATACATGACTGATAGAAAGACCAAAACTTGTCCTTACAAGTGCTGCAAATGTGAGACGGTACACAGAGAAACACGGGTGCTGCTGCATACTTCATGTGAGCCGTGAGAGAAATTTAGACGGGCAATATTCATTCCTGCCTTGACCATCTCTTGGAGTTTGGGGATTGATCGGGAGGCAGGACCTGAAAGGAAAAGAAATAAGAGAAAGGACGTTTTACATTAAAACATTCACTGTGCTGAAATAAGAAATTGATTGACAGTATTGAATAACTGAATAATATTTCAGGCAAAAATAAACAAAAATTACTGATTCCAGCTTCTCAAATGTGACGATTTCCCACTGTACTGTCATAGTAAACTGAATACCTTAGGTTTTTGGCATGTCATTAAGACAACATAAGCAAATGGAAAAGGCCTATGTCAACTTGTATTCTGGAAAATTATGATGTGCCTTTTTTTCACTCTTTCCTGATACATTGAAGCCCTTCTGTGAGCAGTAAAGAAACACCTGCCTTTGAGAGGAACCAAAAGCAGTTTCTAGAGAGTCGACGCGCTGGATTAACTAAGAGACAATTTGTATATTGTATTTCCTTCTAATTATTTGCCTTTTTTCTGGGATGAAGAAACACAGAGAGCTCCACAGCGCCACAGCCAAGAATGAAACCCTGCCAGCACACTGAAGGCTACCCAGCACCCAGGAGCTGGCTGTCTGACAGACCGCCAGCGATGACAAACAACATTTGCCAGAAAACAAACTTGAAACTGAGACTGTGGCTGGTTGTCACACTCACCAATGGTGCAGATTATGCTGGTGTTGCGCGCTGTGATTGGCTCCTGGTCGATGTCCAGTAAACAGAGATGCTCCAGGAAAGTGTCAGCCATGCTGGCGTCCAGCTGCTGGCGCTGGATGAAAGAGTCCGGCAGTGTCATCACCTCAGAGTAGCGCCTGATGCGAGCTGTAGCGACAGAGAAATATTGTCAGCGGGGTGAAATCTGTCATGAAAAGTCTCCTGCCAAATCCACCTGTGAATACAAATGAACTAAACGCCTCAAACAGAAAAAAAGTGTGTTATATCTGTGTTAATGATGAACAAGAACAACAACACTAGTTTATTTTAAGAGTGAAGAGGTGGGATAAAAATGAATGTGCAGTGAGAGCAGAGGAAACATATAGAATATGTACGTTTTCTTCTTTCCAGTAGGAAATGCCGTATTTCAGACAGCTGGAGGAAGAAAATATTCTCATTTTAAATAAAATATGATCTCCCTCTCTACTGAAAAAGGTAAGTAAAGAAAACTGAGATGTCAGTTTAGGAGCTACATGTTCAGCCACATCCTGAAAACCACAGTGGAACATATTCTCCACAACCAAATGACAAATTAATAGATGAGAGTGTGAAAACTAAAGTTAATGTAAGTCCAATATTCACTCTCCTTCTAGCTCTGGTTTGGTCTCCTTAGAGACCAAAATGAGCTGAAAGATACTTTTATTACGATTATTTTTGCTATCATCACTACGAACGACCCCTTTAAAATTATACACAGTGTGTCACTGTTACTATAAAATATTTATTACAGCAGCTTTAAAATAAAAATGTTGAGTTATTTGATAGTGTAGATAATTTTCTAAAAACTACTAATAACTACAATCAACGAATCTACCACAAACAACCCTCAAACAGTTTCTCTACTCAAACTGGGATGACACCAGTATGTTATGCCATTCAACACCCTATCCCAGTGACACCACCAATGCTGCAAAAAACCTGACAATAAAAACCAGTAAATGGAGCCGAAGTGTCCTTCATACTAAGCATTGTGGTACCTGTGCTGAATACTTGGAGCCAGTACAATGGCATCCATTTTAAAGGATGTCACAGCCGGTCAAGTCTGCAATTTCTGCCACTGCAGGGGAGGGGAGAGTAAAGACAAGAGGTAAGGAGAATGAGAGGAGAGCCTGACAGACAAGGTCGCTGCTAACGGTACAACAGGAGTGAAGAGGTGAGGATGAAAGAGAGAGAGAGAGGGGAGGGGTGGGGAGGAAGACTGGAGGGCGAGGTGAAGAAAGGAGGAACATGACATGGTAGATTTCTATTAATCTATAATGGGAAAAAAGGAATTTGCTATTTCTGCAGAGCATGTCATACTGTTTAGACCGTGGTTATCAATCTTTTAATAAGTGTTGTGTAAAAATAAAAGTTAAATGTGTGCTATAAATTGAAGCCCTTTGTGATGAATGGACATGCAGAAACAGAGGAGCTTGAGGCATGCAGTGGAAACTCCCTGATGAAAATGGTGGCTGGAGGTTTTGCAGGATAACGTGAACATGCACAGTTCCTCTATCCTGTGGACTTGGTAGCTGTCAGTGTTTTCTCTCTCTTTCTCTTCGTGTCTTTTTCTCTCCACTTCCTCGTGACCCAGTTCTGCCGCACCGCTGCACACATCATTACGTGTCCCACTGAGATCCTCCTCTGACACATCCCAGAGCGTACACATGGAAACACACACACATATATACAAGCAGCCAGGTACCTGTTACTGAAAAGCTGACTATAAATAAAGCAGACATTAGGTCAGAGACAGCTGCGAAACATCAGTCAATGAACTGGATTTATGACTGATAAGAGAGGTCAGGTGTGACCTGTTTGCAGAGAGTCACCTTTCTGCATGAAAGCAGGTCTGAGTGCATGTGAGCACTTGATTCAATTAAAATGTATTTATATAGTGCCAATTCATAACAGAGGTTATTTTATTGCACCTTTCATCTAGAGCACGTTTAGACCAAACTCTTTGTAATATTATTTACCCAACAATGTACACCATGAGCAAGCACTTGATGACAATGGCAAGGAAAAATTCCCTTTTAACAGGCTGAAACCTCGCACAGACTCTAGGTCGATCAGTGAGTACATGTTTGTCCTCCTGCACTAAAGATCAAACAGATCTAGCAAACGACACGTCATTGGACCGATAAGTTAAAAAGGGGCAACTGAGCCATGCATATGACTATATGAATTTGATGCTGCATAACCACCGATATTAGCCACTAGATTACCATACACTGATTTAACCGCACACAGTTCCTTTGTCTAGTTCAATTTAATGATTAATCTGATCACTAAAAGGTAATTTTTTTGTGATCAGATTAATTCATGAATCATGCTGAAGCTGTTGCATGATAATGTACAAAACTTGCTCTGCAGCCACAATACAAATGAAAATAATTGGTCCACTTACCCATTTAGACAAAACATAAATTCTTTAAAGATCCAAATCCACTGCACAGCTCCTCCTCCTCTCTTGGTTTATTTCCGTGGATTTTATTCACTATTGTATAAATTTCCTCCTCTGCCTTTATCCTTGCCTGTGTTCAGGTTGTGCACTTGTCATTCTCAAAGTCCAGTGTCACTTGAACAAGCCTAGTTCAGTGACTTTCCTTCACTTTTACCCTCTGACCCCTCTGCTGTCCCCTTCATCTCTCCTCCCACTCACACCATTTAGAGTCCACCGCTTGCAACAGACTGGTGATTTTGGATGAATCAGCGTAGGTGGCTGAGCCTGACTGGGCCAAAATGATGCTAAAAATGGAACAACTTTATGTCAATAGCCCAGTGATGACATTAAACTATCAGGGTGACCTACAGTACAAAGTGATACTTTCTGCTGTATCGCTGCAGATTATGTAATCCTAACCCTGAGTAATTTCCACATGAAAGCTTCTCAAATGTGAGGATTTTCTCTTTTTTATATTGTTGTAAAACTTTGGGTTTTGGACTGTCGGCTAGACAAAACGTGACATTTGAAGACGACGTCACCTTGGGCTCTAGGAAAATGTCATTCTATTTCACTTTTTTCTATCTCTTTTTTAGACAACAATTTATCTGTAATTTGTTAAAAACCAACGACATCAACAACAACAATTAAACAGAGTAATTAATAATGAAAACTTGCAGCCCAAGTTATATAAGCTGAACTGATTTACTGACACATATCTCTACATCTGAATTTTTCAAAAGAGCATGACCAAATTAACTGATATTGTGTCACCCAAACTGGGGTACAGAGAACAAAGGACTTTTTCAGGAGGTTCCCCTCAAAAATATTTCATTTTACTAATATTTCACTGTTCAGGCTCATCATTCTCAACCCTACTGCTTGTAATTGTTAATAAATTGTTAGTAAATGCTTTAAATATATGTTAAAAGCCTAAAGAAGAAAAAGGTTTGGGTTGCCAGATCCTTGTATTCAGGGCTAAGCCCAAAAACAATCTCCTGACTTCAGCTGGTACAAGACGCAGATGCTCGACCAACACTAGAAGACAAAATAACATCAGTCCGGTTTTAGCCTCCCTTTACTGGTTAACTGTAAGTTTTAGAATTGATCACTGTTGAAGAACTTCATGGTTCTGCTCCCAGCTACAGTGCTGAATTGCTGCTCCCCTAGGAACCAGAGCGCAGTTTCATATCCTCTGTTAGCTGTTCCTTAACCCCGGCTCAGGACCAAATGTGACCAGGCTTTTGCAGGTACTCCCTGCCCTGAGAACCTGAGGCTTACAGATATGGTGACATCTTTTAAATCACTTCTCAAGACATCCCTTTACAAAAATAGCATTTTATTAATTTTTGTGCAGCCTTTCATTTCTGCCTTGTCTTATATGTCCATTTTTATTGTATCACTGTTGTGGAATTTTAAATTGTCTCTGTCTTGAAATTTTTTTTAATTTATGTTCAACCATGTAAAGCACTTTGTAACTCTGTTATGACAACTGCTGTATAAATAAAGAATATATATATTATTATTATTATTATTAAAATGAGATTGCCTGCAGCGCTTCCAGAAGGCCCTACGGTAAACAGTCCCATTGGAAGAATTCAAGCGATGAACTACAGAGCTAAAAGCCAAAGAAAGTGTCATAATATAGAAGATTAAACACCGGCCACAACCTGGCAACCCTAAAGCAGTTTATTATTTAACCTATCTATAAAGTAAATTATTAATCATTTAGAAGCCATTTGTTACAGCTTATAACCCCTTTTGAAAGGATGATTTATTAGAAAGTAGGATATATTATCAAAAGGAGTTTAATGCACATTTAGATTGAGGTTCTTGATGTGAGTTTCTGATCCTTTGAAAAAGTCATTTTTTTCCCAGAAATCTTAAGCTACTTGCAGTGAGTTCCTTTTTGACCAAAGGAACTATATCCCGGAACTAGGAACTTTTGGAGGAACCAAAGGGACCAGGGTCTAAATTTAGTTCTAGGGTCTAGAGACAGGTGTGTGGACAGGTTAGGATCCAGATGTTAAATGCTTATGAGACTTTGACAAATGAGGTGACGCATGTAGATGATGAGTCTTCAACACAGTTCACTCAAAGTTTCTGGTCTTTCTAAGAGTGCATGGAGATGCAAAGTTGTATTTCCTGCATGTATAGTCACGCCCGGGCTGACAGACGTGTAAATCGTTAGCCAAAGGACAAACAGACCTTTGTTCCTGAGTTGACAAGAGAAAATGTACCCTGCCTTTTTTCTTGTCTTTTTTTTTTTTTACCCTGCAGCCCTCTGCTCTGTGTAGCACGCACCACTGCACATGGCCTACCTGCCAGACTGGAGTAAAGGTCTGTTTTACGCATGGAGACCAAAGTGCAACAACATGATCCGCAACTCAACTCTGTAACACTTCAAATAAAACAATAATAGAATACATTAGTATTAAAATGTTCATCTTTCAGCCTCTAACATCAAAAACTTAACCTGTGAGTCAGCCGCCTGTTTCAGGAGAAAAATTAAGTCTTTTTATGGAGCTCCTCTGCAAACAATCGAGGGGAGAAAAGGAACAAGAAGGGAAATCGATGTCTGGCCGAGCAACAGAAATAAACAGCAGGAAATATATACAGCTGAAAAATTTACAATCTCACTAAAAACACAGCAGGGTACAGAAAGAGGTATTGGTATAAGCGCACAGTCCTTACACGCAGCACAAAGTCACAGTGTGAAGTAAGGTTGTAAAGTCTAGATGTTTAGAAATAAAGTGACCAACCTGTTGCATGGATGAAGCAGGCGAAGACTGAATTGTGAGGAGGGACAAGTGCGACACATGCAAATGAATGGGTTGGTGTGAGTTTTTGCGCCATCTAGTGGAGAGCGCTGTTACCGTTGCTTTTGCCTCAATGAAGACAACAGGAGGAGGAAATGCTTCTTTATTCATCAGCGTTATGAATGCAAATTGTTGCTCAGTATAAGCTTCAGAGAGAATAATCAGGAATCTGGCTATGATGTTTGGGAGATTAGGAGACAAACTGTGCCATTAAACATGTTAAATGTTGATAGCATGACTCTGTTCTCTGTGTGTTCCTGTGTCAGAGCTTGCTGAAGGTGATCCGTGGCGGAGTCTCAGGCTGGAGGATGAGGGTGCATGTGGTTTTGATGTCCTCTGAGGACGACACGCTGAGATGGAAGCTCAGCAGGATCTAGACAGAGAGGGAGGAGAGAGGAGAAGGGAGGATGAAGGGAGGCAGGGTGTGTGTGATAAGATGTGATGGAGGCGTGAAGACAGAGTGGAGGAGAACTAGCAGAGCGGGTGTTAAGAAGGATCACAGTTATGCTGTACTCACCAGGAATCAAGCACTGTAGGCTACTTAAGTACAATTTGGGCTACTGGTGCTTTGCCTGAGTATTTCCATTTTATGTTACCTGATACTCCTACTCCACTAGAATTCAGAGTGAAATGTTAATAGATACATTAAAAACACATTATTCAACACACTGTTAAATATTAAGCTAGTGGTTCCCAGTCTTTTTGGCTTGTGACCCCTTAGCAATAATTAACTAAATAAACTTTTTCTTGTTAGCAGTTCCACTAAAAGAGATCCTCCCTCAACTTCTCTGATGGCTTCAAGACTCTTTGGGGCCCCAGTGGTAGCACAATTATCCAATATTCCACAACAGAAGCAAACAGTACAGTCTTAAAAATGAATACAAATTGGCTTTTTGGAAGGGATCTGATCCGTCTTGTTAACCACTGGATTAAACAAACTAACTGTAAAAAAAAAACAAAAAAACTTGAAATGAGTTCCACCTCAAGCAGCTACAACAGTAAAAATCTGCCCTGAGGCATCAGGATGATGTAATGAGTCGCAGGGGTCTATTTTCATCAAAGCAATTACTATTACTTTAATAATTCTTTTATACTTTTACTTAGTAAGATTTTAAATGCAGGACATTTACTTTTAATGGAGTATTTTTACATCAAAGTACTGGAGCCTTGGGTTATTTCAGCCATTTCTGTACACTTTTGCCTTTATATACCACATTAAAACATGTTTACTATGCCAATGTTCAGTATCTCTTTTTCAGAACATTATCTATGTGACCTGAAAAACTATTTTCCCTTTGACATATCAACGTGTTGGATCCAAAAACACACAAAAAATAAAATCTAATTTGGAAAATTATTATTTTTCACACAAACATATGGCCACTGCATGAAAACTGATCAGACCTAAAGTTGCATAAATATGATTGATGTGGTGTCATAAAAAAAAAAGGGCTTGAACCTGATAATTTAGTTAGTTAGTTTTTTCAATTGCCCATGTTGTTAATAATTGATAATAAAAAAAAGTTCACCTTTGCTGGAGACAGGGGCTTGAACCTTTTTTGTCTTCTAAAACGGGGCATGACAGAAAAGGTTTTAGAACCACTGTTATAACCTAACATCAGCTTCTACACTGCATCCTTTCTCTCTGACCTCCATCCTCATCCTCCTTCTCGTCTGCCACTCACATGCATGAGCAAGAGCTGCATCTCGTTCTCAGCGATCCTCCTTCCGACACACTGCCTCGCCCCGAATCCAAACGCCAGGGAGCGAAACCCTGCCCCCTCGCCTCTTTGGCCATCCTCTCTGCTGCCGCTCCACCGGCCGGGGTCAAAGCGCTGCGGATCCTCAAACACCTTCGCACTCCTTCCCATGGGGTAAAGGCAGACCTGGACCATGGTCTGAGGGGAGAGTTGATGGCGGTCAAACACACTGAAGTAAGGTGAATGTACCTGAATATGTTTATGTGCAGATATGAGTATGTACTCACCCCAGCAGGTACGTGGTAATTCTGAAGAACAATATCTTTGATCGGATACCGCTGCACTGTTGTTCCCACCGGATACAACCTGCCGCAAAACACAAACAAACAGTTTTCTAGATGTTACCTTTGACTTCTGACTCACTCTCAAAACAAACTCAAGATTACGGGTAATCAATTCTCATTTCAGATATTTGAGGGGTGCACCTGTTGATGGAAAAACGTGTGATGGAAGCAAAACAGACATTTAGACAGCTGTTCCCCGGCTCACATCATTGATCTGAAGGAGACTTTTTTTTTTCTTCTCATTTCACATCCATCACCTCAGCTAAAGCCTGTTTTCATGGCACAGAAATAGGTTTTGCTTCATGGTAAAGGAGATTGCAAGCAGTTTCGCTTGCAGATCCTCGGGGGCCCCAAATGTCCTTCATTCACTATGTGTTAGCAATTAGTAATCAGCTCAATTGCAAATTTGTTTGCAAGAAAATTTGCACCACTGCAGCACAAGCTTTTGTCTCTATCTTGTTGAAGTGTCCATCCATCCATCCATCGTCAACCGCTTATCCTGCGTACAGGGTCACAGGGGGCTGGAGCCAATCGCAGCTGACATCGGGCGAACACCCTGGACAGGTCGCCAGTCCATCGCAGGCCTTGTTGAAGTGTCATCGTGTACTAAAGTTACTTTAAGCATGAAAGTTCTTTCTTGACTTTGGAAAAAGTAGTTTGAAAAAACAACAACAACACTCAAAGTCCAATTACACACTCTTTCTAGAACTTTGAAACATAGTACGTATCTCACAATCTTCATCAGTTGTTTCTGGGAGCTCTGGGGCAGCTGTGGCCCAGGAGGTAGAGTGGGTTGCCCACTAATTGGAAGTCCAGCACTCCTCCATGTCAAAGTGTCCTTCCTGTGTACCATTGGTGTGTGAATGTGTCTGAATGTTAGTTTCTGTTTCTGATAAGCACTTAGGACGTAAGCCTTTGCCAGCAGTGTATGAATGTGTGTGAATGGGTGAATATGACATTTAGTGTAAAGCGCTTTTAGTGGTCGGAAGACTAGAAAGGACCAATACATTTACCATAGCTCAGTCTATGGATGTTTCCATCCATAGCATTTTTAAAACTTCTTGTCTGGATGAGACAAAGGTAACCTACTACTGAGCTGATCTTCAGGACAAATGTGTAAACTCCATCCACTGATGGAAATTAAGCCCTGGAAAGGTTAGTAAGAGGACCTTGAGTTGGATGAAGGAACCTTCATGCTTCCATTTAGATTAGAGGTCCTAAAAGTTCTATGGGAAAATTATAATGATCAAACTCCATCCACTGATAAAAAATTTAAATCAGGTCATACACAGATGGATGTGTCTTGAGTGTTATTTACCTGAGAATCTCCTTTATTGTGCCTTTCAGTAATGGCGCCCCCTGCAGGGCTTTCTGAGGATCACCACCAGCCTGTGCCCATGATGCCCTCACCTGCTGCCTCACCCTCTCCTGCACCTCTGGGTTACGGCCTAGCTCAAACAGACCAAACTGCAGGGGCACCGCTGTCTGCAGAGAGGATGGGATGAGACGTGACATGGAATCAGTTAGGGTAAGGTATACAAACGCAGGCCGAAGAAGACAAAAACACACACACACCGTGTCGACTCCTCCAGCCATCAGCTCAGTGATGTTGGCTTTGATGAGATCTAAAGATAGCTGCCCTTTTTCCATGAGTTGGCCCAGAACTCCGGTGTACTGGCCTCCAGCTGCTCCATCCTGGGAGGATGCCAGGCGCTGGTACCCCTTCTGGATCCTCGCCTCCGCTGGAAGAAGACCAGGACAGGGTGACAGAGTCAGGTAAGATGGGAGCATTGAATTGAGTTAGATAAAGAAACAATCCACTATTCCCTGATTTAGGTGCCCAGTGAATGCTTGAAGCTCATCCTACCATGGCTGAAGATGTGGTCCCATGCACTGGCATGCTGGGTCCACAGGGGAGCGCCCATGCGGAGCAGCAGGCGATGGGGCAGGTACAGGAGGGGAGGAGTGGTTGCCAACATCCGCTCCACGGCCCAGATGAACTTCTGCGACTCCAAGGAGGGAGAAGAGGAGAAGAGGCCAATACGCTCCCCGTAGAGCACATGGCAGCTGGCTACAGGGGGGCGGAGGGTTAATAGGAGGGTGAGCAATAACTGGTGTATTTCAAGGTACTAATAAAAGCTTTACCAAATGATGGATGACTGGTTGACAGTAGATTATAAAACCTGACTCATATTTTCATGTTTTAAATTTAAGATGTGAAGCATGACATGACAAGACATTTCTGTCAGTGAGTGCAAGTAAATATTCTATGTTTTTCCAATCCAGCTTCACACAGTGAGAATATTTTGAGCATATTTTGTCTCATAGGAACTGCCACTCTTCCACCAAACATCCAGCCCCTATCAGACGTGCTTGTGTCATATTAACTACACATCACTGACTGGAATAGAGAGGCAGTCTATTCCTACACCTGGCTTTGTGTGCTGTGGTCCATTAAGAGCAAACCAGCACGACTCAAAGTCATTAACCCTCCCCTCACCTTCACTCTCTCACACACACAGATGCATGTAAGTGTACAGCACACTGACTTACATAAGCATTCACACATGGGAATGTGGCATGTCGCAGACGGACACGTTACAGGAGCAGACCTGGTGAAAGAATGCTGGAGCTTTGATCATCTTTGTTGGGGTTTCTATTTTTAAGGCTGCATGTTCTCCTTGACCTCCTACATCTATAATATGTTAACGACAGATACGCCTCAGGTTAAAATGAGGTTTGGTTTTCATGCGAGGTAAGAACATTTAAAATTTAAAACGGACAGAGCAGAAGCAGTGAGATCTTCGCAGGGGGAGATGTTCCTGTAGATTGTATAATTTGCCTGACGTGAGACATTGTCACAGCCTACGTCAGCATTCGTGACGCAACCCAGAGAGCTGATATTTAGGATTAATGAAAGCCTGTCAAAAGAGGCAGCTGGCATTGATCCAGGCACTCCCGTCCCACAGGTTGCTCATTGCTGGATGAAAAGGAGACGTGAGGTGTTAAGAGGTGGGATGTCCCCGATCCTTGTGCACCTTTCTACATTTATCAACCTTTTCCCAGAGAGATCAAAAGCCAGAATTGTGTTGCCTCTGTGCAAATAAAACAGGAATTCATGTATACTTCAACTGTGCAATCTTACAAAGAAACCACAGGTCACAAATCACTGGGGGTGATGACCCCTGACCTTCAAGTGCGAAGCGGAAGAGGTCAGGACTGGGATCCATGGTCAGACTGCGTTTCCCCTCATCGCCTCTTCCCTCCCTCTCCGCTCTTGCCCGCAGCATTCCACAGAAATCCCTCGCCACCTCATCAAGCAGGGGGAGAAAGCGCTTCACGGCAGCACTCATCATCACCTCCTTGTTGAGTAGTAGACGGTCAGCTCGCCATTCCTCACCGTTCCTGTGGAGGGAAGATTTGGGGCGAGAAATTAAAGTGGACCCATATCAAATCTGCTCAGTCATTGTGAAGCAAAGGAACTGACTACCTTTCTGAAGCAGATATGCTGTTCCTTTACTTAATTATTCATAAAGTATAGAGGTGCTGTGTCAAAGTCTGCTTCCCTATCAGTATCAAGCCCTACACACAAACAAGTTCTTCTGCATGCTTAACCTCTGCCCAACTTTACCTCCTCATTCAGTTATTTCTACAATACTTAGCCATTATCTATAAGATCATGGATAGATTATGAGACAATGGGCCCACTTCTGAATAGAAGCAAGACACCCAGACTGAAAAGTGACAACACAACCACCTTATGTGGAGGTGTTTTCCGTGTCTTTGTGATTGTTTGGGGTCACTTTGTTGTCCTTTCGTGTCTCTGTGTAGTCTTTTTGCATCTCTGTATAGTTGTTTTATACCTCTTTGGGGTCCTTTTGTCTCTTTGTGGTTGTTTTGTGTCGACCATGATGAGAATAAATAATTGATTTTCAAATGTCAAAAAAAAGGTCAAATCAACCAAGCTTACGCATAAAGGCCAGTTTACTCACCATGGTGAGAGCTACTTAGCCTTTGAAAACAGTTTTCTTGTATTTTGTGGCTTTTAATAACTGATGAGATCAAGCCTGCTTTACAAAAAGGGGGCATGGGATTTGAAAGATGTGGGCATTTAACAGGCAGTGTGAGTCCAAAGAAATTATGTTATTAGTTGAATTCCAGCAGCTTGACCTACATCAGGGACTAAAAATCAGGATATCTCTTCTGGTCCAATTTTGACACTTGACTTTTTGACTTTATGAAAGTGTGGTACTAAAGACGTTTAGTACCCTTTTAAATAAATTATATGTAAGATTTGAACATTTCTGACTGGTAGAATAGTGGTAGAATACAGAATTCCAGTTTTTACTGGCTGAAAACTATCAGAATAATTTGCTACAACCACATTAATATTCTGCATGTAAAAGCTAACAGGAGTTTAGCTGAATACTTTCCACAACTGATTGAATAAACCCCCCAAAAATTAACAAGATGAGGGTGGCACAAGTGATGCTCTTATACACACACACACACACACACACACACATTGTTTCCATCACAGTGACTACATTCATACAATGAGACCTAAATCATAACTACTACATGCCTTATCCTAACCATAAACCAAGTCTTAACCCTAAAATGTAATGACTTACATAGTTGAGATTTGTATTTTGTCCCCAAAAGGGAGGTGAGTCCCCACAGTGTGACTGCTTAAACAGATTTACAGTATGTCACCACGACATGAATAATAGACGTACATATACACAGTGTGGTACTGACTTGAGGAACACTCCCTTGCTGTGCTGGCGAATCTCTCGGTGTGTTGCCCAGGGTTGCAGGGTCATCCGTCGAGGGTGCAGGCCCTCTGAGCGAAACAGCTCACCGACGTCAGACGGCAACATGATGTTCAAACTGCTTTGGGTGCCCACGTGCTCCCTTCACACACACACACACACACACACACACACACAGAAAGGCTATGGTGTGAACGTATCTGCACTACTGCAACATAAACACATTGGAAAACCTTGATGACTTTTGCTCCAAATTCTACCAGTAGTGTCACACTTGAGGTGATCAACTACTCCCAGCATGCACCTCATTTGTTGCTCTTAAATGTTTGTTTTTTAAAACATTTCGACATCATCCCTGTATGTTCCTGCTACCTATAGATGGGGCCGAGGGAGTTGAAAGTCTTCTCCATGTGCATGTGGAGCTGCCGGAAACGATCTTCTCTCCAGAACTTCACCAAGTTGACCCAGCCGCTCCTTCCTGTGTGAGGGATCTCCTCAAAGCTCCGCACCCGTCCATTCACACCCTTCTTTCGAACTCCTGTACGCTCAGCTCCTTCCCTCCCATCTAACTTTCCATCATCCACCGTCCCTGCTGCAGTCACACAAAGAGTTCTATGCGGTGTGACACCACAAAGAAGATTTCTGGACCCACAGGCGTCCTGTGCCCTGACATACACGGTCCCTCGGGCGTACATGCTCCTTGTGGTCCAAACAAGATGTGTCTGTCGGTCTCATCCAGAGCTGTGATACCCCTTGTTGTCATCGTCTCCTCTGCAGGACTGATTATTTCACTCCTCCATCGTCAACCTCACATCCTTGAATGTCCGATGAACCGATAGCAGATGATGATTTATGGATGTTAAGATCAGAGTTCAAGAGAATCACAACAGAGCCCAAATGTTCGGCTGGTTTAAAAGATACACACATAAACACACAAACACACACACACACACACACACACCATGTAAAGGTCAAACAAAGAGTTAGTCCAGCTGGTCAAACATGTCTTTATTATAGGTTTTTGACACAGCTATCCAACAAAACAAAAAAAGACCATGACTGTCGACTACTCTATATTATTTTGTAGGGTTTCTGCTTCCTCTTGTATAAAAACCTTTGATTAGGCACCTTAAGACTATTTTCTCACCATTATCAACTCAATGACAATCAAGAAACTAATGGCTTAAAACTTGGCTCATATACATTACAGATACAATTTGGCTCATGTACACACAAATAACAACAAAAAAACATTTTCTCAGTTAATCAAATATACAAAATGAGTACACTGGATGTTATTTCATTACTTCTGTGAATGTGTGACAAAACGTCAACATGTCGCCCTGAGGTTCCTTACTTGTGTATATAGATCGCCCAACTGGATCTATATCATTTCGACTCTAAATGTCACATCTCTCTAAATTTAGAGAGATGAGATAGCCTTGTAAGAAGAAATTAGCTACTGTAGCTTCTATATTTTATTATGTATATTATAAACTAATGAGTAATTAGAATATAACTAAATGAGGATCTAAATGGGGAGCAAATGTGATCAACAGTTGACAGAAAATGTGAAAACCTAATTATGAATCTCATTAACAAAAGAGTATTACTGATTATTTAACTGATCATGTAATGATTTTATTGACCCCCAACACCTCAGCAATGTTAACTTGAGTCATTGTTTTATTAATCAATATCATTATTGTATCGGTTAAAACAAAATATAACATCACTTGTGAGTTAGCTTTCACTGACTGGTGTATGTATACATTTAATTCATTACATTTACAGGTTTGATCACATTCTCAACCCACTTCAATTAATATTTGGTTCATTGTTTATATGAGATATTAAATTATCTGACAGTTAAACACTGCTATTGCTACAAAGAAGAAGAAAAAATAAGTACAAAAAGACAGTGTCAATAACATGGTTTCATTGTGTGTGACAGAGATGATTGGACTGAGTCTGATGTAAGATTTTAAGCAGTAGTTATGTATGAGGGTATTTGCCCTGCTTTTCTTTTAACAACTAGCACAATCAGAAGGCGGTATACAGTACTGATGGTCCCTGTGATGACATAGAGGAGAGACGGATGATTTGAGCCTGTGGGGAAGTTGAGCCACCCCCTGTTTCTCAGTACCCATAACTAAAATTGGTCATGTGACGACACATTTTTGAAAAGTCATCCATTTTACTCACTCTGTGATGGAGAGAGGCCCATGAAATAAGTGATAGATTTTTATGTTCAAGGAGTCATGATTATTGTGTAATTCTACATTGCATTATTATATTTTATCACCAAAATGAAACCATCACTCCATGCATTTATATATATACATAATGGGAAGTCAATACATGAACTGGCATTTGAGTTGGGCACATCAAAATTACACTGATGTCCCTGACCCCCATGTGGCATACCTTATCCTCTCCCTAGGCTCTACTTACCCCTCACTGGGGTCAAGTTGAGCCAAGAGGGGCACTTTCTTTTGGAAAGTCATATTTTGAAAACAGTGTATTTTAGTTACATAGTGATTATTCCCAGGGATGCACCACATCCTGATATATATTACATATTTTAGTTGGAGACATTACTGCCATGTGTTCACTTTAAAGACACCTCAAGTAAAAACTGGCTCAACTCACCCCGCTCTCCCCTGATCACATGACTTTACAAGAGGCCCAACTTTCTTGTGCAAGAGTGGACGTCTTGCTGTGTTTCCCCCCTGTGAGTGCTGCTGTGCCAAAACTGAGGCCTTGAAAGGCACTCAGCAGGTTGAAGCCATTGTCCTTGGTTTTGGTTTCAGGATGAACGATCTTCAACAGCTTGTGGGGGAGCGACACTTTCCCCCCAACAGACCTCAGGTGGTTTGTGTCCTTGGAGTTCTAACCGTGAAGGAAAATCAGAAGAAGAAAAAGGTTGAAATGCTGAACATGTGACAAAATGCATTAAGCTCTTGTAGCATTATATTTTGTTTGGTGAAAATGGCATTACATTTTGCAGGACTGTTACAAGTTGCTATGTGCATAAGTTTAATTAATTAAAAATCTGTTCAGAACAAAAAAACAGACAATAAATACAAGATTCTGGTAAAAAAATCAGTAAGAAATGATGAATAACGTCTTAAATCAACAAATTTGGTGAAGCTTGGATGTTTTGCAGAAAATTCACAACAGTAGAAAATGGATGTTTCTTTTCTCATTCTATTACAAACATAAACACAGACCTCAGACAGCTGATATTTTCTCCTGAAGTGAGCTCTCATAGCAGCTCTCTCTGCATTCTTCTGAGCGTTCATTTCTTCCCGCAGCTTCCTGTGAACACAGCAGACAAAACACAAATACACCTGACATGAATATAGACAGGATTTAATTGAAGTATCAGCTGTGCCGCAGAACAGATGAGTTAAATTAAATTATTTTTGCCTTCTCTAAATAAAGGTAAATGGAAACTGCTGCAGAAAACACCATTATAAAGGAATGTCTCAATTATAAATGATGTGAATTCAAAGCACAGTTTCATTGCCATAAGTGTTTAACACTTTTATTTATACAGTTTGACAGTATTTCTTTCCCACATTAAAACTTTATTTCACACACAAAGAGAAGTCAGTTTACCCATTTTCACCTGGGAATTATGAGAATTGAAAAAGCACATAAGTGCAAATTTGAGACACTTTACTTGGGTATTACCATTTCATGCCACTCTACACTTCTACTCCACTACATTTCAGAGGGAAATAATGTACTTTTTATCAGTTTACATTTGCATACATTTATCTGACAGCTATAGTTGCACAGATTAAGATTTTACACACAAGGCACATCTTATAAATTATTGTAGAAGATTATGGAAATAGCTTCATCTTGACCAACTGCAACTGTAAAATGCTGCTTACACATTTATGCATCAGCAACACTAATCTAATAATTTAAAATAAAATAGTACAATACTCAAAGGACCATTTTTATGCATTGATGACTTTTACTTTTGTTACTTCAAGAACATTTAGCCTGTTATTTCATAATAATATTTTGCATAAATAACATTTTTAATGCAGTAATTACTTTTACTTGTAAAGCAGGAATTTTACATTGAATACTCTGAATACTTCCTCCACCACTGCAAGTTTCTACATTATGTGTCCACTTGCCTCTCCTTCTCCAGGTCTGCCTGGTATGATCGGATGATTGACGGATCTTTGGGGTGTGCAGCTCGGAGAGGAGGGGTCCTCCCCAACCTGTTGCATCCTCCGCTTCCTCTCCCACCTCTGCCCCTCCTGTTCCTGCGTCTGGCACACAACTTCCTCTCCTTCACCCCCGACACACAGCCGGTCAGCTTCCTAATGGGTGTCCTCAGCGATTTCTTTACTCTCACCACAGCCTCCATGATGCACCGGAGTGCTCAGGATGGGAGGTAACAACCAAAACCCTTACTTCTTTGATATATGATGTGTGAGTACAGAATGGTTTTCCCCTTCACTCATGTTGTGTTGCTCTGACACGAGGACACACAGTCTGACATTAACTCCGGTTCAGACACGCCAAGGACAAGGACAGTAGACAAGGCTCAGACACACAGACTTAATGACACTCTCGCTCTCAGACACCTGCTTACAAAGATTACACACACAGATGAAGGGTCATGTACAGGGAAGGGAAGTAATAAAAGGGAAAGCACACAAGAACAAAAATAGACAAAAATAAAATGTCATACTCAACCATACTGAACAGGTTATTTTTCAGACCATTTGTCACTATTTATCTACACGCAACATTAACTTGGTTCAGGATGTTTTCCAGTCCACAGTTTTCTTACCTATGCAAGCAGCTACAGTTGGCCAAAAGCTCACAGCATAAAATCCTGATAAAGCTCTGGCCAGATTGCCTCCATTGTAACCAGACAATCGTTTTAGAAAACAAAAAGAAACAACAGAAGACGCTCCACAAGAAGGAGAAAATTTAAGTTTGCTGGGCCAGGTTTCAGCCTTTGCTTCTTCTGCTTCCCTCTTTGCACCTCTCAAGTCTCCTATAAAGATTACCACTTAAAGGACTTAATGAGGGGAATCTCATTAGCACACGATGACTCACGTGTTTGTGATGAAGATTTAGAGCTGGCACTAGCTGATGTCATGTTGAGTGACACATGCATGCATTCACGGGCCTCACATCAGTGTCATGCAACTCAGATTTAACTTCCAACACCTTTTCACTTTCTTATAAGAACATGATTGGCTCACTAGATATTCAGAGATGTGCGCAGATTTGGAAGGGGAAATAAAACAAAGAGACACCTGGATGGAGAGACTGTGGTCTACAACAGCAGAGTCTGAGTCATAGGGAGATAAGAGAAAAGTATTGATAGATGGACCAAAAAGCTGCCCAAACTGTTAAAGAGGAAGTGACAGAGTGAAGCCACCCCAATTAATTTCTCCAACAAAGTAAAAAATGTCAATGCTGAGGTTTGGTTAAAGATGCAGAGCATGTTATTTCATATTCTGTTGATGAAACAAATGCTAGAAGTGTACACAACAATCTCTTCAAGTGATAAAGGATGAGGGATGCAGCACAAAGAAAAGATATGAGATCACCTGATGTTGCAGTACAACTACTGAAGGCGTTGTGTTTAACAAGAAAACGTATTATCTTACAATGAAAACTTGAAAAAGACATAAGAGGTAAGAAAACTTTCTGCTGCATGTTAAGCAAATTCAGTATCATTTGCATCAAGTAAATATACAATACTGCTAATTTCTTTAGTTTGGGAGACCATGGGAGGAATCTTTTTTCCTCTTATTTATCCTCCTTTATTAATTCATTTTTTAAAAACTTCTAAACTAAAATGCTTTTTCATGCAATTTTATTCTACTAATCCATTGATTTCCTTATTTTCATTTATTGTTAACACATAACTACAGTTTGCAGATGATGTATGTGTGAGAACTTTACTTTAAGTCCCCCTATTAAGCATTTATAAGTACTAAAGAAACATTTATTAATTGTTGTTGTGAGCAGATATATGGATATTTGAAGTGTTTAACACTGTATAGTATTAGTTAACATTTATAACCGCTTCTTAATTTGACTATTTTGTCATTCATGATCTGTTTATATTCAGGCCTCTACACGGGGCTGCCTCCAGGAGGTGTTATAGACAATACATTAATAAATACTTATATCTACTCACAACTACATTATAGTGTGTTTTAAACCTTTCATTAGATCTTTATACTGTATACTACTGATAACTGCTAATTACGGGGGCTTTAAAGTAAAGTGTTACCCGTGTCTTTTCTCAGAATGTGCTCGAGCACTTCTCCTGATTTCCTTTTGTCATTTTCTATGTTTTAATGTTTTCCTTCAATGACCCCATGGTGATTTTTTTCTCTACGGCCTACTCTAATGCCCTATTTGGCATTGACATCACATAGCCTGCACGTCTCGTGAGCACACACTTACCCTCTTTGTGTTTGGTTTCCACCCTGCTGCACAGAGCACTTCAATTTCTAACAGGTGATGAGGCTTTAATCCTTTAACAAGATCACCAACAAAAGCCACACCTCTTCAAACTCATGTTCATGTAACAGATCTGGGATCAGTTTACTCTTCCAAGGTGCAGGCGTTTACAACTGAAGGTAGGGAGGTTGAGTTGGTCCTGTGTCAGCAGTCCTTTTCTACAAGCAGGTTCAGATCAGATACAGGAAGATGGGAGAAACAGAGGGAGAGTCTACATATGAAATTTGTTAAATATGTTAATATATGGTCCTACTCATTACATCATGCACAGTAACTAAACATAACTGCTATAAATTACTATTATACTCAAGCTGACTTTTGATAAGTATTGTACACTTTGTCAAATCCACTGTGTACTGTCGGGTTGTGTGGTTGAACCAGAGCCACTTAAAGGATTCTCAGGCGGATCAGCTTCCAACACGTGACAGGCGGTCGCTGACACCAACACATGAACACACACACACAATCGCACACATGTTCTCATGCATTAACTCACGAGAGGCATGACCTCAGCTCAAACAGTAAGATAGATATAAATTTAATTTCAAAAATACTAAATATACATATCATCATAATACATTAGCATGATGACCTAAATACATTAAAATCTGAAATGATTCCTTTGAATAAAGCCAACATGACCATCAGGGGATTCACTTTTGTGCTATTTGAACATAACATCTTTGAATAGATATTTATTTAAATGGCTCTCAATTAAAACATGTATGTTTGGGTTCATTTCTCCAGTCAGTGCTCTGGCTTAGATTTGACGCTGGTCCCTGGGCGCTGCAGTGGCTGCTCACTGCTCATAATTAGTGTGGGTTCAAATTCAGAGAACAGATTTGACATACATTGTACTTTGTATAATTGTAAATGTAAAAAAAAATCACTTTTCAATTATCACTTTTTGGGGGGATTAAAAGGGAGTATGCCATATTAAAGTTCTGTATTGGAGTTCTGTATGTAGTTCTTAAAACACAACCACATGCCACAAAGCACGGGTTTCAGGTCTATGGTAGAGAACAGTACTTGAACTTGGAAAGACTAAAATAATGATTTATTAAGGAAAGTTTTGGCACAGACATGTCTTCCATGGCCTTTTTGTTCCAAGGCTGGAGCAGATGACAGCAGTGTGAGGGTGTCTCAACCTGTCAAACCACCTGTTTAAAGCCTACTTTTCTTTCTGAGTTGCGGCAGGAGCTTCACCCAGGCGTTCCTCTATTTGTTGTGAAAATTTTAATTAAACTGGAAAAAATAACGGTTTTCATTCAGGGTCCTAATGAACACGTCGTTTTAGTCCCAAAATTTAAACACATAAAATGTCAAGTATAATTGAAAATATATATATTTTTAAATACTGTATACTTGAAATTATCCTGTTGTTTCTTATGAAATATGTGAAGACAAGTGACAGTGTCATAACAGTTAAATATTGTTTTAAAAAGATACAAAAGTTCTGTATTGATAAACAACAAGTAAATGGGATCAAGTCTTTTAACATACACACAAAGAGATATTGACTTACTGTCCTTCATCGTGTTTCCATGCACACATTAAAAAGTCTTATTTTTAAGATCATTCCTTCTAATTAACAACCTAAAATTACTTTTAGCATTACAAAGGAAGAAGATACATCATACATACATACTCTCACTAAATACACACATAAAATCCCACAAAAAACACACACCTCAGGAATAAGTTCTCATTCAGTCAAACACACATAATCAGTCTCTCTCAGCTCTGTCAAGGCTGAAGAAGAGGAAAACTGGCAAGCGCACTCACTCGCTCAGCCTTGTGACCATGCTCTCTGTTGAGCTGCACTCCATCAATATGCCAGAGGACAGCTGGAGGTAAACGTGAAGTGTGTGTGTGTGTGACATAGGCCTACGTGTAGACCGTACTCTGGGTGATGATCTGAAAGGCCTCAATCAAAACACAAGAAGAGAAGAACTACATTCATCTAATGACTATGACTATGTTTTTTGGTAATGCATTACCATAAAACTACAAATTTACTTTTTAAATGATCATATATAGGCTACCTTAGGATGGGCAGTGGGGCAGTGGTAAGCACTGTCGCCTCACAGCAAGAAGGTTGCGGGCTCGAACCCCGGTCATCTCGGCCTTTCTGTGTAGAGTTTGCATGTTCTCCCCGCGTCTGCGTGGGTTCTCTCTGGGTGCTCCGGCTTCCTCCCACCGTCCGAAGACATGTGGACTAGGTTGATTGGTGACCCTAAATTGTCCTTAGGTGACTGGTGGTTTGTGTATGTTTGGCCCTGCGATGGACTGGCGACCTGTCCAGGGTGTACCCCGCCTTTCGCCCGAGGTCAGCTGGGATTGGCTCCAGCCCCCCGCGACCCTGTATACAGGATAAGTGGTTGACGATGGATGGATGGATGCATGGTCACTTCAACAAGATAGAGACAAAAGCTTGTGCTGCAGTGGTGCAAATTTTCTTGCAAACCAATTTGCAATTGAGCTGATTAGCTACTACTTGCTAACACGTAGTGAATGAAGGACATTTGGGGGCCACGAGGATCTGCAAGCTTAGGATTTTGTATCTATATCCTCTAAATTTTAGAGATTAATTTTAACATTTTGAAGCAGACTTGATTCACTTGCATACAGAAAAGACAATATGCGGTGGTTTTACATGTTTATCCCAAAATACTTACAATCATGCTGCTTTTTGTAAATTAATTTGTGTGAGTGTTTCCACTCATTTATTTTGATACAAAAACTTACCTGAAAGAAATATTAGTTATGATTAGGGTTGGGTATTGTTTAAAATTTAACGATACCAGTACCAAAACCAGTTCCCTTAAAGTGATACCAATAAAGTACTTCATTGGATACCTTGCATAAAATGCCACCTGTTGAAGCCATAGTAGTTGATTGGTAGCCAATTATTATTTTTATTGTAGTTATGGACAAGCAAGGTTATCTAGTTTATTTTTTCGTGTTTCAAATAACTGTTAAATAAAAATATTGAGAAATTGTATCAGATCGCTCCTCCTCCTAATTAGGTCATCCTCACTGGTAGTATTAGCCTATAAGGAAGAAAGACAACAGCGTGGGAGTTTTTGAATGAGAGAGGAGTGAAATAGTTAAGTGGTGCAGACACATAAGGAAAAAAAGCCGTGCTCTTCTCTTTCTTCTGGCGTGTTGTTTGCGTGTTTGGCTGCAAGCAAAACCATAAAGGTATCGAGTAGTGATACCCATCCGTAGTTATGATACACTCTCATTAGCACACGACAAATCTGCACTTTTATATTATATCTGTGCCTTTTTTCCTCCACAAATAAGGTTGTGTGCTCATTCCAAATAACTCAACTTTGGTTTCATCTGTCCAGAGAATATTTTGCCAGTAGTGCTGTGGAACATTCAGGTGCTCTATTGCAAACTTCAGACGTGCAGCAATGGCTTCCTCCGTGGTGTCCTCCCATGAACTCCATTCTTGTACATACATATTGTAGATAAGTGTAGAGTCGTCAACAGAGAAGATTCTGTAAATCTTACAGAACACTCTACGATTCTTCTAACCTGTGCTGTGTTACTCTAATTATTTTTGAATCTTTCCTACTAGGTGACTGAGCATGTTTACAGGTTCCCCTTCAAGTTAACTCTGCAATCATTTACATTTATTCATTTAGCTGACGCTTTTATCCAAAGCGACTTACAATTGCTATACATGTCAGAGGTTCCATGCCTCTGGAGCAACTTGGGGTTAAGGGCTCAGGGACACAATGGTGGATGGGTCACAGTGGGGGATTGAACCCGGGTCTCTCACACCAAAGGCATGGTCTTATCCACTGGGCCATCACCACCCCATCATCTCTTACTTTCTCTGGTGTTTTCAGCTTTAATTTCAGTGTCTGATTGACACGACCCACCTCAACCCCATTCACCTTCAGTTTTATCAGATCATCAGAGAGAGAGAGTTCATGTCCAATCGCTCTTTCCACTGAGTTCATAAGGAATCCCACTCCATACCACATCCATCCAAATCCATTGTTTCTCACTCTTTTACCAGCACCAGTGTCTCTATCAAGTGAATATTCCTGTAAGACTCATGGCATGATTAACCAATAATTTACTAATTTATTCCTTACATCTTTAACACTTTCTTCTACTTGTCCTTCTGTGTGCACTAAATTATTTTTTAATGATGTAATATAAAGTATACATGATTTGTAGTTGAGAAACTAAAACTTGCAAGCATATTGGCACAGTTCTCATGTGTAATGTAAGTAAGTGGTTATTCAGGGTCATCTGCTCATATCACAGCTGCTCCTCCAGACTTGACTCCTTCCTGGATGATAGAGGGGCAGGAAGAAAGGGTGACACAGAGCAGAGGAAAGAGAGATGCGTGTTGAGGGCTCGTACTCCAGCATCCTCTCCAACAGATTAAAAAACTGGTGGTGCTCAGTCCCGTGTGATAATAAGTACGTCTAAAAAAAACAATTAGAGAAAAACATGTTGTTTAAGGGAGTTATTGTACCTCGCTAATGTTTAAAAGTTTGTACCTGCACGGCTCACCCTTAATGGTTTGCACTTGGCTTTCACATAACGTCCGGCCTTGGAGCACTCATTCCAGTCAAGATGACCACGGTGGAAATATTTATTCTTTCTGTGAAGAAAAAAGTATATTTTGTCAGATAAAGTTTGCTTGCATGTATGTTTGTGTGTATGTGACAGTGGAGTATGTTACCTGCTCCTCTGAATCATTCTCTGAGGAACTGGTCCCTGTATTCTCTCCATCATAGCAAGATGCTCCTTATTGTCATGAGTCTACAAGTGAACACAGATGCACAAGTGAAGATCATGTCAACATGATCAAAATCATCCTACAATCAGCATGCTGCCAGAAGCAGAGCTGAACACCCACTGTCTGTTGCTAGCTAGCTTAAAGCTAACATCTGTATAGTTGGTACATTGGCTGTTTGGGGCAATTAAACACAGACCGAACACACCATTACACTTTGTTTTGTGTATAGAAACAAAGGATATGACATGTGAATTACTGAACCTTAGAAGTGCTGGTAGGTGGGTTTTATTACCTTAGGACAGAACCAGGCTAGCTTTTCCACCCACTTCCAGTCTTTATGCTAAGCTAACTGCTGCTGCCTCTAGCTTCATATTTACCGAACAGACATGGGAATGGTATAGGCTGTTATTTTAACAGTATAAACACACATGTAACCTGGTACAGTGTGAAGCCTTCGTAGTATTCAAACAGGATGCAGCCGATACTCCACACATCACAAGGGTGGCTCCAACCCAACTCTGTGGGATAGAGAACAGGGACAAAACCTTCAAAAACAAAAACAACTAAACAGAACTGACAGCTCCGGATTACTCCCTGGTCTAAATCAACATCTCTTACCCAGTATGACCTCTGGAGCTCGGTAGTGACGCGTGGAAATGACGGCAGAGTGGTGTTCATGGTCAAATGTAGCACTGCCAAAATCAACGAGCCTCACTGTGGTGTCATTTACTCTCCTCTCATTGCACTTCTGAAATAACAGAAAGTAAACAAGTCAACTACTTATCCAGGTGTATAACGTTTGAGTTGAGACTGAAAGTGAGCACACCAGTGTTGGTAATAATCTCCTACTGCACACTGCACACACAGCTGTGCTAAAGGAACAGTTAGACATTTTGGCAAATATAAGAAGCAACATTTTTAGAGTCAGCAGTTAGCTTTGATTAACATAAAGGAAAAAGCGTGCTTCACTTTCGTTCTGAATACATTGCCTATGCCTAAGTTGTTATACTTTGGTTTTGATACAGAAACAAACAAGATGTTGATTACTGAATTTGAGAGGTGCTGGTAGGGGAGTTTTGTTACCTTTGGACAGAACTAGGCTAGCTTTTCCCTTTGCTTCCAGTCTTTATACTAAGCTAAGCTAATGGCCGGTACTTATTTCAAATATAAACTAGGATTTTGTCATTTGTTTTTGATAGGGTTGATGAAAATAGCTTAATACTTGTGATCAAAATACTTAAGCGTTTTGGTTTTTATACTTAAAATATACTGTTAAATACTTTATGAGAAATTGATGACATCATAAAATGCTGCCTCTGATTGGTGCTTACTCAGTAATTTGTCCACACTTGTTGAGATCAGAACAGAAAAATGATCCAGACCAGTTACTGTTAACAATTGGTGTTTATTTTATGTTCTGCAATTTATCTTCTAACTAAATGTTTGACCCCAGTAGTAGCGGTTACAGTTAACATTGGCTTGCTACTTTCAGCTTTTGCTATGTTTTTGTCTGTTTGCACAAAAAATAGTGTTCCAAAGTTTGTTTTAGGCAGAGAGTTCACTTAATCAACTGAGTTAGTGTACTGGTGAAGGGGTAGATAGAGATTTGACAGGAAGTAATTTATGGTACCTTGGAAAAGTATGTTTATTGTTTTTTGGAATACAAAAATACAGTAGTTTATGTTTATTTACATGGCGTGGCTGCTGTATTTTGTAGTTTATTTTGATACACTTAAAATTATGGTATTAGGTATCTTCTTTTAAAATACATTTTGAAGTAGTATCTGTTGCGGTGGCAGCCCGGCTGATGGTGAGTGCCCTGTTTTTCTTTTCCTCCTTCGCATCCTGGTTTCTCCTGTGTCTCCTCCTCTCTCACTCTGTGTGCTCTCTCCCTCTCCGCTCCGGAGCCTGGCTGGCTACCCACACCTACGTCTCATCAACCTCCATCTCCGACCGCGGCACCTGCCAGCTATCAGCCTCATCTCGACCAGTATTTCTACCCCGGCTCTCCACTCCATCCTCGCTTGATCGTCGTAGCTCCAGACTTGTTGCCACAGCCACATTCAAGCTATTAATGAACGTATTCACGTCGAACCTTTTCATTTCCCGTCACCCTGAACTAACCCTGTCTGTCTGTTTCCTCCCGCCAGGTCCACTCACCTCTTCCTCCCCGTTAGGCCAGCCGGGCTTGCCTACCTGCCTTCCCCTTTCACCGCCTCCACGGCGCTCCCCGGTCCTCCCCTCGCTCCCTGCCGGACCGCCAGCCACCGCATCCTTCCCTCCTCGGCCTCCAGTCCCCCTCGGCCCTCTCGCCTGAACCTCTCCTGCTCCGCCAGCTCCTCGGTCCCCCGCGCCCACGTCTGCCGGTGCCCATCTTCCCCCCTTTCTCCAGCCCCTCTACATCCCCCTTTCCCCTCAATAAACCTCTTTAGAAACCTGAAGCGTTGCGTTTGGGTCCGTTCTGTCTATAATCATCACAGTATCTTTGCCTATCCCTGCTAATGGCTGCTGCCTGTAGCTTCATATTTACCATACAGACATCAGAGTGGTATCAACCTTCTCAGCTAATTCTCAGCAAGAAAGTGAATAAACATGTTTTAAGATTGTCTCACTGCTTGTTTTTTATGCCTCATTGGACTTATTTTAGCGATATTGCAGTGTTTCCAGATCTCAGCATTACTTCTGAGTACAATGTTATTATTTCCAGTTATGAAAACTATGAAAATAACAACAAAGTTTAAAGAAAGAATGTATTCTTTTTCTATAAAACAGAGAATTAATAAAAACAAAAACAATATCTCTTCAAAGATGCCATAACACAGAGAATTAGTGCCACACTGAGGTCAGCAAACACAACAAAAATATGTACCTACAGTATAAAGGACAGACATGTGGGTGGTTCTTGGTATCTGCTGTGCAAAACCAAAAAAGAAATCTCCCTGCCTTTCACCCCCGAAGATCCCAGCAATTCATGCCTTTAGCTGTTTCTAACCTTCTCAGCGTTGTATATGAGGGAGTAGTCCGACTTGACAAAGAGGATGTTCTCAGGCTTCAAGTCGGTGTGAGTCAGCTTGTTGTCATGGAGAACTGCAGTGGAGACAGAGGGAGAGGAAGGAAAGCAGATTACGATTTATCAGGAGAGAGCCATCTCCCTCGTCTGGTTGATTTTTGTGTTAGGTAAAAATATTTAGATGTCATGATACCTTTTTTTGGGGGGGGGGTTGAAAAGTTTTCTACTGAAATCTTGGTTTAATTAAAAAACAAACAAAAGTTTTGTAGTTGTTTATGGGCCTCAAATAGGTTCACAATAGGGTGTGCACCTGCAGTATGCTGTTAAAAATGTGCAACCTGGCAGCAACTAGGGTGTGATGATACACTTGGCTCACGAGACGATACACGACAGCCTATTGGGTTCAAGAGAATGAGCCGAAACAATATTTTAACACTATTTTAAGAAATCTTGAATGATGAAATATATGAATGGAAAAATAATCTTTTATTCAACTGAAAGTCAGAAAATGCAAAGCGATGCAGGTCCATTGTGAAATGTTAAATATTAAATATTGAATATTAATATTAAATATTGTTTGTGTCTCTCGCTCTGGCACTGTTTATTGCTTCCACCCAAAATGCTGCCGTACAAACTATTTAAGTGGTGGGGCATCTTCTAAGCTAATTTCACCCTCTCATTCCGCCATGCTGATATCGTGAGACAGCTTTTCATCTCACAGCATCATCACATTTCAGTATTGCGAGCTCTAATGGCACTAGATCTCCTCGCACCGCTATTGGCAACACAAGATTTCTTTATATTAATGTGTTATAACTGGTTATTAATAATTGGCAATACACCTTGCATCCCTACACAAGTGTCTCGCTAAGGAACCCTTCCACAGTAACTGTTACGTAGCTGCACCTTGCAGTCATCATTTCGTCAAACTCCTAAAGTTTACAGATGACAACACCAAGTCGACACTGTGGAATCCTTCTGCTTCCTGGGCACCATCATCACCCAGGCCCTCAAGTGGGTACTCATCAAGAAACCCCAGCAGGGGATGTACTTCCTGCAGCAGCTGAAGAAGTTCAACCTGCCACAGTCCTACATTGAAACCTTTACATCTGACTCAGTGTGCATTGCACATATTCTTTATATTTTATACTTTTACATGCACATTCCTTGGTCAAAATTTTGCATATCCATCCTCTTCAATTTTAAACACGTTTTTATTGGACATAAAAAGCAAGTCATTTGAAGACAATTTCAGAAACAGGGATCAACATTTTTCATTCTTTTCTCAAAATAATCAAGATTAAACCTGAAATCTGTAGATCAGTAACGATAATAATTGTGTGTTTACAGCCTAAGTTTGTTGGTCTTTCACTTCAGTCTGGTATGGGGATGTAAATCAGGAACACGTGTATCATCTTCAGGTAAGAGTCACTCTCTAGATATCTACCTGCCCTGGGACAGCTGTTGACAATCGTCTTACTGTCATCACTGACACTGATCCAGAGGTACAAGATAAAAAGCAAAGTTGTGGAAGCGTAGTGGATATTGAACTCACAGCTGACAGCGTGGCAGATCTGGTGGGCCATGTGTCGGATTTGGTTAATGGGATAAGGCAGGTAGTTGTTTGCTTTCATGAAGTCAAAGGTGCTGAGAGACAACAGCTCAAAAGAGATGCAAATGTGGCCGTAGTAGTTAAACCAGTCCAGCATCTGCACACAGTGACTGATGGGAAAAGAAACAGAGAAGAAATGTAACAGACAGAAAAAGAGTAATATCATCCTATAATTAATAATAAAATCCCAAACTACTCACTGCTTGTTGTCAGGATCTCTCTCTCTGATCTTCTCCAGCACATTGATTTCCAGTTTGGCTGCTTCCCTGTATTTGTCCAAGTTCTTAATGATCTTCAGAGCGATTCGACTTCCTCCTCTGTGTGTTGAAACACTGTGTTTGAAAGTAATTAACACTACACACTGGTTGCAACTTCCATTATTTGATGAAGCAATTTACCTGCTGTGGTCCAAACATTGTACCACCTTCCCGAAAGTACCCTCACCTAAGGTGTTGACTATCTCATCTGTGAAACAGATTGAGGTGATATTAAAGCTGGCGAATGCTGACCAAGGCCAACACTGCCAACACTTGCAACTGAACTGATACCTACATCTGTCTTCCAGGACATCCCCACTTTTGTAGATCAGGTGGCCATTCTCAGTGTCTCTCTCTTTATCGCTTGCAGTTTCAGTGCTGCTCCGCTGGAAACCAAATTTATGACAGGTGGAGCAAAAGAAGAAAAATCTGTGCAGAAATCAACCTGCCTCCGTCCCTTTCTTCACTCTCCAACTAAAGACTGAGACAGATTGAGTGACATCTGACCACTAGGTCTTAAAGGGCAAAGGTCATCAGCTGGATTTACCCCTGGTTAAGAGTGACGCATTCAATATAACATGCAGAGAAATGCCCACATGGTGAAACAAATCTGCACTCAAAAGAGCTTCATTTCATGCATTTCGTTCGATCTGCACTCTGTTTTTGTGGCTGTAATAACAACAAATCCTCCAGAAAGCAGCTTTTACACATTAAGGTTGACCCTGATGGCCTGAGCTTGTTCTAAAAGAGGTTAATAAGCAATGTCAAATTACTTCTGGCACTCTATGGAGGAGCTGAGGCTCTATTTCCATCCACATTCTGAGACTGTTATTAATATGAGTAGGCCAGCATGTGCTGAGGAGACACTTACTGCAGGACACAGGCCACAAATAAGACAAACAAGTGACCCATATAAACACACACAGTCTGAATGTGGTTTGTTATTGGAAGATAAGTATCAGAGCGTAAGTACAAAATGACCACATAGTGCTGATGATTTCAGGTCACAGGTCAACCACAAAGCAGAGGTGACAGGATTATTGGTAGAAGGAAATGCAGATACTAAGATACTAAGAATGCATGCACAGAACATGGAGATACTCACAGAGAGGCAGAGGCAAATACAGTCCAGAAAACCCTTATAGAAAGAGTACAGCTCTGTCTTTCCCATTGCGCTGAAGTGTTGAGCTAGTCAGAGATTAGAAGAGCTTCAGTGGAAGAAAAGAGGCTGGAGGGAGGTTGTAGTAAGGTGATGGAGAGAGGCAGGTGAAGCAAAAGCAGTAGCAGACAAAATAGACAAGGAGGGTGGGACAATACAATAATAAAGCAATAACACAGAAAAACTAGAAGGACATGGAGTTGTGACAAAGTAAAAAATAGCCTGCAGTGTTGTCAGCAGAAAACTGAAAGTAAAGCAGAGACACAACTACACAATCTAGTCACAAAACTGACAGAAGAAAGAATACCTTAAGAGGACTGAAGAAAAAAAATCAAACACCATCAAGCAAGAAAGCTACATGACACAAACAGAAAGTGACAGACAGAAATGAGACGAAAAGATGGGAGGAGGAAGAGGACGGAGAGAGAGGGTGAGAAAGAGAGAGCTGAGACAGAGGCTAATAATACATTTTGGTCACAACCCCTTGAGAAAGTCTTCAGAGGAGAATCAAGATGTGGTTGAGGGGAGCGACAGAGGGGTGAGGAGGAGAGATCCGGTTTCACTCAACTTACTTACTCTCCTCCTTGTACCTCTTTAACCCCTGCAATATGTTTTGCCACACCTGTCCTGCTCTGCATGCTACAGATACCTTTCAATATCCTGTGTATGTTTTCTTTACAAAAATAACCAACAAAACTCTTATAAAGTTTTTATTTTGTAGTTCATGTTCAAAGGGACACATTACCTGAACAGACAGGTGGATGTTTCTTTTCAGTGCAGAATACCATGCAGGTCTTACAATATATATATATATATATAAACAGTTAAAATATTTATCTGAAATATCATGGAGTTGATTCAACTTATTGGCCACCGTAGCAAAAGGGACCAATACTTTAAAACTTGCTTTCTGATACTTTTGGAATTCTATAAAAACAGCAGGTAACAACTTCAATAATTTCAAACATGTCAACAAGCCACACCAATAACAAATCTCATGAAGTGATCGCTAACAAAACATCATACTTTTATGACTTTTATACTGCTTAAATCCAGATCTTCTTCTTCCTGAGAGAGTGAACACAGGAAATGTAAGAAACAGACAAATAATCTTCTATCAGACTGAACAACGTTTGTTTTGGAGGCTCAGGGGGGACTTGTCATGTGTGATCGTGTACGCGTCACAAAGACAGATGCTCCTCTTCATACTCGGGTACAGGTAATATCAATATGTCACCAAAAGGCTCGGCCTGCTCCGCATGCACCTTCCTGGCCGATAAAGTTTCTACAGACAAGAAGCACACACAACCACTTAAAAACATCCAATTAGTGCGGAAAATAATTAAGCACACATTATTAAAGCTTCCACTCTGACTGAGACTGAAAGTCAGATATTATAACTCAATGACCACATATTGATATAAGAGCTTCCTCCGGTGTTAATGCTGTAACATTAATACGATTTCAACATGGGCTGATTCAAAAATTCTGGCAGAAGATTTGTGAAGACCTATCGATATGGCTAAGTTACCCCGTCCCAGTTTCCCCATCACTCTGTGTGCTGGGGGACTTAAGTGACATTAGTATAGAGGTTGACACATCATACATGCTTCTCACTGCCTTATGCAACGCCAAGAAAACTATCCTCATGAACTGGAAGGCCAAAAAGAATCTAAGTATCGCCCAATATATGAATCTCCTTATAGATCACATTAGCATGGAGAAAATGTCTGCTATAAAAAAAAAACAAATTGACACAATTCCAGTCTCTCTGGTCCCCCTTGATCAACTTTATCACTTAATGGGGGTGGGTATGTACTGCCTTGCTGCTCAGGGTCCCGTGAGGCCGGTAGGTGTGTCTGGGGGTGGGTTGATTGTTGGATGCATTGCGGTGTGGGGGAGCGTGGGGGATTCTGACTTAACTGACAGGTGTCAGTGGATCGTATTTGTTTGTTTTTTGTTTTTGTTGTTTAGAATTTTGATAGACTGTTTGGCCTGTATTCGGTGCGCCACCGCTGTAGGGTGGGTGGTGATTTTGACCCACGCGCTGTTCGGATGTGGTGGCGCTCGGCTGCCTCCCTGTGGGTCCTGTGTGTGTGGATCCTGTGTGTGGGTTCTGTGTGTGGGTTCTGTGTGTGTGGATCCTGTGTGTGGGTCCTGTGTGTGGGTCCTGTGTGTGGGTCCTGTGTGTGGGTCCTGTGTGTGGGTTCTGTGTGTGTGGATCCTGTGTGTGGGTCCTGTGTGTGGGTTCTGTGTGTGGGTCCTGTGTGTGGGTCCTGTGTGTGTGGATCCTGTGTGTGGGTCCTGTGTATCGGTCCTGTGTGTGTGGGTCCTGTGTGTGGGTCCTGGCAGTGGGGTTGGTGTCCGTCTTGCCTGACATGGGGTGGGTCGGGTGGCTGTAGGCCTGGTTGTCCCGCGTTATCGCTCCCTGGCGGCAGGGAACTTCCCGGCACGGCTTTCTGCTGTTCTTCCTTGGGGCGGGGCGCAGTTTCCCCGGGGCCATGTGGTCTGGGGTCCTTTGGGGGGTCGCGGGGTGCCCTGGCTACCAGGGATGGGGGTCTCTGGGCGGTGCGCGGGTTGATCCGGTTGCGGTTTGGAGGACTGTGGTGGGATTGTAGGGCGATTGTAGATGCATGTTGATGCATTGTGTTTTTGTTATTTTGTCCTTTCCTGGGCAGGGTCTCTGGATGGCTGCTGGGCGTTTAGTTTGTGCATTGGAGTCCGGGGGGGGAATTTCCTCGTTTGCATGGAGGCACAAGTTTGCATCCTTGGTTTGCTTCGTTGGCATCAGATCCATGCTTCCCCATTTCTCTGTCGGCCAGTTGTTGGACCCCTCTGGATACTGAGGTATAAAGTTAGTTTTCGGGATGTGCAGTGTGGGTGCGGGACAGGGCTGTGCTCCTGTTTATTCTGGGTTTGTGCCTGGAGTTCTCAGCCCTGGACCGGTGGGTGGGTTGGCGGCGGCATGCAGCTGAGCTAGTTGATTTTGCCTCGTTGCTGGTTTGGCATTGCAGGGCGGCCTGGGGGCGTGCTGTGCATGGGGGATGTCGGCTGGCGCGGCGGCCTTAGTTTTTCCGGCATTTGGGGGCATGGCGGACTTTTATTGGCTATTGGCGGGTGCACGGTAGCCTGTGCGGCGCGTTTGCTGCCGGGCTGGGACTTGCTGCTGGTGTTTCTCTCCGCTGGCTTTCGCTGTCGTGTTCTGCCGCTCGCTCTCTCTCGTTTGCCCGACCTCGCACGCAGGATTCGCGGGGGGCTGCCGGGCATTGGGTGTCGCCGTGCTCGCGCAGAGCGTGCGTTGGGCTCATCACTTGTGCATTGATAAAGATGATTGCGTAGCATTTACACGTTTTGGTTGTTCGCTGCGCGGCGGTGGGTTGCTGGGTGGGTGGGGGGGCACTGGTCTATGTTGTGTGCGCGCCGCGGTCGGTCCGGGCGCTGCTCTTCCGCAGGTTACGCCTCTTGCGTTCCGTCAGCATTGCATTGTCAATTGACATTTGGATGGTCGTTTTTATTTATTTATTTATTTTCTGGCCGTCTGTTGGTTAGGTCGGGGTCTTTTAGGTCGTTTGCATCGCGGTGCATCTGGGAGTCATATTTTTATTTTATTTTATTTTTCTCCCACCCTTATTGGCTACTGGGGTTCTTGCCTGCCTGTTGCTGGGGTCGGTGTGGCACAGTCGTGGCGTCCCAATATCACTAACAACTACATTCTTTAACAGGCTTATGCGCACACATGTACACGCACACACACACACACACACACACACACATTCACCCACACGCACACAGACACACACAGTCTCACACATAGACACAAACAAATCTAGGTTGTCCCTGGTAGAATTATTCCTGATGCTTTTCTTTCAGTTACTTATTTAAATTAATTGTTATTATTCCAGCTCTTATGGCTGTGCTGTGTTGCTTATTTATTGTGCTTGACGGTTTCTTGTTTTCATTTTTCTCTCTGTTTATTGATGCTGTTCGGCTGGTTGTCTTTTATTATTATTATTATTTTTTTATTGTTTGTTTGTTTGTTGTTGTTTTTCTCCTCCCCAAGCCCCCCTCCCCATTCTATTGCAGGTTTCGTTGCTTTCTGCAATTGGTGTTTCCCACTGATTTTCCCTGTTGTCCCCACCTTCCATCCCCCTTCTCTTACATGTCTTGTCCTTTCTCTGTGCTGCCTGTTTGTGCTCCCCCATCCCCATATTTACATATATACATACACATAATTAAATAAATAATAAAACAGACAAAGGACTATATTAATTCTCTCTTGTTAAAGTAAAATCTGTCTGGCGCAACATGGTATCCAGCTCATCATACTCTATACCAGGCTGCTAGGCAGGACAGGTGGAAAAAAAAAACCCAACAAAAAATAAACCTTGGGCTGATGGGATGATATGCTGATAACTGAAACTGATGCCTCACCCAGGAGCCTCTGAAAAGTGTTGCTGACAGTTCTGCGGTCGACCTCGGGCGGTAGGAGAGAATGAAAAAGCACAGGTGCCGCTTCATGTCTGGGCAACTCCGGCAGCAGCCTACACACACATACACACACGCCACATAAGCATGTAATCGTATTACTATCTCCAAACCTAATCAAATGCAAAGACTGTTTAAGACAAAATTCTGAGCTCTGAGTTTCTACTGGTTAGTAAAGGTGTGTGCGTTCACTGTCATTACCCAAGAGACTCCAGAAACTCGTCAACCACCTCTGGGATGTCCTGCAGCACAGAAACAGACCTGGAGACAGTGGACCTGCCAACACACACGTTTGCATATAAGGATGACTGGGCTCACACACTTCGCATATGTTCTTTTGACACCTACCCTTCTCTCTCAGGGGTGTACATGGGGGAGATCTCTCGAGGCACCTCTTTCGGATAGGAGCCCTCCAGTGGCAGTGATCCTTGGCCTGCACAAAAACACAGATTTGAGGACATTGCACTGCTTATATTCATTCCCTGGAGGCTTGCCCCTTAACCATAAGTGATACATGCCTAACCCTGACCTCTGACCTCAGCCTCACCTCAGGGAAGACACAAACCACTTAAGCTCATGCTAAATTTTACTGCAGTGGTTACACAGTCTTCACAGTACAGTTTACAGTAAGGTTTACCTGAAATATCAAACGCCTCTGATTCTGCCAAATCTCTGGGGACCTGTACTCACACACAGACGCACAATCAGCTTTTCATCTTCTGAAATTTCTCCCTGCACAAAAAGGCTGCACAGATGTCCATATCAGAGTCACACAAATAAACATCTTTCCACACCTCCTTGGGGCTGAGCTCACGTCTCGCCTCCTCTCTTTCAGCCGCCTCAATCATCTCGCGCTGTCTTTCCTTTTCAGAGTCGGAAGACTCGGTCCCTCTTTGCCCGAACTGCAGGTCCGGGCCTGAGATAGCTGTGATGGTCGCAGCCCGTCTCCATAGAAACTGCACATCTTTGGGCAAGACTGTGGGGGAGGAAATTGCTTTGTGGTTTATTTTTGAAGTTATTTGAGTCGAGTCCTTTAAAATAACTGTAAGTGCAGAAAAATGTATTATGAAAGGTGACATTTGTTACGCTTAATCAATAAATCATTATAACACTTTAGAGAAGATTAACAGCCTATAGGCATATTTACTGACATTTTACAGTTGGTGCCACTGGGCTGTATTTCACAGAAACTCTGGATTGTTTTATGGTAGGGTGACCGATTTCCAGGGACAGTCCCCGGTTTTGGTCAGCTTTTACTGCCAGGTATGTGTACACATACAAGGAATTTGACTCTGGATTGGATACACTGCTCACGATGTGCTTACTCATACAAAAATACAAAATCACAATAATAAAAATAAAATCAGACACAGACTTCAGTGTAGACAACACAAATATACACACTATGAACAAAAACAATATAGACATATGGACAAATAGTGCAGTGAGCAGAGTGCACAGGATGCAGAAGAATGTACATGTCGGAGGTGGATGTGATATACAGGTACATATACATGCATATATGTACACATGTACATAGTGCAATGAAGCATAGTGCAAAGGATGCTGGAATAAATAAGTATTTTGTGCAAGAGTTATGACTTGAGGTAGGTGGATATGGTATACAGTATCTACAATATGACAATATAACAGTATGAACAGCACTGAAATAGAGAATGGTGAATAAATAATAAGTGTTAGCCAGTAAACAGGTGGCTGATTAGAGGCAGAGTTACTGGGTTATTGCACAAGAATTGTTCCTGACACCGTGAGTCAGAAATCAGCTGTTCATCAGAGTGATGGCTTGTGGGAAGAAATTGTTCCTGAGTCTGTTGGTTTTGGCGTACAGTGCTCTGTAGTGTCTACCAGAGGGGAGAAGCTGGAACAGATTGTGTCCGGGGTGAGATGGAGCTGCAGTGATGTTTCCTGCCCGTTTCCTGACTCTGGAAATGTATAAGTCCTGAATGGAGGGCAGGTTGGCACCGATGATCTTTTCTACAGTCCTGACTGTCCGTTGTAGTCTGTCCTTGTCCTTTTTGGTGGCAGATCCAAACCAGACAGTGATGGACGTGCAGAGGACAGACTGGATGATAGCTGTATAAAAGTGGATCAGCAGCTCCTTAGGCAGGTTGAGCTTCCTGAGCTCGAAGTACATCCTCTGCTGGGCCTTCTTGATAATGGTGTCCATGTTGGGCTCCCAATTCAGGTCCTGGGATATAGTGGATCCCAGAAACCTCAAGGATTCCACAGCAGACACAGGGCTGTTGAGTATGGTGATGGGGGGCAGAGTGGGGGGGCTCCTCCTGAAGTCCATAATTAATCTCCACAGTTTTGAGCATGTTAAGCTCTAGGTTGTTCTGGCTGCACCAGAGAGCCAGCTGATCAACCTCCCGTCTGTAGACCGACTCATCACCGTCCCGGCTTAGGCCGATGACCGTTGTGTCGTCAGCAAACTTCAGGAGTTTGACAGATGGGTCTCTTGAGGTGCAGTCGTTGGTGTAGAGGGAGAAGAGCAGGGGGGAAAGCACACACCCCTGGGTGGCGCCAGTGCTAATAGTCTGAGTGCTGGATGTGATGTTCCCCAGTCTCACCTGCTGATTCCTGTCAGTCAGGAAGTTTGTGATCCACTGACAGAGAGCTGGGTGAGTTTGGTGCTGAGGATGTCCGGGATGATGGTGTTGAACGTCGAGCTGAAGTCCACGAACAGGATCCTTGCATATGTCCCTGAAGAGTCGAGGTGTTGCAGGATGTAATGCAGTCCCAAGTTGACAGCATCATCCACTGACCTGTTAGCCCTGTAGGCAAAGTGCAGGGGGTCCAGCAAGGGGCCTGTAATGTCCTTCAGATGGGGCAGCACCAGTCTTTCAATGGACTTCATGAATATAGATGTCAAGGCGACAGGCCTGTAATCATTTAGTCCAGAGATGGTGGGTGTTTTGGGGACCGGGATGATTGTGGAGCGTTTGAAGCGGGAGGGAACTTCACTCACTGCAGTGATCTGTTGAAGATCTGTGTGAAGATGGGGGCCAGCTGGTCTGCACAGATTTTCAGGCAGGATGGCGACACACCATCTGGACCAGGAGCCTTCCTGATCTTCTGCCTTTGGAAGAGGTGGCTTAGGTCCTCTTCACAGATCTTGAGTGCAGATGAGGGATCAGAGAGGGGGGTGGCAGTGTGTCAGAGGGGGAAGGTGACTGTTTGACGATGGTGTTGGAGCGGGGGAGAGGTGTGACTGTGGGCTTTTCAAACCTACATTAAAAGCCTTTCAGCTCGTCTGCCAGTTGTTGAGTACCAGCAGTGTTGGGGGATGGTCTCCTGTAGTTGGTGAGTGTCTGCAGGACTCTCCACACTAACGCAGGACGTTGGCTGCAAAGCTGTTATTTAGCTTTTCAGCATAGGATCTCTTTGCTGCTTTGACATCTTTTTATTCAGTGTGTTCCTGGCCAGGTTGTACCAAAGTTTTTGGTTGTTGTATGTGCGGAAGGTTTTAGTCGGCACACTCATGTCCTCACAAAAATTGATGTAAGATGTCACAGAGTCAGTTAGTTCGTCCAGGTCAGTGGCTGCAGCCTCAAAAACACTCCAGTCAGTGCAGTCAAAGCAGGCCTGTAACTCCAGCTTTGACTCGTTGGTCCATCTTTTCACAGTCTTCACAACAGGTTTAGCAGATTTCAGTTGTTGCCTGTATGTTGGGATAAGATGAACCAGACAGTGATCAGAGAGTCCCAAGGCTGCACGGGGAACAGAGTGATAGGCGTCCTTTAATGTAGTGTAGCAGTGGTCCAGTGTGTTAGTGTCCCTGGTGGGACACTTAATATGCTGTCTGTACTTTGGTAGTTAGTGGCTGAGGTTTGCTGAGCAGGGAATCTGGATGTTTTTTCTCCACGTTAGTTATCTCGTCGGTAGTAACGCCTCACTAACACAGGCCTGAGGTGGAATGTAAACAGCGACCAGGACAAACGAGGAAAACTCCCGCGGTGAATAAAAAGGTAAATGTCATGCCTGGTTACACTATAAACTGCAAACACTTTATGTCTGTGGTAATAGCAAAGGTATGTCTTTGTGATACTTTAACATTTCTTTTAACAGAATAATCACAATTGTGGCCAAATAAGTGTTTGCGGTTTATATTGTAACCAGGCATGACATTTACATGATTATTGGCAATAATAAGTCTGTTGTTGCCGATGGATTATGTGTTTGGTAGGTCTATATTTGGAAAACGGAATGTAGCCTATTAACATGACAAACTGCTAAGTAATATATAAAATAAAGACATGATCTCTCTCAATCCTTATGACTCTACATTATTTAACTTGCTGTGTACCAACCAATCCAGTTCTTAAAATACCTTTAAATGGCCAAAACAACACATAAAATGCAATATTCTACTTGCCAGAAAGTGATTGCAGCCTCTAAAGGTTATTTCTGCCTCATAAGGACTTGATTTCATTCAGAGGAGTTATATTTGACAGATTATAAAACCGAAATTGCCCCCCTTTTTTATTACATATATAATAACATTATATTTATATAAAAATCTGGTTACTTTATTTTATGGCATAAATGAAATAATATTTCACAGTGCAACACAGCAGGAAGGCTCTGTGTTTATGGGACACATGGCTGTACGTTTGAGAAACACTAGAGTAAAATGTTTGTATCTGTTTATTTTGTGGATTAACTTCTCTTACTGATGTATATTGTAATGATATAATTGAAATAATGGTAACTATATATATTGCATAGATTAAAATAAAAGTTTTGATGGGAACACTGAGCAGATTACCTGTAGCGGCAGAACTTGTTTAGCCTGGGTTGAGTGATAAACCTTTAGAGAGAATTGCTGTACCAGTAGCTTTTGTCCGTGCTTTCACTGCGCTTTCATTTTCACCCACAGCTTGAAAGCTGTTGTAATGTACTAATTACGAAGTGGTTAATAGTATCTACAATTACACTTGTACTTGGTAGCTATACTCCTGGCAATTATGGCCAATCTTCTCAACTATGTACTCACAATACATTAGCCATCATTTTGATTTTGATTTTGAGCCATGCTAGCAGCTCTGCAGATTGCAACATCTGTCTATCTGTCTGTCCACCACTTTGCTTTATTACAAAATACCCGCAAACAAATGGTATTCCCATCAGCCTCAGCTGTGCTTTGTGTTTAGAGCTAATTAGCAAATGTTAGAAAACTAACACGCTAAACAAACATGGTAAACATTATACCTTCCTAAACAGCAAGTTAGCCTTGTGACTGTGAGCATGTTAGCATGCTGATGTTAGCATTTAGCTCAGAGCACCGCTGTCTCAGTGGCATGTGAGTCTAGTACTGCGTTCCAGACTGCTCGGAAGTCGTAAATTTCCAAGTTGAAATGTCTGACTTCCAAACTCAAAGCGTTCCAGGAGCATGATGCTGCATGCCAACATTTTTGTCATCTTTGTCAAGTGTACACACAACTGAACCCTCAGCAGTGCCCTTGGTGTTAATTAAAAGTATGGCTGTTGTAATAAAAACAGGTGACATAAACATACGTTACTCGTCAACTGTGTACTTTTCTAGTTACATCAGTAAAAAGTGGTTGCTTTTTGATGTACCCAGGGTTTTGACAGATCTGGGGAAAACTGTTTTTTCATACTATGCACCCTGGGCGTGGAATAATTTGCAAAAAGATCTCAAATTAGAAACGTGCATATCAATTTAGAAATTTAAGAGCTCATAATGAATGTGGTGAAAGAGGCATGTGGTTGTTTTTCTTAAGGGGTTATTGTGTTTGAATATATCTACTTTTTGTTAGTGTTTTTTTTTTTATTATGAATTTTGTCATGGTGTATATGTAGTTTTTTAATATGTTGTGTTTATGTATGGCTGCCTCTCTTGTAAAAGAGATTTTTGATCTCAATGGGACTTCCTTGCAAAATAAAGGTAAAATACTTTTTTTTAAATCATCAAAAGTCAGTAAATGTTGTAGGCTACATTTCCTAACTTTATTTATTTTTTGCGTTTTTAACATTTCCTTAATAACTTTTACTGTAACCAGCTACCTAACAACCATAATCCAACCACACAGATATTTTCACTTATGGTGCCTGATTAGACCTCTTCTGTGGGGGTGGGCTTAATTGACACTTTCTTCACACTCCTATTAGCTTTGCTGAACCTATAGGAAAACTTATAATGTTATCATAGGCCTTTTCCACAGCAGACACGTTGACTTGCTATTTGCCTTTTGTACATAGAGGTTACTTACGGGTGCAGGGGTTGTTGAGGAGCTCAGCAGCAGGGAGCATCCTGTGAGAAGAAGGCGTTGGGAGAAGTGGCCGTCTGGTCTCAGTCAGAGGGTTGTTGATCCACTGTTGCAGCACCTCCTGGGAGAGCTGCGTCACCGGGTCAAAGAAGATCAGCTGCCTCTTCCTCCTCTTCCTCGTCTTCACCTCTGGGGAAGGCAAATCCTGGGCATGGGAGGGGTGTGGGAAGTAAAAAAACTTTCCTCCAGCTGTCTGGGTACCTCTTTATGTTAGGGCACCTTATATTGTATTTATAAGTTGTAACTACTGAGTTTATCAACGCTTAATAAATAATTTACTGGAGCTTTATAGATCACTTATAAACCATAAGTAAGAGCTTTTGGGTTGCCAGGTTGTGAAAAAATCCTTTAGCTGGTATTTATCCTCCTTCAGCCTGACATTTGCTTTGTCTAGCGCTTTCAGGAAAACCCTTCCAACAGACCTTTCAACTACCGAACCTCAATCCATTTAACAACAGTGTGTTAACAATTACAAATTCAGGCTTGATGGAGTTTTTTAAATAACCTAAAAACATTCAACACAAGAAAATTGCAAGTGTCATTTTGGAAGAGCATTAACAACAGCAAAGGGGATTTATCACAACCTGGAAACCCATGAATTGTTGTTGTTATTGGCATATAACAGATACAATAAAGTATTCATAGTGTTTTATTAACCAGTAATACACCTTTATGAAGTCCGCCTCATTAGCTCAAAGCGGTACCGTATTTTGTCTCTTGAACAAACGCCACACAGGCTTGCACCTCTAACTCCAGCGTTGGTCTTTCACGTTCCTTTGCTGCAGGCGGTGGGTAGGGGATAGCGGGCACAGAGACGGGGGTGAGCTGGTCTGTGGGGGGTCCAGGCTCCTCCACGGACAGGCCCGGCTCTTCCTGAGGCAACAACATTGCGTCTTCACTGGAGAGAGTGGTGGGCTGTAATCTGACACAGGTACAGAGGTCAGTGTGTGTTTGTGCGGATCTGTTTGCACCAGTGTTTCCACATGCATCTGGATCATTTACTCAATAGTGGATCCTGTAAGCTCTTTTGTTCTCTCTTTCTCCAGGTCACCCTCTCCTCCTTCTCTCAGTATCTCCAAATCTCCTGTAAGAAAAAGTTAAAGAAAGAAAAATGATGACAATCCCCCTCCTTTCTTTCCACCTCAAAACTTTCTTTTTATCACCCTCGTTTCACAAGAGAAAGGAGCTCCTAGTTTTGCCACACACCTTCTGGAAAGTGATCGGTTTGGTCCAAGAGGAAGTCAATAGTATCTGGATGCTCATCGGCAAGCTCCTCGCCCTCAAACTACCAGTGATAAGAAGAAAGAGAAAGATGGATGCGAGTGACGACCAGTAGGAAATTTGTGACAAAAATGTATATGTGTTTGCATGAGCTTCTTTTGACAGCTGTACCTCTGCAACGGGGATAGCGACAGGCTCCGTGTCTCTCAGAGTGATGGTGTCTGGAGATGCCGTTATGCCTGGGGGGGGATAATATGACGTTAGTAAAAAGCCACTCTTTCACCTACAGTGAAACCAGCGGGAGGGAACACTACTAATCAAGCTGCAATTAACGTGCTCTCTTCTGCTGAGTGAGATCCGGCTACACAACACTTCCTGACACCGCAGCATCAGCCTCAGCCAATTAGGAGGATGTTGTTGAAGACAGTGTGCCCTGACCTGACCCACCGTATCTTTCTACCCTGCGCTGTTCTCGTGTATTTCTGCCTGGATCTGCACAATCTGATCTCGGCCTGTTCCTGGGACCTGTTGGCATTTCTGTGCATATCGCTATACTGCATATTCCTGGACACCTACAGGCAGTACTTATACTCCCTGCAGCACTTTTCTTCATTTTATACTTCAGGTTATAAAATCACTTTGTGTCAGCATCATGAATGAGACATTGCAACAGGCTTTAAAGGTGTGTTCCTGTGATTTAGTATTATACTTATAAAGTATAAAGTTAGGGGGACTTAAAAAGACAGATTGAAAACAAGAGTAAAAGTCTAGCCCTCGATATCCTGACTTTGAGTCTCTGGTATGGGTCAATTTTCAAAAATGCTGGATCCCACATCACATAAAACTCTTCTTGTACCTAGTTTGTAACACCAAATTCATCATCGCCCAAGACAAGATCATTTTTTATTATTAATACATTTATTTTCATTGTGGGGGGCATTTCTGCTTTATTAGATAGTCTCAGTGGAGTGGGACAGGAAAGGAGGGTGACAGAGAGAGATGACATACACTGCGGTAAGGATGAGATGGTACATGCTCTACTGGGGCGGTTCAGGGTTGGGGGTTATTTTTCAGGTCACATGAGACATTACATTTTAAGAATAAATTTGATATTTTTGCTTCTACACTATATTCTATTTTCTGCTGCTGCAATGACCCAATGCCCTGAAAAGATCATTATTTTTATGTCATTACAGCATATCAAGTCATCCTACCAATTTCTAGTGCAGCTGCAGCTGGACTGGCCAGTCCAGGATGCTCAGGAGAGGTTTCTCTCAGGTAATCCTGACCCATCTAAGAGACACAGAACAGGCAGAGGACGCTTATTTTTATGAGTACAGATATTTAGATGATTTTCAGCTTTACCTTCACTTACAAATGTCTGCTAAGTGTTAAATTTCTTTCCTTACATGGTTATTTGGGTACCTTTATCAGTGTATTGGGACTGGATGTGGCATCTGGCATGAACATCACTCCAAATAAGGGGTCTGGGGCTCCTTCTGTCTCCTCCAAGAGAGACAGGGCATCAGGGAAGTCCAGAGGTTGTCTGAGAGAAAACAGGAGGCAAAGCAGCAAGGGCCTGAGTTATCTTTGTGTTTGTGCATGCAGGCGAATGTGTGGCATGTTGAGCACCTGTTCTCACCTGCTGGAGTCATCCATATCAATTTTCTGGGACGTCTTCTGTTTCACCAGCCGGCCCACGATGGACTGAAGTTCCTCTGGAAGGACACAAGTTCAGGAACCATTGCGTTTGTCTCAGCATCTCTTTCCTCCACCCTGTTAATCATGTCTTACCCAGGAGAATGGCACACTGCCGGTGGTAGACGACGATGACGCCATACTGGAGCTGGGAGGAGAGGTAGAGGGAGAAGCGAGGTCGCGGCAGACCAGGCCGAGGTGGCGGGACCCGCTCCAGGACGTAGTTCATGATGTCATCGCTGTACAGGCATTAGCTTTATTGTAACTGGACAGATTACAGCTCAGCAGATTATAAATATGTGACAATGACATCTTACCAGGTGCTTGTGACGTTGACTTTTAGGAAATCCCGGCGAGGGATTCTGATGCCTTTTGTAGCAACTAGCCTGAAATGGGCATTGGTATAATGTTGTTTCATATTTTACTCATTGGGCAACAAAAAAAAAAAAGGGCTTTAAGTAATCTGCAACCTCTGAAAGCATCTGGGGCAACTAAACTCCTCAACCGCAGTGACCATTTGTGCATTGTTATTGTCTTTTATATGCACTACATCGGGAGCTGATGACAAGCACTTTTCATTTCTTCTGCGTATGCAAATGCCCAGGGAAATAACAATAAAGTTTATTTATTATCTATGTATCTATCTTTCTATCTAACATATCTTACAGTGCGGATCATAATAATTATGCATTGTTACTCAGAAATAAAAAAAAATAGTCTTACCTGACAATACTGTACTTTATTACAGTCATGTCAACCGAGCAAATTAAAGATGAATTAAGCCTAAACCTAACACATCAAATAATGTAGTCATACTTGCACCTACAATAAGGTGACCAGATTTCTGAAATGAAAACCTGGGACATTTTTGGTTTGGTGGTCAGTATGTCATCCTACATGCATTTTTTGTGTGACCTTTGATCTGACCTTCAAAGCTGCTGTCTTGTGAAAAGGGGACTTCAAAGACTCAGACTTTGCTGTTTTGTCTACAGTGTATATGATGCTAGATATTTGTTTTCTTTGCCACTGGTGCACCTGCACTCCTGTTTTAAAAAAAAAAATACCTGTCCAATTGTGTATGTGCTCCAACTGTGTGTGTAGCTTATATGGTGGAGAATCTGCAATGTAGCTTTTTAAATGTACACCCGAACAAACAATATCTCTACAATAACGTCTCTACTACATGTCTGATGACAGTCAGTCTTTGCATTAATTATTAAGGTCTTTAATTTTCAGTTAACAAACCAGCAGTCTCTAAACGGAGGTTTAAAAAAACAACCACAAACATAATCCAGCTTCATAGATTTCCCATGGGTTAATAATGTAGTTAACATCCCAGTGGTTGAAAGGAAGTACATTTACTCAAGCAACGTTACTGTACTGAGATACTGTTAAGAAACTGTATAGCCTACTTTGACTTACACTGCATAAATATTGTACTTTTACTACACGACTTGTATCTGAAAGCTTTAGATACTTCTTACTTTGCAGGTGGAGAATTTAAAAGCCTGTAATAAACATCAAAAATACAAGGTATTGTTAACCAGTAAATTAATAAACCACCCACCAGTGTATAAAATGAGTAATATTAGCTAACGTTACCGCAGTTGGCTACAATATTAAAATGCTAGTGAGGAGTTTTACTGCAACACATTTTCCAGATGAAACGACTTCTACTTTAGGAAAATGTGTGCATGGATGCAGGAGTTTTACTTGTAGTTGTAACAGAGTATTTTTAAGTTTTGGTTTAACTACGACTAAAATGTCTGAATACTCCTTCCACTGTCGCAGTGACAAATAATGTTACACACCAATACAAAGTCACATCACTGAGGCAAAGCTATGGATCGATTTAAAATATTCAGAACATTTTTACTCACCAGATTGTAGAGAAACATCCTGAGTGACGCTTTAAAACTGTCGGGTAGTAAAACATTTTAGCAAATCTTTTAGAAAATCAATAAATTCATAGGTAATGAGAGAAGAGCGCGTCCACTGTGTGAGATAAATGTGTCGGGTTAATTTCTTTTAGTTTGAGAGAAGCAGATTGGTCAATCCCGCTGAGAGCAACTGAAAATAGTGGTATTTGTCCCGTTAGTTACGCTCAGACATGTAATGTACCGGTGGTAGCCTACATTTTATTTGAGAAAATAGAATTTCTTTAAATAAAATTAGTTCTCTATAAAAAAAAGTTAAACCACCTCTGCAATTAAAATCACAGCTCTGACAATTTGTTCAGATAGTTTTCTTATATAAAACATTTAAGAAATTTAAATATAAACGTTTGTCTCGTGCAATGTAAACAAATTAATTCATGTTTTAATTACATAAATCATCTGGATTAAGATGCTTGAGCAGCATTACATATTTTATTAAGTGGTGAAAATTGTTTGATTCAATTATGCATTTATGAAAGTAACTTCTGCATCTACATACACTGTTCTTCTTTTGAGTTTTTAATCACAAGCTTTCCCATAGTAGTTAAACTGGTTTAGCCTGACATTGTACTATGTTGTTTCACAAAAGAGCAGATGCAGGAGCTTTGGTTCATTAAAGAAAATTGCATTTTATTCAGATAAGGGTCACAGATAAAATGGGGCAAATCAAGTAATAGGTTCATATAAAATAAAAGGCAACAAAACAGCTGTAATAAATTTCCTTTTTCTTAAAAAAAAAAGAACAAGTTACAGTGTGGAAAGGGCTTCTCTAAGTTTCCTAAAGATCCAGCAGAGGGAGTGAAGTTCATGATGACTGCAGATCACAGAAGTCTTCCTCGGCACTCAGTGGATCCGCAGCAGCAGAGCAGCACCTTCCCCTCCACGCTGCCCACCTCATAGTTGTAGTCCCAGGTCAGCTCTGTGCCGGCCCGGATCCGCCTGCACGAGGACACAGGCAAGCAGGCAAGTTAGTGCAGGACAAGAGCTTTCCAGTATGGTGCAATGATGACTACATTAATAACTGCCTTCTCCTGGAAAAACACATAGCTGGATTTACTACTGTATATGAAAAGGTAGTGGAGCTTCCCTCACTGGTCACTGTGAGGACTGCTGTCAGCTCAGGCGTAATCGCTTCCTAGTTAAAAACTTACCAACAGACTGTGAAAGCCACAGGAGACAATTACTATGCAAAAACTCTGTAGCAGATAGGTGGCTGCCGAAGTATTAACCTTATAAATAGTGCTGAACAGTTACTGCTTCAATCATCAAAACTATTCAAATCTGCAAAGTGATCCATAATTTCCATCTCTATTGGAAAACATCTTATCTGTAGACTAAAAAATAGTGTAATTCTACTGTTTACCAGGCAATTTTCACATCGGAGGATAAAACAATGATAACCTTGCATCCTTCTCAGTACTACAAATCGCTGTGCAGTTTTCCGACATTTGATTAGCCTTGAAACTCACACATATAGTACTTAAACCTGCAGTATATGTTTGGCCAATGGAGCAGCAGAAACAAGTTGTGAAAATAACATTTACACGTCACAGTTTTTGGCCCCCTGGCGATTCACACAATTCTCCTGAGGCTGAAAAATATTCATAGTTGACATAACGGGACCTGTGACAAATCTAAAATTGGTTTCAAAACTCACTTGCTGGCAAAGAACGCCACCCAGGGAAACCGCAAGTCATGTGTGTCCACAAACACATTCTGGACGAAGAGGTTAGGACTGCAGCTGTGCTGTAATACAGAAAGGAGACAAAATTAGATTTATTTGAGTGAATGAGTGAGTTAAATGGTTACACACTGAGATTGTGTATATTACACACTTACATTCAGGTAACGCCCAAGGTTTCCTTCCAACTTGGCATCAATGATGTAACAGGACTCTTCACCATCAAAGAACAGGCGGGTGTTTTTGGAAGAGTTTTCACCGCCTCCTCCTGTGTGTGCCTGCTGTCCAGTTTTTCCTCCCTGACCTCCTGGTCCCCCGCCTCCAGACGGACCTGCTTTTACCATCATCCCGTGGCTGCCCTTCAAGGCGATGCCACGTGTAGATTTCACTGCTACCTGCTTCTTAGTCACACCTGAGCCAGAACAGCAGCAACAAGACCAAGCGAGAAAGAAAGAAAAGAATGAAATGTGAAAACAGTGACAACTAGTGGTTGACCAGTTTGGGTTTTTCAATGGCCGATGCCAATTTGTAGAGAGCAGGACGGCCAATTTATAATTCCGACATCAAAATAAAGGAAATTCATGTATAACTCCATTATTCCATTCTATTTAGGATGGGAAGAACATGTTAACATTAAGAAAAGACTTCAGTGCCCAAAACTAACTTCTGCTCCAACTTTCAAAAACTCACAAGGTGGAGTACTAACATTGTTCCACAGCAGCCACACTGACAAGGCTGCTTGCAGATGTGTCCACAGACATTTTTTGTATATTGGCATAGTGAGTGCAGGTACTGGATGATGATGTCAAAATGCCACTAGAAAATCGCAAGTGAAAACCAACCTAAACTCAGGTGTTTTCACATTAATCCTGTCTCTTCAAATTACCTGGGGTGACTTTTTCTTTCTCCTTATTGTCGTCGGATCCAGAGCTGATGGTCTGAACATCATCACTGTCAGAGAGGGTCATCACATCCTGCTTCTTCCCCATCTCTGTCTTCATCTGACTGCAAGAAACACATAAACATTTTTATATTATTCTAAAGATATTATTACTCACAGAGCTGTTGAATTGTTGTTAAATAAAACATGTTTAAAATCAGGAAAAACTTTAAGAATATTTTGTCCAACACACCTTTTGCTGTCTCCAGAATCCTGTCATGGAAAACAGAAAATTAAAGGTTATCTATCATTATGCAAGACAGTGATGAGACAAAATCTCCTAAAATAAATTCCACCTTTTACCGTTTATCCCTTCACAAATGATAACATCTAAGATGAGAGTGCTGATGAGCACGAGGATTATTTTTATTTCTGTGTGAGACACTGCAATTATTTAAAGAAGGCTACGCACACAGAGTTCAGATCAATAAAACGTTATTCTAACTTTATCTCCTCTTTACTCACCTTCTTCAGCCCCTGGCTTGTAAGCCAGGAAGCCACTTTACTTTTCCCCGTCTCCTCTGGCATAGATGGGGGCTTCTCGTCATCAGTTCCTTTGGCTGATGCACTCAATCCGTCTTTACTGTCTTGACTCCCTGGAGCAGGACCGAGAGGGGTGTGTGAAAAAAACAAAACAAACCCCAGGAATCTTCCAAACCTAGCTTTGGACTCACACATTTAATGCAGGGGAAACACTGTAGATAAGTTTGTTATAATAAAAGAGGTGTTTTGAGAAAGATACAGCACATACCAAGATCTAACCTTTAACTCACCCTCCAAGTCACCAAATGTGGCACTCTTACATGCACACTAACCCTGAAACTTCGCTGGAAGCATAAAATAAATGCCATGTGGATGCAAAGGTTTTGGATTAGTGATGCAAGAAACAATTATTTTCCTTATCAAATAGTCTATACATAATTGTTTTAATCTACAAATGATATGAAATATAAAAAGCAAGACAAAATAATAACATTTTTAAAGTCTCTACAGCTCAGCTGCTGCTTTGTGAATTAATTTAAAATGTTAACAACAACAACAGTGCAGTCACAATGCAGTGGATAACAGATTTTGGTGTTAGTCATCCACTAGAATCAGCAAGAATTAGAAGAAAAGTATTGACACAATGTCTGCACCATAAACATGAACCTCGAGCCAGGGGCCTGTTAGCTTAGCTTAGCATAAAGAGTGGAAACGGGAAACTGCTTGCCTGACTCTGTCCAAAAGAAAACTAAATCTGCTTACCTGGACTAGTTCTTTACCTTACAGACAAGAGGAGAGTGGTATCGATAATTTAATAGAACTATCGAATACGCATAGTTCCTAAAATGTCAAACTATTCCATTAAATAAAAACTGCAAACACTGACAGTGTCCTCTGAGATACACCTCCTAACAACGCCTCCAGCTCACCTTCCTTGTTCCCCTTGACCTGACCACGTGTGGTATAACTCCTCCACACAGAGCTGGAGCTGTAGTAGCTCTCCTTCACAAAAGTGTCGTCTGAGCTGTCACTTTCATCTTCACTCTTTGAATCCTTCTCATCGTCGTCGTTGCTGTCCCCAGATGAACTTGGACTCCGGACTGTGACAGAAACAAAAGAAAGATGTGAAAAATCATGTGGAGAAGAAGGAAGGTAAAATGTCACCTGGGGTCGAGAACACAAACACTGCCGAGAACCCAACTCAGTCAGTTAGGGACAACCTTGATCTCTCCCCTTTGGACTCACCCTTTTTGGACTCACCCTTCTTGGACGGTCGCCCAACAGGGTTAGCTGATGCTAAAGCAGATGGTTGGATTTTTATCCTCGACACATCCACACCGCTCCCCTCGCTGTCTGAACAGTGAGCCTCGCTCTCATAGCCCTCCTTGAAGTTCTCCACACTCTCTATATGGTCCAGATTAGCGAAATACTCGTCGCCCATCTCTAGACCTTCTTTATCAGCAAAGTCGTCTGTCAAGATTTTACCTGTTAAAGTGGAATAAAAAGGGAAAAAAATAATTTTGCAATCAAGTCATCTGTTGTTGTATTGTAATGAATAAACTGATGATGTCCGCCTGTTTTCGATCACCTCTGTCCTTGTAAAACCATTCTTATAAGTCTGTTCCCTTTCCTCACCAGCATAGATGCAGACAAAAGAGCCCTTGGCCACGTCATCCAGACAGCGGATGCCCCAGCCTTTGTTCTGGGTCTTGAAGAGTTGAAGACGCACCTGCAGGCCGTGTTGCACCAACCGGTTGGTGCACATCTGAGGACAGCATTTGCAGCGCTTATTACACTCATAGATACTGAGAGAAAAAGAAGGAGAGAGATCATGGCCTCTGAGACAATACAACCAAATTAGCTGTAATATTCAGGAGTAATTATCTTTTATGGAGGTTATGAGGGGTGAGAGTGAGTTAGTCTTTCTGTAGAATGCACCACAGGTGGGAGATGCTTTGGTGTGTGTAAAATGTCTGACCCTGTGGGAAGGCACTCCTCTAATCGTTTGTGCAAATATCCAGCATTTGGGTTGATCTGGGCCCCCGGTGTACAACCTGTAGCCTGAAGGGTCAGCTGGTGACAAGAACATTTGGACCTGTAATAAAGACACAAAGGTGTATGTTCAGAATATCAACAGTGGGAGAAATATGAAAAAAGGATGGGGTCATGGGCAAGGAACCTCACTAACTTATCTCGACAACCATCGGTACAATCACAACCAACCAGGAAGTCTGAACTGGTGTTGATGTATACTCCATCTTCAGGAATACGCTCTTTACCTTGAAGGGATGAGAGGAGGATCTATTAGTCTCTGCAATAACCTATTCCAAAGAGACTTTTCAAATAAGGTAGGGGCAGCAAAAGGCATGGATAGGTCATCAATAAAAAAACACCTTCAGCAGAAGCAAGAAGCTAAAGGCTTGCAAAAATAGACCACAGCAAAATGATTTGCATTATAAAAACTTAAGGCATCCAGGCACAACTAGGGAATGAAATAGAAATAAAAAAGTATTTTCATTCAAGCTATTCAACAATCCATGTTTTAACTGATAGGTAACTGGATTCATTGTAAGTGTCTCAATTAATATGTCCAAAATCAGTAGACTTCTGCTTTAAAGACTCTACGATCACCTGATCATCTCGAAAGCTCAAACAATATTGTGTAGTCTGATCCCGCCACAAGCCCAAATTAATCTCTCCTTTGTTTCCAGTGTAATTCTTACTGTAAGCTACTTTAGGAGGCGGTGTGGAATCAATCTCGTTGACACAGGAGAGCGGGATGTCCTCCCTTCCACCAGTGATGTCGGGAATGTAGTAGAATGGCCTCTGTGGCTGGAAGGGACGGTCCACAAGCACGTAGGGGTCTAGACAGAACATCTCTAAGAATATAAAGTCACAGCGTGTCTGGAAAAGGTAGTGCTGGATCTCTGCCATGTTACGCAGGCAAAGGCCACACGGAGCTTTGTAGATCACGTGGAAAGACATCTGAGGTGAGGAAGACAAGAATTGTACAATTCATTTTAACTCCAAACTAGAGCAAAAAAAAAAAATACACATATTTAAAAGGTTAGGTAAAATATTGCTAAGTGTTTTACTCTTCTTTCAAATTTACCTTGCGATTGACTTTGCGTCGTCCGGTCATGCGTCTGAAATCGTACAGTAAAGGAGTGAGGAGGGGGTTCTTTCCTCTGTGCGTGTCTGGTTTTGCAGGTCGGACGCGATTCAGACAGGCGGGTTGACAGTTGTGTGCTAGGTAGAAGATGCGGTCCGTCGGGGCACGGTATGCGGGCTGATGCGGGATGGTGGCCGTTGCGTGGGTGATAGGAGGAGGGGGTGGAGCCAGGGAGGGCAGCTGTCTCTGATACGGCTGTGTTAACGTAACCATATTTTGGACATTCAGCATTCTCCCACTACGGATCAACAAACAAAAGAAAAAAGAAATCAAATGTCTAACAGGACAACACTTTTCAACAGTGCTTTTCCTGTTTTTTTCTGCGTCACAAGAGGCAATGTGTTAGACCAAACAACAAGGTGGACTCACCCAGAGATTGTGCTGGGACTGGATGAAACTGACTGCATGACTTTGGAGGCGTGAGTGCCTCCCACCCCAGGGACAAACGGAGAAGTACTCTTCTTCGCCATCTGATGTTTATTGCTTGAAGATGGCGAGGAGAAAAAGAGTCAGCCAATGTTAAAAGTCTCCTCTTCCTTCCAAATCGTCTAGATTTAAAGGTCCACTTATCACTATATTTTCATTAAAAAAAGCTTCAATCTAACATGTAATGTGAAAGTTGTCGTTTAAAGTGACAGGCCCACAGAGAGTTATGACTTGACTATACTGCTCAGCTCTACAGGGCATTTGTGAATCCGCTCATGGTTTTTGATTTCCATCAGATGTTGGAGAAGCTGTAAAAGCTCAAAGAGTGAATATTGTACTTGACTTCATTAGGTCGACTCCAAATGAATGCTAATGTTGCTCTGTGTCTGTTGAATGTGTCGATTGTGTAAAAACAGGCAGCTGGTGGCCAAGTTTGCCAACTTTATAAAAGTGATATGTCAAGCATCAAATAATGCAGCTTTGAGTAGTTGTTAAAGAATAGCTCAACGGCAGGTTCAAAGCAGTGTTTTGTTCAAGGACGTTTCACCTCTGACAACACACCCAGCATCACTGCTGGGTGTTGGGTCGAAGTTAACACCTTTCTTTAAAAGAAGAAGAAGAAGAAGAAGAAGTCATTCATTAAGTCAGACGTATTCCTACTTTCTTTCAACATAGTAAGCAGCAAAAAAATGTAAAGCTAAAATGTATCTCATTTCTAACAATGCATTAGAAATGGAAAAGCTGTGACAGTGCAGTATCTCACATGAATGAAATACTTTTCTCCCATCCTTCTCCACAGTGTTTGTTTTGGTCACTTGCCTCGATTTTCTATAAGACAAAGGATGAAGCTCTAACTGGGTCATGAGAAGATACTGATCTTACTTAGAAGACTGCCCTAAGGGAATTTGGTAGCATGCTAGTGATTGTTCCATCAAGTTCTTCTTCAATTGCAAAGTATGTAAAAAGATGTCTTGAGTAGTGTTTGTGCTAGATGTTCAGTAAGCATCACTTACTCAACACGTGGAGGCTGTGGAGGCTGCAGAGGTTGAGGGGTTTGTTGGTTTTGTTGGGTTGGTTGGGGTTGTAGGGTTTGTTGGGGCTGTGGGGGCTGAGGACGCTGTGGTGGTGAAGGCTGGCTAGGTGAGGCCTGGGGTGTTTTTACGGGAGAGGCTCCAACATGTGCGTCACTGGTGTATTGAACAACCGGGCCTTTACTCCTCAACGCCCCTGGGAATTGAAATGGACAGTGAGAAATGAAGTGAAAATGACTGAGTGAGTGTGCTATAACAGAAGGCCTATATTTTCATATTTTCCTCTTTTACAACACCAACACAGTGGTTAAAAAGTGGCTTTTTGACACAGATTAACAGCACAAAAGAACAAATTTCTAAAAGATTATCTAAATTAGGTACAAATATTTATATAATATGTATAATATAATATACATAATTGATTGAAAAATTGCAAGCGTGTGAATATGAGTGTGTGCGTTACCCATGTTAGGTCGTGTCCTCTGCTGGCCAGCAAGCTTCTTCTCCTGGGTGTTGGCGGTGGTCATCTTCAGGTTGAACATTGGCTCCAACCTGGTGGAGCCTCTGTAGATCCACTCACTCCTCTTATCATCCTGATCAACACAAAACCACATAAGAGGTTAACTCTCGGTCAACTGTTGCACTGATAAATTAACTGTTACGCTTCTATTCTTTCTGACATCTGTCTAACAAGGTGACTGGTTTTTTTTCTCAATTTTGTACGCCAACATACCAAAAAGAGGATCTTGACCAAGCTTCCATCCACCTCCTCAACTTTGCTCTTCCACCAGGTTCCCTCCCACTCTGTCTTGATGATCTGCCCAACCTTTAGGAGCACCATAGGCCTGCTGGGATAGGCAGTGATGTACTCCTCGATGAAGTCTCGACACGATGCATCCTCAATGTCCTCCCAGGTACGTTTTACTGTAAAAAACAAGAATAATCTCACTCACTTTTATTAATTTGTCATTTTAACTTGTACCACAACTTGGCTCACAAAAACCTTAACTGCTTTAAAAGGTTCAGTGTCTAAGTTTTAGTGGCATCTAGTGGTGAAGGCATTTGTTGGATTATCATTATCAGAATGTATAAACAACACCATACATCAACGATATCTTTTATCATTTTAATTTCTAAATCCGACAACAAAAAGGCTGTGAAAACTGTCAACATATGGTCCTCCTTTAATATTACTATAATATAGACTACCCCTGGTAAAACTTTTATTATTTGTGTCTTATAAATTTGTATCCTGTTCTGTCTACTTCTTTATGTCCCATGTATACTTTATTCCTCTTCTTGCAATAAAAGATTTAAGGAGGGAAAAAAAAAAACTTCAGATTATTCCGACACCACATGAATGCACCATCAGTCACCAATCACCCCTCCCTTTCCAAGCGCGCAGGAGAAGCTACGGTCGTCAACATGCTCCGTCTTGTGATAAATAATAAGTGTGGTCCTCTGTTTGTCCAAATTTCACTTCTCTTCTTACTTCTAATAAACCAGACAACTACTACTAATTCTTCTCCCTTTTTCATACGTATTCAATGTAGTGATGAAACGCGTTCTGTAGAGCATTTTTTGTCCATTTGGGCTACTGTAGAAACATGGTGGCGCAACATGGTGACTTCCATGTAAGAGGAGCCGCGGTGTATGTAGATAGAAATGGCTCATTCTAAGGTAATAAAAACAGTTTATTATGTAAGGTCTTTATACACAACTGAAAACATAGTTATGTAAATTTTATTGGATTTCTGATCCTCCTAAATATTACACATTGAACCTTTAACAAACTTATTTTACAGCTGCATAACGGGTAGAATTTACCAGAGTTCACAGACTACAAGAAAGAAGGAAGTAAAAAAGAGAAACGGCACTTACATGGTCGGCAAACTGGGTAAAGTTCAGGTAGTGTCACATATGAAGCATAGCCATCATCAAAGAAGATCAAAAACCTGAAACACATAATAAAAAAAATATTAACCAGATTCTGACTTGTCACAGATAAATCAGCATTTGCAGACACTGTATATGTAGTGTCTCTTTTACATCGTTGGTCTTGGTCACAATTCTTCTAACTAAATTTAAGTTACCCAAAATGTTTCTGTTAAAAGAAATTACGATATTTTCTCAATATTTCTTAAATACTGATACTGGCATCAAAAATACAGTATTAGTAAAGCTCTACCATAAGCTATTAAGCACATGCAATCAGCATCCCCACCCTTAATTTCCCCACTTTTTGGCTTTGTTCGCCCACCTCATACGGTTCTTGTTGTTGGGCATCTCTGCTACTATTCCAGCATATAGCCACACCAGGTTGCCATCCTTGTACTTGGCAACTACACGAGCCCCGACATACAGAATCTCCAGGGTGGGGTTATAGTCGAAAGCCACATGATTTCCAGACAGCAGGCTCTTTCCTTTATCAAACTTCACTTTATACTTGAATATTCCGTTTCCTGAATATAGACAGAGGGTGTGCTGCATTAAAGATAGCAGATCAGGAAAATTCAAGAAGAGAATACATACAATGAATACTAATTTATACAGGAAACCTTAAATATTTAATGTTTTACATCATTTTAAAAGTTGAACAGAATGTTCTGGGAACACACCAACAGGACTGATAGCAACGAGGGCGCCTCTGTGCCAGGTCTTGGTGCGTTTCTTTCCCAGAATGCTCATCCCGACTCTGAGCTCATCTTCTTTCACGTTTGGGTTTGGCTGGGTCATGGACTGAGATGGAACCTGGGATATAAACACTGCTGGCACTGAACTCTGAATACCTGGCGGGCAGGAAAGCCACACACACACTCTTAGTATCAAAAATATAAAACATAAAACAGGTATGGGCATTTAACATGTGCACTCACCTGACTGGGATGGAGGCTGTGCTGGAGATCTGAGCAATGGGGCACCTGGCGAAGGCTTGTTGACCATTTGGAACAACTTCTGCACCTGCTGAGAGGTTTTCTGTAAAGCTGCAGATGCCTCTTTTACCTGTCGAAATAAATAAACAGGACATACATCATCATCTGCATACAATGAGCAGTGTTTCTCCTCGCAGATGTTTGCTGTAAAATCCACATCCAATTTTTTTTTACTCAATCTAATTAATCCTGCTTTGTGAGACAGGAGTAGATTTTAGCTTTTGGTAAACTGTCTATGATTAAATCAGACAGGAAGACAGTCCTTTGTCCAGGCCTGTCCCTCCCCTTAATATCTATCATGCTTTTAACACAATTTTGGCAACATTTCAGGAAATGATGAGCGTCAGTGGTCTATTTTGGTATTCCCAGGAAACATAAGGAAATGAGGGTGCATCTTTCAGTTTATTAATTGCTTGTACCACACACTTTTATTAATGCATTGCTCCGTACTTGTACTTTGCACCTCGCTTCATTTAATTTCTTTACTTTATTTAATTGTGTTTTAAAATATAGGTATATTTTTATTGTATATGTACATACAGTATATGTACATACAGTATATGTATACATTTATTTCACTACGTATACTATCTAGTCTAAAACTTAGTCTTACAACTTATTTGTTATTAAGTTACAGATACTGGAAATAACTGACAAAGTTTTAAAGTAGTGTTTTTAGTGAAACTCAACACCAACACGCCGTCAGACCAGCCCATAACAAAACATTTAGCAGTAAAGTGTAAATACAGATCAATGCAATGAAGCTTTTTGTTGCTCTCACCACTGGATCTTTGCCCGGAGTGACAGGCTTCTTTGGAGGAACCACTGAAACATTGTGAAGCGCAGAAGAGAAAGAGATGTTTAATAACCTGATTGTTTTCATGTTGTAGCAGCAACGAATGGTAACTGAAAGTAGCAAGACTTACGACAGCCAACAGCAATGACATCGTCATCGTCGTCATCGTCTATCTCGATGACCTCCGAGGACAACACGCCTCCTCCACCCCCCTCATCCTCAGAGCTGCTCTCGCGGTAAACGAGACCGTTCCTATGGTAAGTTGCCTTCACCAGTTTCTCACACTCCAATATGGACCTGAGGAAGAGCAGAGAGAACAACTGTGAGCCTGTAAGACACAAACAAGTCCTGTGCACCTAAGGATGCACCAGTGGATCGCCGCAAACACTAAGCAGTTTTTGTATTGGCCATGATGCGACAGATCCCATTAAATACAGTTTCTTCATCAATGTATAAAATTTTGTGTTTCCGTCAAAAGATTAAGAGATTTTTTATAAACCAATGAATCTCCCCAGTTGTACTTCATTTATGTCGTACTTATGTGGTATTTTATTAATACTTTGTGCCCCTTTTCTTATTTTACTTTGGTGAACTACTATATGTGCCCAGATTTGTTTTTTTTTACCTGTTCTGCATTGATTTACTGTAATATGTTCAATCTTTTGCATTATGCTGTTTATATATTGAAAATTCAATTCAACAACAGAAGATTTTCTGTGTTTGCACCACATTCATTGGTCACAGGTGGCTGCCCACTCGCATTTTTCTTTTAGAGACATAGTAATCCTTGGCCTTGTGTCATCTTCCACAAAAAAATATTCCAATTAATTTTGCACAATCGAGGTTTACAAATTTTATGTGTGGGCAAAAAAGTCCAGCTGGGGACATTTGTTGCATCTCTCTCCCTTATTTCCTGTCATCCCTCTGCTCGTGTTATCACACTTAAAATCACACTGTGTTTTACAAAATGAAATTTAAACATAATGCACAATGTGATGTCAAACAATTCAATCTATGTTGTTATAAACAGACACAAAAACTATAAGCATGTGTAAAATCAGCAGAGCAACTCTTTGTGTTTGTTAGAAAACCCATATTATCTTATTATGGCGTGCCTGAAACTGACATCCACGATGTTTGGTGGTTAGATAGTTGTTGATCTGTTCCTTCTGCTTCATTGATGCTTCCTGCGACATTTTCCCATTATGCAGTAGCTGATTCAAACAGCTAGCTTTTACACAGTAATCCACAACTTCCTTTGTCATGCAGACATATATCCAAAGTACACTCAGAGTACCATCAAAAACTCTGCGAGTTCTGAGAGTGGTTCTGTTTCTGCTGACTTTATAAATCATGCATGTTTCCAGGTTTATCTTGATCTAAGTCTCCTTTTAGATAAAGCCTCATGCTGCCTCAAATCTTTCAAATGGATAAAGTCACTTGCCAATAAACAATTAACCACATAGTAACCATGCTAGCAACTAATAACACATTTAAAAATAATAAACATCCAGAAGAGATGTATGTTTGTAAATAAAATAATAATAATAATAATAATCAGACCTTTAGAAAAAGATAATGTCTACTTACTGGCTGGCATCGTTGAGAAGCATCTCCGTCTTTGCCTCCTCTTCTTCCTTCTGCTCCACCCATTCCTTGAGCTCTGTCAGCTGAGCCTTTTTCTTCTGCACAATCTCGCTCTTCTCCACAGCCTCTTCGATCCACTTCTTCAACTCATCCAGAGAAATGCCTAGCTCTTCCTCCAGATCGGGGTCCCAGCCGTCCACCTCCATCCTGAGTAGAAGGAACACAACAGGAACAGGACATGTAAACATTATTTTAAATATCTACACATGACTCTTCTGGGTTTCATACATCAATATCGGAACACATCCATACCATGATGATGGTCAGCCTGCTGACAAGGCTGACCTGTTTTTCATTTGCATGTCTGCAAACATCTGTCAGTAATTCCATTTACTCATTTATCCAAAAAAAACATACAATTGCTATACATGTCAGAGGTCACACACCTCTAGAGCAACTAGGTCTTAAGTGTCTTGCTCAATGGATGGTCTCACAGTGGGAATCGAACCCAGGTCTCCCACACCAAAGGCAAGGATCTTATCTATGCGCCATAACCACCCCTCCAAAAATAAACATTACTGAATCCCTAGTCTTGTGTTAACAACAGCGCAGCTAGTGTTAGTGTTGTAGTACTCGAGACCGGTGTTGGTCTGCTTTATTTGTGTCATGGTAAGTACATGGTTGGTGGAGGCTCAGCATCACTACGTTTAAAGCATCAATGCGGACCATCCCTGTAAGATTATCTACTGTGTAGTTGGGCTGCAGTTAAAACACTGTGCATTGGACGAGGAGACACGTGTGTACAATCCACTACTTCCTCTATTTCAGTCTGATTTTTATGTGATGATGTTGCCTTTTGTTTACACAAAGCACACAGAAACGTAGGGGCTGATGGTAACTGCTGTCCCAACCAAATAAACCACTGCAAGAATATGTAAACCTGGTACTGATGTGGCACACATCAAATAATGTAAGTAACATTAAATTTAAATCTTAAAACTGCTGCCAGAGTCTAAACTGGAGAATCGCGAAACGTTAAGGCTGCTAACGTTACTTGTTAGCAAAACAAGGGACCGTTTGAAAGCTAATATCCCATTAAAATACCTCCATAACTTCCCCTTTTTATCTCAGTTGACAGAGTAACTGCTAACGTAACCCACCATAACTTCATTGACACTTAAAAACACATTCCGTTCAAGACGGGGAGCTAAAAGAAAACAAACTGAAAGGTGACACGAGTGAGCGCAAGCTAGCTCGTTAGCCTAGCATTAGCACGGAGAACATCTCATCTGCCGACTGATGCAGGAGTTTGGAAAATAAAAAGCGTTGTGTCCTCTGGAGTTGCTGACACATCAGATGATAACTTCATTTGCAGACAGCACTCAACACTCACCCCTCAGTGCTTTCCATCCCGTCTGCTTGAAAATGTAAGGCTAGCTAGGTAATGCTACTGACTAGCTACAATAAGAAGTGCATGTTTTGCATCCCAGGGTATCCGAAGTGGCCGGTGCTATTTCGCGCTGTTGGGTCATCTCTGTGAAACACAAGTGCCCCGCCCACCCGGCTTACTAAGGTATTTTTAAAACGTGCACCTGAGCTGCATGATGTAGGGAATGAGGCGCTTAAATTTCTCATCATGTCATAATAAATTAACCAACACTTTCATGGTGAAGAAAACTGAAGTAAACCAGAACACTGCCGACACATCAATAACAGAATATTATTATTATTTGTGGTTTAGCACATATTAACTAAATCAGGTTCTACAAAACTGCATCTGAAACTTAATCAAGATTAACTAGCGACATTAATAAACAAATTGCCCCTTTTAAACACAGTTTATATAAATATTCTGATAAATACTTAACTCCAGGAACTTATAAAATGCGTCATTAAACTGTTTCCAGAGATGGATTTAATAATTTGAGAATAAATTAGGTCGATCTTCCACATGCCACTAAAATACCCCAAGTGAGATTAACCAGCAACTATTTGAAGTTAATTATGGAGTTTCTGAATGATACCAAGAGGGATGGTATGGATGGTAAATTTACAATGATTCATTCTTTTATAGGAGCATTAGGTATAATTTCACAGTTTAAAAATGTTAAATGCAGGCTATGAAACCAAACTATAACACTTATGTAAGCAAAAAGAAACACTCAAAGAAAACTCAATATTATTTAAAATATTATAACAGTATTTCAAGTAATTGGATTTAGGCTGACAGATTTTCATGTAAATGCATAAGACCTTGTGAATAGAAAATTCACATATGACTTAAAAACAATGTGTTTCAACGCAGTTCTGACTCTTATTTTGAGTCATGCTGCAACTTCTTATGTTATTCCCGTCCAGGAGTTTTAACTTATTTGTATTCACTTGGAGAACCACTTCCTAAAAGGAGGATTCAGGGCACACAGAAACAATCTCTCCTTGTTTTTTTCTTGACTCTTCTTATTCTGCTACTGATGAATTACCAACACATGCTTTATTTCATTTGTTCAATAACAAAGCAAATTGCATGAAAGTTTGTGGAAAAGCTTCAAAACATTCTGTCACAGAATTTAGGGAAAAGGGCAGAACATGTGTTTTGGATCATTGTTCCACCATTGAGAACTCTGAAACATCTGTGCTGCATTAGCGTAGAAGGGAGAGCATATTCTAAGCCAATACTTTATATTAAATTTTACTGTATAAATACTACTTTATTCTGGTTTTCAATAGCTGACTGTTTTAATATATGGACCCGCAGGCCTTTATATTTATCACACCAGAAAGGTCTACCTGGATGGAAACATTTGTTTGATTTAAAAAATCATGAACATATTACACGTCATAGTACAATGCCAATGCCCAAATTGCCAAGCTCAAATGTCCTTTCTGATGCTAAAGGAATGCTGATGTTTGACCACTTTGCATTGTGGGATATAAATGAAAAACTAACCATCTAAATCATGCCTAGATTATACGGCACACATGTAAACATCATTTGTGTCACATGCCATCTCTTTGAGGACTCTTCCAACTGTGTCTAATCATATTTTTAAACATGCATACCTTCTATTATTTATAGGCATAGACAACATACATATACTCTGATTGTAAGTCGTTGGATGCTGCAGGTAGATAGCTTTTGTTGTTTTATATAGTTAGAAACTTGTTTTAAACACTCACACGCAACTCAACCAGACGGACTCAGTCATACGAGAGAAGCCTCAGAATAATCTTCTGGCTACTCATTTTTGTTATCCCGTTTGAAGAGTTTAAACAAGTGGCATCGCTCCTTTTGTAGAAAAAAATGCCTCTACTGTGTAATGTGTAGGTCTGTCATTCTTCTGATTGCTCCTCCTGGTATATACTGACAGAGATTGAGCTGTAAGGGTCTAGCACCATCTGAGCACAGCGGACTATGGTCACCAACAGGAAGAAGCAGAGCAGGAAGAAGAAGAAGAGGGCAAAACCGAGGTCGACATCCACATCAAACCTGGCCACGGGGAGGTTTGGAGTGTCCATGTTGACCAAAAAAAAAAAAAAAAAAAAAATAGGTCTGTATTTCTCATTGGTTTACTTTCCCCCGATAGTTGACACCATGAAAGTAGCTCCACAAATGCTTGAATTACTCCAAAATCCAGTTTATCTTCCTCTGAATGGGCTCAATGCTCAAACAATCCACCGTGCAGCAGTGCTACTCTTCTTCTGTTTTGTCTGAACTCAATCCATTCCTCTGTCTTAGTTTCTTTTCTTCTCTCAACATTGACACCTACTGTCCTCCTACCAAAGATAAGATGGACACACAGAGCCCCATTTGGCACCTGTGTCCACTATGAATAGTTAATAAGGAGTTTGGTAACAATCAGGCCGTTTCTGAGATTAGAACACCCAGGCATCTCTCATGGTCTCTTCAGAAAGGAAGACCTTTACAGGAGAGGACACCTTTACAGGAGTCGCTGGAGATCCTGGTCAGCACAAGGTATGGACACATGACAACACGGCTGAAAAATGTGGCCGCACGAAAGTTTATAAAGCAAATATAGTGTGCAGATTAAGATGCTCAGTCAACCCCTGCAAGCATGCACAAGATTTCGGTTATTTTATGGTGTAAAAGTGGCAAAAAAATATATGGTATAGAATGGTCAAGATGCAGAACAGGAAGAAGAAAAGGTTGAGGAAGAGAAAGAGGATATGATGCCGTAGTGGCAATCCACTTAAGAGCGGTTGGAAACTGATACTGACCAAAAAAATGCAGATTGCTTGTACTCCGATGCCACAACAGAGATGCACACAAGTGCAGAGTAAAGTGACTCTATGCAAATAACAAGTGGATCTGAGTAAAATGCTCAAAGAAGATGCTGCAAAACAAGATTGACAACATAACCGGTCACTGTAAGTGCAACTCAAGCAGGGCATAAGTTGACACAGTAAACCTTTTTTTGACCAGGACTAACATTGGTTTTCATCCATTTCACCCCAGGCTGAGAAAGAGGGGAGGGACGGACAAAGGCGTAAACTGATCCCACGACATACCCGCAGACCTCTGCAGATACACAGAACGGTGAAGTAAAATAGATACAGGCCAATCAAAGTTAAGCTGGCTTTTGTTTCTTCACCAGTTAATAACATTTAACTGTTTCAAGGAAGTGAATACATGCATGGATGTAAGTAAAGACAGCCATGACTCTTGCATGAGTGTGATCAGTTGAGCGTGCTGCTGCAGTAAAACTAGCCATCATGAACAAGACTGGAAATACATATGACTGTAATTAAGGATAAAATGAAAATGTGTGGGGACTAATTCTGCTATGATAGTACTATACCTGAAATGATGTGTGTGCAGTTCAAAACAACCTCCAAGTTTTTCATTTTCAACAATATAACAATTTAATACAAAAGACAAACATTTCATTTCTCTCTCATTTCTTAAACATATACAGTATATTTATATATTTGTGTTTTTATGAGTGATAAAAGTTCACATCATTGGAAAAAAAAAAAAAACCTGGTTGCAGAGCAACCAAAAATGTTTTGACAATAAAAAGACAACACAGTCACCAACATGATACCACCCTCTTGAAAATGAAAACTGGACAATCACCAGCATGGGTTTACATACAATTAGTCACCATGAGTGTGTGAGTGTTACACACAGACAATGAAAACTGTAATAAAAAGGGTCAAATTTAAACTTATTCCACATATTAAAAATTAAAATATTTTAGAAGCATTATGTTTTATCCCACAACATTCTTCTACAGTACAAACTTACAACAAAAAAATGATTGGTGATTGGATCTTGGCAAGGATTCAGTCCAAATCAAAATGTTTTTTACATAAACAAGAAGACAAAACCCACACAAAAAAACTTTTGGGGAATCTCATTGGAGCATTCTAGGTTTTCTCACCTGTAGATCATATTGTTTTTAGTTCTCATTATTCCACTTAAATCCTGAATACCAATCAGGAAAGAGCAATGGAGAGGCCAAGAGATCATCAAAAGTTTCATAATAATAAAATACTGGAAACATTTCAATTAAATCAAACATCACTACCACGTCTCTCCATTTAAAAACATCAATTAAGGACAACATTTATGACAACAATAAAGAATGGCTTTAAAAGTACACAATTCCTGCTTGTTAATTATTGCTGTGTTATTTCTTTTTTTGTATTTCTTTTACAAAAAGCATTACAAAAAGCCCATACTTGGTACAGGGTAAAGCAGGGCGACAGAAAGAAGAATATCAAGTCAGAACCCCTTCCACTGTGTTAATGTTCACAATGATACTGTACACATCCATTTACATACATACACACGTGTACTGTAAATATGTATGGCAAAGAAAAATAAATGGTATACATTTCCACCGGGCACCTAGACAAACAGTATGTAGCCACTGTGACACTGCGTGTCTGTTATAATCATTCAATGAAGGAAAAAACCTTTCATGTTCCTCAAGAGAAAAATGAAATAATTAGATTTATAGGTGAAACCACCAATGTACATAGAAAACTGCACTTAGTATAAATCTACACATTGTAGAAGCGCCCCATGAAAGCAGTACTGACATGCAGAAACATGCTGTGGGTTTAAAACTGTGAGCACAGACAGTGGTAGTTTGCGTGCAACAGCTGAGAATATATATATATTTTTAATCATCAAAGCTGTATATCCCTGCAATTTCCTGAGAGTTTGAATAAACGATTGAAGTTATTAGTCTACATGCAAAAGAGTGACACAGAAAAAAAAAAATCCTCATCAACGCCTGAGTAAAACTAGGAACATATTAATAAAAGGCCTTTATGTGTGATTTTACTTCCTGTGATGGTTACCAGAGCGTAACAGTGTTTTTGTGCAGTCTATTCAAGTGTGGATGTGTGACTGTGCGCGCATATTTTATTTTATTTTATTTATTTATTTATTTATTTATTTATATATATATATATATATATATATATATATATTATTTATATATATATATATATTTATATATATATATATATATATATATATATATATATATATATATATATATATATATATATATATATATATATATATATATATATATAGAGTTGAGCTTTGGGCAGTGCTAGCTAGAGAATTCTCTTACAATGGCTGAAATAGTCAAAATACTCATCTTTTAGTCAGTAGAAAATCCTTGATTTTCCTTCTCTATATATCTGCAGTCAGATATATCCCTCCATCTTTAACTGGCGTGTGGCAGTGCAATTTAAGTCATGCAAAGCAAGAGAAAAGAGCTACTCTCAGGAGCGGGAAGAGGAGCAGAAAAGCTAAATATAAGAAAGGTTGAGGGCAAAAACTGTCAAGACAAAAGGGTAGACCAGTGGAGAAGTATTGACCAGGTCACTCGTTAAATGGAGGGAAGATGGAAATCTCATAGCTCTCATCACTGTTGAAGTTGGCAGGCTGGTCCAGCATAGATAACACATCCTGAATCAGATTAAAGAGACAATGAGATTTATTTTAAGTGGCAGCTGGAGGCAGAAGAAACTGCTTGAGAGACGGCGAGATATTAGTAATTGTATCACTCACAGGAAACATGTCTTGCTGGTTGCCCTGAGCATGAGGATGCTGCTCGGCATTACTCTGTGAGTGCTGCTGGCCTTGCCATTGGGGCCACACTGCCTCCGTCGCTCGAGAGGGGAACTGTGCCCCAGACTGAGAGGCATCTGGAACAAAGGACAGAGAGGTGAGTGAGAGGATACACCAGAATAACACTGAGACACAGATTCACACATACATTCACTAAACCTACCATAACCATTGGTGTTGAGGGTGGCACGTGCATTAATGGGCGGATAGTTGGCACCACTGCTTGGAGTGGGAGCAGCACCTGTAGGCATCTGGCCAAAAGAGTTTGAAGAGCCACCTCCAAATCCTCCCATGGGAGCAAACGGTGGAGACATGGTCTTTGCCGCCTGGGGAGCCACCTGCTGGTTAGAGTGTAACTAGAAAGAGTAACTCCATTTACTGACTAGTATACAGATGGGGTTGAGTTTAAATAAGTGATAAGAAGCATATACAAGTTTCTAGTTTGTTTCATTTGTGAATGAAGATTGAATAAAAATATACAACCAAAGGCAAAACAAAACAGACGTTCAATCTTGTTGTACCGGCTTACCTGGTTATTAAACTGTGGTCTAGCTCCAGCTCCAGGCCATCCTCCTCTTGCTGGTCCTCCATGGAGGGGGCTGGCAGTGCTGGAGGGGGCAACTGAGTGCGGCGCTCCATTCTGACGAGACATCTGAGCCAGCATCTGCCCTGCTGAATGGGCTGGCTGTGCCACCTGTGGAGTTATCTGTGGAGTCATATTGCCTGGCCTGTGAACAAAAGTGAAGGGAGTGAGAGCTCTGTTATGTACTGAGAGAAAATAACTTTAATAAATCTCATCAGATGTTAAAAACTTTGTTGAAATAAACATGGAAGCCACTTCGTTTCACGTTCACAGCAAATGAAGAAATTGTTTTTAAAGTCAGTGTAACAGTGAGTATAACTTCTTTAAACATACAGTTCCTGCTTTCAGGAATCCATTCTAAACAGATCATAATCTTTGTCATCCAGCATCTACACCCACTTGGGGTACACGTGGGAAGCCCGTGTTCTCATATACCATTTATGTTGACTATAGTATATTGCAGATTTACAACTGAGAGAACTGGAAGTTTTCCCATGGGCTGTTGTTGCACGTAAGCCACTATCACACAAAAAAGTCCCCTGTTAGCTCTGCTTTGGTTGGCAAAACCTCCAGACATGCAAACCAGTTGGTAGGTTACATAAATGGGGTCAGTTTATTCATTCTCACTACAGTGAGTAACTGCTGAGGTTTAGGGTTAGGCAATATGACAGTATATACCGTGTGACAGCAGAAATGTGTCCACCAGTAGAGATTTGGAAATACTGTTTTCACTTCGGGAGCTATGGACTGCTTGTCACATTCTCATGCGCTGTGAGTGTGACAGTTGAGTGTGTTAAGAAACATTGTTTCTGTGCTATGCCATGTTGTTTGTACATAATATGTCAACAGAGATACTGTCTCTAGTAACTGTCTGTGACAGAGCTCCAGTTGATTAGACTCATTATTGGCACCAGGTTTAACATCTGGGTTACATGTATACACACAGAAGACTTCCTACCTGTATGCATCATTGGAATGACCAGCAGTGAAGTTGTTGGCTGGAGGGTAGATCTGTGTGGAGGGAGTCGGGGTGGAGGGCAGACCCTTGGTCTGATCTGGGCCTTGAAAAAGGGAGGGGTAGAGCTCTGGTTTCTCAAGGCTCTTGCTGTGGTCCGGCCCTGCCGCAGTCACTGGCTGCACCGGCATCTGAGGAAGTATTAGTCAAGGATCACACTTCAAATCTTATCAAGTGTAAAGTGGTGAAACATTAACCTCCAAAATCCAATTGTGACCATTCATCATCTCACTCTAAAAGTTAATTGCTTGAAATGAACAATTCCCTAACGCACCAGAACACTTGAATGTGGTGTTCATAGAGGTTCTGTCTAATACGGCACTGCAATCTGTATAGTTTCTGCAATTTTATGGCTTTTGCAACAGATGGAGGAGCTGCAATCAATGTAGGAGGAGACATAACTTAAAAGCTCAACAAATGAGTAAACTGGATATGTGCAGACCAAATCATGAAAAACACAACCAATCACATGACAATATTGACATAATAGTAACGGTGTATTGAGGGGGATGTAATACTGAGACTGTTCAGTTGACCCCTAACACACACTACAGTTAAGTCAAGTCTAGACTTAAACAATTAGTTTATTAATCGATGGTCAGAAAATGAATCGGCAACTATTAACAAATTAACACATCAAATTCACTGCTTTAAGCCTTGCAAATATGAATATTCTATGGTTTTCTTCTTTCTATAATAGTAAATCATTTATATTTGGGTTTTACACTGTGGAACCAACAAAATTTAGGAAATCGCTTCTTCACCATTTTGACAATTTATAAACAAAATTATTAAGTGAGAATATGATTGGCAGATTAACTGATAATGAAATTGGTAATCATTACTTAATAATAATTATATTACATTAATAATAATAAATAATAATAATGTAAGATGGAGCAAGTTCATTTTCATATAGCCTAAAAGCACAGTTGTGTAATACCGTGGATCTCTTTCAATAAAGTAAAATTTCCAGGTGAAGCAAGCATTTAAACAAAGTCCACACAAAAGTTTCCACATAATCAACATTTTGCTGGTTCTTTCCAAAACTATTATTACTATTAACAACAATAATACTTATAACATACTGTCCAACTGTGGCCTGCGACCTAGAATGGACGTCACTAGGACTTTCGAGGTGAAGGAATTTCCCCTGCAGTGATTTAGCTTTATTGTTAGGCTATAACCAACTGTATCACTTCTGTTTGGATAGGAAAACAGACAGACCGATACAGAGGTCAGTGAAGTAACTTTGAACTTCAGCTTGATGAAGTAAATAATCTAAGAGCTCCTTGGTATCTGATCTGTAGTTTGGCTGAGTAAAACAGGGCAAAGTCAACATTTTTATCCCACAGGATCTTTTTCACGCCGCTGAATTAGGCTTTTTAGCACTGCAGCTTGTCGCTGTAATACCAGTAGAAAGAAACGGTCTTGTTGTCCAGATAAAAGTCGCCTTTCTCTGGTGCTACCCGGAGGACCTTTTCCTTGTGGGTGAAGTTAAGGAATTTTGCTGTCTGGAACTTTCCTGAACCGGTAAGCCCTTTCCACCACGATAAGGGATAGAAAGTTGTCAGAACCCCAGAGCTTCGGTATGAGCAGCACCAGTGTCCCGTCTCTCTGTCTTCTATGTCTTATACACTGCTCAAAAAAATAAAGGGAACACTAAAATAACATCCTACTGAATGAATGAAATAATCTCATAAATGCTCCTTTCTTTACATAGTTGAATGTGCTGACAACAAAATCACACAAAAATAATCAATGGAAATCTAATTTATCAACCCATGGAGGTCTGGATTTGGAGTCGCACTCAAAATCAAAGTGGAAAACCACACTACAGGCCGATCCAACTTTGATGTAATGTCCTTAAAACAAGTCAAAATGAGGCTCAGTAGTGTGTGTGGCCTCCACTGCCTGTATGACCTCCCTAAAACGCCTGGGCATGCTCCTGATGAGGTGGCGGATGGTCTCCTGAGGGATCTCCTCCCAGACCTGGACTAAAGCATCCTGGATGGAGCGAGACATGATGTCCCAGATGTGCTCAGTTGGAATCAGGTCTTGGGAATGGTTCTTGCAGTGCTCCTCCTTCTCCTCCTTGCACAAAGGCGGAGGTAGCGGTCCTGCTGCTGGGTTGTTGCCCTCCTACGGCCTCCTCCACGTCTCCTGATGTACTGGCCTGTCTCCTGGTAGCGCCTCCATGCTCTGGACACTACACTGACAGACACAGCAAACCTTCTTGCCACAGCTCGCATTGATGTGCCATCCTGGATGAGCTGCACTACCTGAGCAACTTGTGTGGGTTGTAGACTCCGTCTCATGCTACCACTAGAGTGAAAGCACCGCCAGCATTCAAAAGTGACCAAAACATCAGCCAGGAAGCATAGGAACTGAGAAGTGGTCTGTGGTCACCACCTGCACTCCTTTATTGTGGGTGTCTTGCTAATTGCCAATAATTTCCACCTGTTGTCTATTCCATTTGCACAACAGCATGTGAAACTGACTGTCAATCAGAGTTGCTTCATAAGTGGACAGTTTGATTTCACAGGAGTGTGACTGAAGTGTTCCCTTTATTTTTTTGAGCAGTGTATATATTTCAATCAAACTAGACATTCATGTATTCCCACATGTGCATGGCCTAACCTGTGAGAGGGTGATTGGTCCTGCCTCATACAGGCCGTCTCTGGTTCCACCTCCCTCTAGATCGTTCTGCTGCTGCTGCTGTAACTGCCTGTCAAAGGAAACAGAGAGAGAGTTAGTCTAAAATAGCCTCATTTCCATTCCCTCCGCTGTTGAGTGAGAAATCCCAAACACCAGCTCACAAAATGGCACTCACCCCGCCACCGGTTAACAAGGCAACATAAAACAGAAACGAGGACAGAAGAAGAAGAAAGTAGCATCCTTTGGCAGAGAAAGGTCAGTGGAATAAATACATACTGCTAACATGCTACACCACCTGTGTTGAAAAGGTTGATCTCTCTAAAAAAAATTCACTACCAACTGTAAGAACACAGCTATCAGACATACTTCTTTTTAAACACCAATACAGAGACAAATACAGTGGAGAGAAGAATCACCCAGAGTGGGGAAATGAAAACAAACACAGAAGGACTAAAGTTTGCTAGAAACAGCTGTAGTCTCCCATGAAGAAGCAGCCCTTGTTCTCCCATGCAGGGGGAGGAATCTCAGGCCAGGCCTGGTCTGGTCTCACCTGGTGGCCACCTGCCCAGGGCTGAGCACTACAGGAGTGCAGTTTGGGCTGCTCTGACCCAGGGAGGGGGGCAGGGAACCCCCTGGGGAGGAGATGGGAGTGAGGGGGTCCTGAGTCGAGTTTCTACTGCCCCACAATCAGAGGCGTGTGTAGAGGAGAGGTGGGAGGTAGGGAGAGAGTAATCAGTGTATGATTTATTAAAAGGGGGTGTGGTAATGGTGTAAGATTAATTGGGGAATGAGGTTGATAGGTAAGCATTCAGACAGAGGGATATTTCACAACAGTCACATTTCAAGACGCAATAGTTTCATTATGTGCTGGATTTGATTGTATAATCATGTTGCGTAATCACCGGTATTGGGAAAAATCAGTGTGTGACTCACTTGACATTGACGTTGGTACAAATGATATACTCAATCTCCTCTGAAAATGGGTTCTGGAAGGTGAAGGAGCTGGTTCTCATCCATATCCATTCTCTTGATTTAGTGCGAAACCGAAACATCACTGACAGGACCTGGCCCTTTAGCTTCACCACCTGTGGACACAAGTCAAGCATGCCAAACAGTCATTATCTGGTGTTTTTAATAATCGATGAGCAGTAGGTGAACAGGCACACAAGAAACAACAAAGCTTACAAAAGCTTGAAAGGACGCACGTGTGTGTAAGAGGCCTTGAGCCCTGCCTTCAGTCAAACCTGTACTTTACACCAAACATAGCACAGTTCTCTGTTCATTCGGCTTATACGCTGTGAAAATAAAGCTTATAATGCTAGGGAAAACCAGCTTTTTATAAACTGCATTCACATTTTGGTGGATTAGACAATATTCCGCATTTTACAATTGATTCCATTTTTATTATCAAATTCTGTGATTCTGTCTGTTTTCCGCATTGCTGAAATCATAGGGCCCTAGTAATCTTTTCTTTAGTTCTGCCACACTGCTGTCACAGCAATAGTTTACCCACATCAAGTCTTTGTCATGCATGTGAGAAAGCATATGCAAATTAGATCCATTAAATCTACATTACCCTACATACCTGAAGATAACTTGGTTTCTGATTAGGGGAGGGAAAAAAAGCGATTCTTAGACGCATGTGGACGTGGAAGATTCTGATTCGATTGACAAATGTCAAAAAATCGATTATTTAAACATTAATTGATAACGAAATGTTGACGGAACGCAAAAGGCAGAACTCGCGGAAGTGCAGCACCCGGACAGTCTATGGCATGCACACAACAGAGAGACCAGTGTTCCCCCTGTATTCAGTACACCACCGCTGTGGAATGAATAACCAACCTACTAAAATGTCACAATCATTAATATCAATGCGCAAGTAATGATGAGTAAACGTGCAGTGTAGGTCACAGTGTGTCCGTTAATAAGATTAAGATGCATCGATAATGATTATATAATCGAATTGCAGCCTTATTTCTGATATATACCACATTTAAGAAATTAGGTCACTGCAGAAAACCAACAGGAAACTAGTTACTTAAAGGGGAAGGCCAGTTTTACACATCAAAGATCGTTTACAAAAGTTCTATAAAGTTAGCCTTTTGTGTCTGCAGAGGGAGCTGCTCTGCGCCAATGTTATAAGAGTGTAATGCTATGTCATACTCTTTTAGATGTACGTAACCACAATGATGTGGTAGTACAGTCAAAAATCAGCACATGCTCATACTTACCTGTTGGAAGCTGTCTCTCAGTAAGCCCTGGTCTTCAGGGTGGGCAAACTCGAGAATATTCTTTCCCAGTAAATCCTGCAAACACACAGCAGATAACAGAACCACCATTAGCCCACAGGACATTAAGGCAAACTTCTGGCGCAAAGGCTGTTGGAAAACAGTCCCTGTCCCAGTCTTACGTGGGGCTGGTAGCCGACAGCAGCCATGCAGCGGTGGTCTACGAAGGTGAACATGCCCTGGCAATTATGCCGTGAGATGAACTCCACTGGAACACTGATACTGTTGATGTCTGTGTCACCTGGGCAACAAGTCACCTGGGGTGGGGGGGACAAAACCCGATTTTTAATACAAGCATAGTACCGCAAAGAATGTAAGCTAACACCATGTTAAATGGGTCAAAACAAGTTAGATACATTAAAAGCCACACTGTAGATTGTGACCATAAAATTCTGCCTTGTGGCTGAATTTTCAAGAGAATACACGTCTCTTCTACCACCAATAAAGGCAATTTCTTTTTTTAAAAAGATCCACACTGAAGATCACATTTTCACCATTACACAACTTATTTCCTACTCCATCCATCCACTGCTCAATACATGATTAGTTAAAAATAATTTTGGCATTCTAACGTGATCCAGAGCAAAAGACATATGTATCTCTACACACAAGGCATCCATCATACCTGTAATCTACCGATGGCAACTAGACAGTAGCGACTCCCCTGAGTGTTGTCTGCTTCATCGTCTGTTAATGATACTCCTAAAACACAAACGTGCAAAAACTGTGTTAACATGGGCCACATATGATATCTCATAAATACAATTGATATAATAATAAATTTAGCATCATTTACAGGCCCTAGCCATATTACAAAGTAAATGTAACAAATGGCTGTATTTGCACACAGCTTGAAAAAGAAAGTACTAGTTTCACCTGCAGGGGGCCAGGACTTGACATATCCTGTACAGTGGACCACTACATACTGGGGCTCCCCTTCCTTGGCTACACCCAAACCATTCCTGGGGTGAAGGAAGATAGTGTTAAAAATACTGCAAAATCAGTCCCATTACTATGCCAGTAAAAGAATTGTGCTCACATTACTCTTATTGCTACAATGCTTCTCCCGGTATGTTTATCCTTTGCACAGTAATCTCAAATGTAAAACCCAAAGAAATGTAAAAGAAAAACATTTGGGTTTTTGGTCACCTGTTCCTAATCCTAAGGAAGTTTAGTCTGTTCATGGAAATTGGTTCCACTGGACAAGAGCCACACCTGCAAATACACACAGGGCACCAAATCGTCCATTTATGCATCTAGGTACACATGAGTGTAAATAATGATCTGGATAATTAATTATAGTATGAGTTCCACCTCATTCTGCAGATGAATGATCTACGGGCTCCCATACTCATTCTGGCTGATGACTGCTGGCCTTCCTTCTTCACTGTTCCCGTCTTTAAGTCTAACATCCTCCCTTTAAAAGGCAAACAAGAAACCAAATCGACTCAGTCACGGGTGTAATGAGGTGATCGTGTGCCAAGATTAATAGTGATATGAACTCTACTACTGTATGCATATCTAGTGTCTATGTTTGGCATTGTACCTGTGTTGCTATTCTCGGCAGTAGAGAGCTGCTCCCTGAGCTTTTCTGTGTCATCTGGGTGGAGCTGGTCATAAAGAGAGGAGCCGAGCCATTCAGACTGCGACTGGTTGAGGACGGGTGTCAGGGAGTCAGAGACGTAAACAATGCGACCAGTCTCACATGACACCACGAACAGGAAGCCGTCAGCCGCCTCCAGTATGAGGTGCTTGAGTTCCTATAGACAGACATCAAAGGCAGGCTAAGCAGTGAGGATGAGATCTAACATAAAGCATTAGGGATGCACAGAAATTAAAATTCTTGGCCGAAGCCAAATATAATGGAAAGAATTGCAGAATACCGAACAAGTACATTCAGATTTATTCCATTTATTTTGCCTTTTTTTTTTTTAACATCGCAAAAATAAAATGGTCAAAATGTGCTTTTTACTCAGTGTTTCCCACAGGATTTGGACTATGCTGGGTGGGTCCGAGGCCCGAGAAGGTCTGGTAAAGTAAATTACATGTGTCCATTGACTTTTAATGGACACATGTTAATGTTTTATAGTTTCTGTGAATATAATCCAATTAATCTTATTTCCATCCTGTATAGACACCTTATTTTGAAAACCGGACATTGTCACATGTCTATCCTCGTGCTAAATTTATCAAGTCAGACCCAATTTGATAAATAATGTTGTATGTGGTTTCCTATTGTGTAACATGAAGACTTCACAGCCTCTCTTCAGGTAGGACTCTCATACTGCAACACTTGTCTTTGTAAAGAGAGAAAATGAGAGGATAAAGTCGCTAACCTGCCTGTCAGCTCGCACTGGTCCGTTTCAATGGATTTACCATAAAGGCTTGAATACGTGTGTACTCCAAATTTATGTGCGGCTAGCTTAATCGCCTCAAAGCGGGTCAGACCGTTTGTTGCCTTTTCTAAGAAGTCAGTCACAGATGGAGTGGATGTGCTAGGAGACAGCAGAAAAGTGTCTGCAAAAGGCAACTTTTGCATCTTTCTCAGAAACTTTAAAATGCTTCCACACTACCGACATGTCAACCTAATTGTTCGGCAAAATGTCTTTAGTCTTTTGATTAGGCCGAACAACGAAAGTGCTTTTTTTTTTTGCTATTTTCGGCCGATTCATTTTGGTGGTCGAACATTCGGTGCATCCCTATAAAAAGCATGAATCTAAAGTCTTTGCATTTTACTTTTTTGTGATTAATCCCCCTTTTCTCCAAATTCAGAATACCCAAATCCCTATGCACATTGGTCCTTATCATTGCTGTTTACACTTTTGCCTTGGGTAGAGTGTATACAGATATGAGCTTCCTCAGTGACTGCGACACCAGTTGCTTCTTTTCACCTTTCAGCAAGGAGCTTCACCAGGATGGTGTAAGCCACCAGCGACTTACTTACAGTCATTGCATTTTCACAAAGTTTGTTTCTGAACAATTTACAAGTTGTTCAAGGGCTGGGAGAAAATGCTGGTGAAGTATGAAGAAAAAGAAGGATGCCTGTTTTGACATTGACAAATTTAGATTACACCAGCAATGTCAAAGACAGTGAAAATAGTAACTATACTTAAAACTACACCTTGTGAGGAAACTAACTTGCATGCTTAAAAAAGATTTCCACTGACCTCAGAGAGGTTTTGTATGAGCTACATGGTGACTATGAGACCTGTATATTAAATTACTTGGTTGAAGTCTACAGAAGTAGTACTGACTTCCAAAATTGTTGCCTACGCTGAACATGCACTTCCTGTGCTCTTCTTCTTCTTCCCCCTTACAATGCTCTTGTATTGATTACACTCTTTCCTTAACTCTTATTTCTTTCCCTAGGTATTACACCATTGATGCCATACGTGCTATTGGATCTTACTCGTATGCACTTGTCACCTGTAGATCTCTTGTTGTCTTGATTCTTTTGGTGCTTGTATGCTGTATGTTTCTCAAATGTAAGCGGCTTTGGATAAAGGCGTCTGCCAAATGAGTAAATGTCAAATGCTTTCAAGGAAAGTTCTTAGATTTAGATTTCTCCAATGTGAATGCAGTCTATGTCAAAAGGAAATTGACTATATTTCCCATATGAATAATTTCTACATCTCATTTCCTCATACCTGGTCAGTGAGAAAGGAAGGTTTGTATGACCCATCTGCATTGGTATTGCCACTTCCTCTCAGAGACTTCATATGGGACACAGCCATTCGTAGGATGGTTAGTTTGTCTGGTTTCCGTGCTAGTGCACTGCAGGTAGGCACCATGTCTGACAATTCGGTAATGTAGGCAGTCATCTTGTTCCGCCTCCGCCTTTCAATCTCACTGTGGTTCTCCCTGGAGTGAGGAAATGAGGAAGGGAGGCAGAGGTGGAGAGGATAGGAGGGATTGAGATGGGGAAAACAAACGGGCAGGTGGACAACGTGGAGTAGAGTTTAGAGTTAATGCTGCAATGCAAGTATGTCAATCAGGAAGAAGAGGTGGGAATGAGAAAAGGTGAGAAACATAATGGACGCACAAATAATATTGTGTAGTCAATGATCTGTAAAAATGATAGTGAGAAAGCGAGACAGACTGGTCTTTCAAGGCAGTCTGTGTGACAAAAGAGAGCAAATGCTGAAAGAGAAAGACCCTTCAGATATCCTGAGAGTGGGGACACAAAACAGAGAGAACAGTTGCTCAAGAGGAAGGGATTACCAAAGTGAAATAAGTCCCTGAGTGCACACAGCATTGCAGTTAGTGACACATAACACAGCTGTGGGTTGATAGAGACAACCAGCTGCATCGGTAAAAAAGCAAAACATTCTGACAAGCACCAAAACAGATTCATAGAGCTCCAAAATATACCGGTAATTTGGAGCTTTCAAAATGACAATGTGCTGGGGTCCCAGCAGGAGAGAATAGTATCGGATCAGTACATTCAATATTGATGTGGATACAAGCAGGAGAGGAAGCCTTCCACAGTGGTACAGGCCATACCTGGCTTGTTTTTCCTTATCTGCAAAACTCTGATCTTCTTCCAAAAACCTGGAAATGAAACCAACCCGCTAAAACATAAGCCCAAAAATTAAGTGTAAGTGCAAAAAAAAAAAAAATTATATAACAAAAAAAAAATACTCCGAAAGGAGAGGGAGAGCACCATGGGGTAACAGCTGCATAAATAGTATTGCTCCACTACACCCCATCGATTTCTCCCAAATCATCCTCCTACCTGGCAAAGCGTTCTTTGTCATTGCTGGAACCTCCTTCATCGTCACACCTGAAGAAAAACAGAGAAAACACTGAAGCAGCCCAGACAATCTAAACACTTGATATACCACCTCATCTTGGTTTAGGACAGAACAAACTGAGACAAATTAGGGAAGCATCCGATTTAATATCTGCAGATATTGGGCATATTTTCATTATCGGAATCCTATCAGAAAATGAAATTTTGGCCAATGAGAATCAAACATGCGTCGCTGCTGTTGTCGAGCTCTGGGCATCATGTTGCCGCTCCTGGATAGAGCCACGCAGACGCGGGTGAAGGCAGCTAAAGCCAAACAAACATACCATCGGTGGTTAGGATGTTTTTCACTGATTAAGAAGACGACAGCTCCTTCGCAATATGGCATCAGTCCGTCCTCCTCCCCGTCTCTCTGCTGTCATTCACTGCCAAGTTTTAAGCTACATGGCAAACTAAGATGAACAGCTAGACTACAGACAGCTTTCAATTTAGCTGGTTTGTAAATCTGGCTAATTGCCAAGCTAACGTTAGCTGTGCTTATATAAAACAGGATGAGAGATTGTGGACAGAGCAGATTAAAATGACGCTTTCTACAGGTTTATGCTCGTTTAACAGATGTACTGATAAAGTATCATCTTTTTACTCATGGTGGTTTTATTGCATGTACTTACAGTAATGATCGCTGCTGTCTTGAACTTGAGTAGTTTGGAGTCAGCGTTACCTTCATTTCTCTGTCTCCACCCCAGCCATGATCTCTGCTGGCCATGGTGTGTGTGTGTGTGCGCGCCTGCATGTCTGTGTGTGTAGAAGCCGACACACAGACAGCAGGCAGAGACTGCAGCCTGGTAATAAACAGTTCATCCCCAGGCCCATCTAATACTGCCTTTCGGTGCCCATCACTAAATAACAATAGTTTTTTTTTTATTCATCGCGTTTGGATCAGGAGGAAGACTGTAGGACATTTTAAGCACTCCCAACATGCCTCTCTAAAAAAATCTGCTGAGGAGTTTGCTGGAACAGTGTAAACAGCTGACAATAGATATTAGCTCAGCTACAGACGTGATCAGCTCAAGTTTTTTTCCGTGTTGTTTGTTATGCTTTAAAGCACATCCTCAGTACTGAGACTTCAAGATACACCCGCTTTTATTTTGTGTAATAGACAGCTCACTGTAATAGTGCTGTTTACAGCTCAGAATATATAATGAGCTTGGTTGTTATGGTTTTACATAAAAATAAAATGTGGCACTTGCATATAATCCTCTCCTAAGTGAAATAATTGATATTTTTCAGGGGTGAATGTCTGTCTATCTCCATTTGTAAAATGGTAATTTTTTTGTGGAATGAAATGTTATTTGTCTTGTTTAATGTATGTTTCTACAACAAATGAGTATTAGGGTTAAAGTAGTACAGGAGAGACTTGGTGTTCTCTTCAGTGGAATAAAAAAATAAATAAATAAAAAAAATAAAAAAAGGACGTGTAAATATCGGTATCGGCCAAAATGACCTTTAACATATCGGCATATTGATTATCGGCCAAAACCCAATATCGTGCATCCTCAAAACAAATGTAAAGTACCTGAACAACTTGTTGCCTTCATCATCTTCATCGTCAAAGTCTGGCCTGGAAAAAGGAGAAGTGAGCCACATGGGTAGCTTAACACCAATATTCTTACAAGAATTTTGACCACAAATGTCAAAAACAAAAGTAAAACAGTCAGCAAATACCCATAACATAATACTGACACATCAGAATAAAATATACCACTAACACACACAAACTTACGCAGCTCTTCTTTTGTTGGTCCCTTTTGGTACAACAGCAGCCCCTCCACTACTTGCTTGAGCCCCACTTGCCCCCATACCCAGATTTGGGTCTGGTAACTCTATTAATAACACAGAAATGTAACGTTAGCAGATATGACAGGTGATATCCTATTGTGCCTCAAGCTGTGAAAAAGAAAATAAAACACTCGGAGCCCATACTCAAATTAGCATCAGCTCACATAGCTGTCATTGGTTTTATTTCATAACATGTGTGTATAACATTTAATGTGCTACATTAGGTCCACATAAACTATTCTTCGTGTTTGTGGATTGTCAAGACAACCACGACACTAAGTTAACGTTAAAGCTAACGTTTCGTTTAGCATACAGTTAGCAATGTTGTAAGGACCATTAACTTAACGTTACTTAAAAACAGAAAAATATTAACCGAAATAGCCAACCGCAGCTTGGTAACACAGTTAGCTAATTTAGACTTGGTTTGTCATCTTACTTTATTTAGCTATGTAAAAAATATCACAACATCCCTTTACAGTTAGCTAGTCGCTAATCTGGCCACTATGAGCTAGCTAGCATGTCAGCAAGCTACCACTTATGCAATAACAAGCTAGCCTCGCTGTAGCATTAGCTTTGCTAAGCTAACTTAGCTGATGCTGTCACGCTATCTTTAGGAAAGTGCCAGCTTTAGCTTTGCATGAGACAACGCCCATAACCCGATTAACAGTTATGTAGTACAATGTGACTGTATTGTCGCTGTTACTTTTATTGCACTTTACCTGGGTTTGAAGAGGACATATCCGTTTGGAATAACATAAACAAACAACTTCGGCTGTGGAAAAAAATCCTACTACCCCGCCCCTCCCCCTTGCTAGGTTGCTAGAAGCTAATAAGTGTCTTGCCGATTTCCTCTCGTATGCGCCTTTATTTGGTGTTATAAACGCCTAAAACCATGACTAGTAACATGTTGTTCCAAAGCGACCCGAGGATTTAAAACATACACGAAAATAAGGGGTTATCTCCTCCAATGAATGCCCCCTTTCCTGATTTATCCCTGTTTAAACCCCCTTTCTAGTTAAGATGGCGTTTCAGGCTACCAGAGCGCAAGCAGCCTACACTGCTTTCTTTTCTCCTCTTTCTATTGGACACACACAAGCCGGATACAAATGACGTGAATTGCTGGGAAATCCATGTTTAGCTCCGGCCCGCTGACAGTGGAGGACCTGTAGGTCAGCAAAGTTAAAGCACTTCAGTTTTCAAATGTCTGTTTTGGGTGGAGAGGCTATGACTCTTTCGTGGTTTAATGCTAAAAGAGCAGCATGCCTTTTTACTGGCATTATGGCTAAGTTCAAAGTTCAAGGTTAAGCTTCATTGTCAAATATACAACACAGGGTTGCTGCAACCCCCTCTATGTTACACAGAAAATGTGCAAAAACATATTCAAAATATTTTAAATTAGACTAAACAATACCAAAGCCAATACAATATAGAACAAGTTATACGAAAGAAGCCATATAGCACTTTCTTTGTACTTATGTATGTGTAATTTGTATATTTGGATGTTTATGCAACCTTGTGGGGATAGTGTGGGAAAAAAGAAAATGTTGGTCACAAGAAAAGTAGCATTAAAGGATGAAATAAGGAGAATGAAAAAATATTTACAAGGAAGGTATACAGTTAAGTATATACACATATGCACACAACAAATATATGTACAGTATGTGCAATAACAGTGTAATAGAATGTGCAAAAGGAAAACTTTGGTTATATTGGTATAGTGTTAGTATAATGAGGATAGTGCAAAAGTAATAGTTAAAGTTAAACCAACTTTCTTTACTATTCACCAGGGTGGATATGTGCAATGTCCTTGAAAGGTCCTCTGTAATGCTGATTCCCTGGAACCTAAAATGGTTCCACCACAGTTCCACTGATGTAGACAGGGCTGTGTGTCTTATAATAATAATCATATGAATAATAAAATATATTTATTTATATAGCACTCTTAACAGTGTTACAAAGTGCTTTAAAAGAAGAAACAAAACCAAACAGGGTCGATTGTTAATCGAAGTAAGAACTAACTATAGCTGCCAGATAAATGTTGTGAAGGTTGTAGTAGTACAAAATTGTACTTTAGTACTGTTCTTGAACAAATGTCTTATTTTACACCACTGTATCTCCTTTGAAATTCAGAGATCTACCTGTATGATTATAAGGGGTATTATTCTAAGAGTGACTACATTAATAAAATTTAAAGAACTCTGTTAAAGTTACTGTATTTTAACTCTGTTAAGTCATATTTTAACATTATGTCAGATGGAGTTTCAAGGGACAAACCCATGTTAAATGGTCTGTTTTTTTGTTGAAATTGAGAAACGTAAAGGATTTACTTGTGTTCGCAGACATGACATATAAAATTAAAAACAACTTCAAAGTGCTTTCATTGTGATTCATGATTTTTGCTTTTATTATTAATAACAATACTTAATTATCATTTTAAACAAAAAATACAAAATAAAAAAATAACACTGTTTCTTCTGTATCACCAGGGAAGAGGAGGCTTCTGGTTGGTCTGGGTTAGTAAAAAAAAAACAACGTGGTGGTGGAATGAGGGTGAGTTTCAAAGGATGGTAATTTATAAAGAAGAGGAGGGAAGTGTGTAATGGATGAGGGAGTGGAGGGAGAACATACCAGTCTTAGAGTTGGATCTGTGATGTAAGGTGGAGACGGGAAAGAAAACGAGAGGACGTGAAGACAGGAGAGAGAGCTTCCCATACATTATAGATAAGGCACTTGACATACAAAAAAACCTTTAAAGCATGAGAACAAACCAGCAACACTCATTCGTGAATGAAACTTCAACAGTGAACAGCTAAAAAATGATTAACATATCTTTTACCTCCTTAAAATCAGACAGCAAAACCTGTAAACCTGTTTCATACATAGAATCAAATACCAAAAATCATTCACTTAGATCAACAGTTAAATCAAACCCTGGTTAACAAACATCACTGAGGCAACTAGGCAGCGAATCGAAGAAATCTGGTTCACATTTGTAAAATTTGAAAACGGTTGCTCTGTCCCATTCCATTTGACTTAGTAAAACTTCTGTATTCCAACATCACAGCCCAGTTTCGCAGTGATTTTATGAGAGAGTCATCGGTTTCCAGTAGGCGGCATCAACAGTGTGATTCAAGACTCAACTGGATCAAAGAGGTTCAGCCAAACCGGGGAGGGGAAAACATTCAGCTCCGTCAAAACTAGCAGGAAGCTGTGATTTCTATTGCAGTGTTTGTGCTGAGCACTCATGTAGGGTATTCAGGGTATTCCTGACTGCTCAAACAGCAACAAATTGAGAATGATAACCTTTGCAGGTCAGACATCTCTTTTGGAAGCAGGGATTGTACATGATGAGCTATGCTGGATTAAGAATTAAACAAAATTTTAAAAAAGAAAACTAGATTTCCTAAAAAAACAAATACTGACACCAAATTTATTCCTTAAACCTTACAAGGCAGACTATTTTATAAATGGCACAGGCCGCATTGGAGAGCAGAGGCCCACAGTCCTTCTGCAAGCTATTACAGTATATAAGAGAGACTGAATGTTTGTGCAAAGAAGTTGCAATAGCTGAAAATGTACATAATTGCATAGACAGAAAATTAGGGAAATAAATGCCCTATTGTGTCACTTTCAAAAAACTCACTTTCACTCTCGTTCTTTTAGTAGAAAACAAAAAAATGTACAATGAAATAAAGCAACACAAAATTAAAGCAGAAAGCTATAAAATGGCATTTTAACAGCCATTAGCTGGCTCTAAGGCACACAGAACACGGAAAGCTAAAGTAGAAGCAGCATCACCTCCCTCCCGTGTTCTCTCCACACGTTGCTCCTCTCCATTTTCTCCCCTGTCTCTTTGAAATTTAGGGACCAACATCACAAACTAACAATGATACATTTTTCTCTTATAACAAAGCAAAACAGCCATGCCACGTAATGTAGTGTATCTCATATGCTGGATGTCTGTGCCCTCTAAAAGTACGAATGAACATGTGTGAGCGTGTTTTTGTGTTGTGCAAAAGTAACAGTGTCAACTTTCCTCAAGATACCTGCTTTTCTTGGTTTTAGGGAATGAATTCCCCCCTCCCTCACCCGTACCCCTTCGTCTTTCTCTTTCTTTTCATCCCCCCTTTCTGCTCCCCTACTGAGGGATATGAGTCCTTCTCACATTCTCTCCTCCTGACACTTGTTTGCTTTCACTCTGTCTTGCTGTGGTTGTTGTTGTGGACTATGTGACCATTCTGCACCGGCCCATTTTTCTTCATGTCCTTTTTATCCTCCTCATCTTCCTCTTCTTCTGATTCATCTGTTTCATCTTTGTCACTCCTGTCATCGTCCACTTTTTCCTGGTAAAAAAAAAGTAATTTAGAAATACATGATTAATCACGGAGTCCTTCCGTTTCAACTGTACTGGAGCTCTGGCAAGTGTAAGACCAAACTCAAACTCAAAAAAAAATAAAAAATAGCTGTATAAAGAGCGGCGTGAAGTCTGATAAATTGCCTCAAGTGATGTCACTTGAATCAGTGTCGGTTGGGGCTCAATCTCTGACCAAAATATCAGTGGTCAAAGTGCATAATGGACAATATATATATGCACCAGGTTTTGAGAAGAATGCGTAGGATAAAAAACAAAATAGCTTTGGTTCTGCTGAATCGACTTTGAACCTTTTTCAAAAAACACAATCCGAATGTTAAGATAATGTTAATAATAATTAGAGTGCAATGCTAAATCAGCGGAGAACGCTTTTAACTGTGAGTTCATCTACTTTCTGTAATTATACTCAGCTCCTTTCGCAGCTTACACATGAAGTGACACTTCACCGTGACACTTCAAGGTCTTCACCTTGAAAAAAAAAATGTCTTTAGCTCTTCTAACTCCAACAAGGTTAAGTGTTTATACATGGTTTACTCCAACTGTTTTCAGTGCTTGCACTTCAGTTGACACTTCAACTGAACTCTTCCAGCTCAATTTATTTTTTTAACACCTCTGATTCTACAACTTCACTCAGTGCTTACACTTTAAATGTAAATTTCATTCTGACTTTTGCCTTTTCCAGTATTTTATTTTATCTTGTGGGTATTTACTGTATACTTGTCTTTTAACTTGGTGGTGGTGATGGATCAGTGGATATTACACATGCCTTTGATGTGAGAGACCCAGGTTTGAATCCACTGTAAGACACCAATGTGTCCCTGAGCAAGACACTCGTTGCTCCAAAGGCAAGCGACCTCTGACATATAACAACTGTAAGTCGCTTTGGATAAAAGTGTCAGCTAAATGACTTAATATTTAATCAGTGGTGAATGATAAAAGATGTGAGAGCAGACATTTCCATGATATAATGGATGACTTAACATAATCTCGAACTTTGCATTACATTTCTTTGCTTGCTTACATTGTTGGTGAGGAAGCGGAGTGCTATACGTATGATGAGGATGGCCCAGAAGATATGTAGACACTGCAGAATCATCAAAAGTCCGTTGAAAAAGTAGTAGCCAAAGAAGGGTTCATAGATGGTCACTGGGTAAACCCAAGTACAGTAAATAATCCTGCAATACAGACAGTGAAGATAAAGGACAAGGTAACTTAATTACAATACATATGTATTAATTATTGTATATATGTATATTATAATTAAACAATTGTTTAAAACGTGTGTGTACCGGAAGGGGAAGATGACCAGGCGAGTGACAATAAAGATTGCAGCAAATACAATGAAGATGTAGTTACAGGCATTTCGCCACCCAGCATAGTTGAACATCTTTGCAGACTGTCAGAGGGAGAGAGAAAGAAAGAACATTTAGTTTAATCGGAAAGTTGCAGATAAATGGATAATGTATTTGTTTGAATAACAAAAAAGGTAGTTTGCCTCTATCCCACTAAAGATAACCTAAGTGTAGTTTCCTCCACAAGGTGGCAATGTATCATAAGTGTGTTTCCACCAGAATTGATCTCATTTGAAGTTTCATAGCACTCATTGAATAATGTGTGAACAGAGCTAAGCTGGAGCATGTAAACAGTCTAAACTGTATTTTTCTTTTTGATAGAGATATATGACATCAACAGAA